ATATGCTATAGCGAGCGCGTGCTGCGACGCCAGTCGATCAGGATGGTGGTCTGCGAGCACTTCTGATTTTATCGCGACAACATTTTCTAGTAGTTTAACCGCCTCCTTGATCTGTCTATTGGCTTGATATACTTCAGCGAGCGTGTGCTGCGATGTCAGTCGTGAGAGGTGGTTTTCTGCGAGTACTTCTGATTCTATCGCGACAATATTTTCTAGTAGTTTAACCGCCTCTTTGATCTGACCATTCGCTTTATATACTTTAGCGAGCTTATGCTGCGACGCTAGTTGTAAGGAATGGTCTTCTATAAGTATTTTCGATTCTATCGCGACAACATGTTTTAGCAGTTTAACTGCCTTCTTGATCTGACTATTTGCTTGATATACCCCAGCGAGCTCATGCTGCGACGCTAGTCGTGAGGGGTGGTTTTCTACGAGCACTTCTGACTCTATCGCGACAACATTTTCTAGTAGTTTAGCCGCCTCCTTGATCTGTCCATTGGCTTGATATGCTATAGCGAGCGTGTGCTGCGATGTCAGTCGATCAGTGTTACTTCGAGGAAGATTTATATCCCTCCATTCGCAAGACTCCTGTAACCAAAGAACAGCTTCTTTTATCCGCCCATCAACGTATAAGCACTGACCGACTTTGAGACAGAGCTTGCTCTTCTCTTCCGTATCTTGGCATTGCTCGTCCTTCTCTATCCGTGCCACATGCGGCAGGTAATCCCGCCAGATCTCCCGATTAGTGTAATCGTCGGATGGAAAGACTTCCACCAGGTGATTTAATGCAGCTATTGTCGTTTCTGTTTTACGACCATTCTGATTTATCCACATCCTTGTCGCCAAGTGGACTAGCCTATGCATGTCGAGCTTAGTGCCATCGTCTCTTCTCTCCAGAAACGAGTAGGAGCAGAGTGTACCGATGGCTCCTACCAGCCGTGCTTCAGGATACGCTGCTGGTAAAATAGAGTATGGGATTGCTCTCCACTCAATGCAAGATATAAATGCGAGGAGATCTGTAGCTAACGTATCGTATTCGAGAATTTTGTTGAAGGTGATCGTCCACGTCTTCGCAACCGCATTCATCGAGTTCCGATATCGTGTTTTATCGCCGAAATCCGTGCTTATGAGTGCGACGGCATCCTGCTCTGTCTTCTTTAATAGGCGTAAATACTCGGAGATGGAGCCTTTGTTGGTGTTTATATATGCTGCTGCCTGGGTGATAGCCAACGGGAGGTACTCCAGTTCGGCCAGAAGATTCACCACAGTCTCGAAGTTGTCAGAAGGATTCTTTCGAACTAGAGACTTATGTAACAAGTCCGTCGTCTCCTGTCTCGTCATTTTTCCTATCTCAACCACATCGCTGCCCGCCAAGTACTGCGCTACAGCTCCATGCCGCGTCGTAAATATAGTCAGGCCACCATCGCTTTCTGGCAGAAAGGCCAGCAACCCTTCTGTTTGATAGGTCCCGCGAAGCAAGTCAAGGTCGTCAGCGTTGTCGATAACTAGCAACCACTTTCCTGCGGTCTTTGCACTTAGCCGTTGCCGCACTAGGATTTTCAGGTCTTCGCCGCCCTCTTGCTCCTGGCGTATCCCTAATACTCCCGCTATCTCCCTGCAGCTTAGCTCAAACGTCTCCATACTCAACGCTTGTACCCAGAAAATAGAGTATTCTGGACAGTCCTCCTTAACTGAATATGCGAATTGTAGCGCGACTTGTGTCTTACCGATACCACCAAGACCGCTGAGCGATACTTTCTGACAATCTTTATTTACTAGGAGCTTTTGCTTCAGCGTATCGAGCTCTGCATTCCGACCGATAAACTTGTGATTTCTTTCGAACGGGAGGTAAAAGGTACGCTTCGCCCCTATAGCGTGTGAGTTATCTCTAAATTTTACGCTATGACGGCTAGACTAACCTCGTAGTGCTTCATCGACCGTTTGCGTGTTCACCACATCCGCCACCGGTATCACGCCTAGCAACTCCTTCGCGTATGCCGCTGCTGTTCCCGCCGCGTATGGCTGCCATCTCTTATTCTTGTGGGAGTCAGCGTAGTCGCAGATTCCGCGGATCACCAGGCATGGAAAAGTATTCATCAGCCCGGCCGCCTCCATCTCAAAGCAGAGAACTCCTCCGAAGTCTGAGCTAATCTTGTCCCGTTCGACTCCGTCCCTCATTACCTGGTTCCCCGACGCGATTGCACCGTAGTAAATCATAGGTATATTGTCCGCCCGTTCGTTCCTCTGTATCGTCCTCGCGGTCGTACATGATAGACAGCTATCCTCTCCACTATGATTGTACTCCGCTTCGAACAGGAAATCGCTTCCTGCTTGATCACGGCCGAACTTGGGGAGGTTACCAAGCTTCGAAAGGTGTGGCGACAGACTACTTTTCCCTCGGTCGAGGTTGGATCGAAGCTTCGTAACGGCGGCGAGGAGGATTGTGGGCGGAGCATTGAGGAACCCCGTCCGCTTGAACCCGCTTGGAGTTGACTTTCCAAAGTCGTATTGCACTACCCCGCCATGACCGTTGCCCGGCTGGCTGACAACAACGTCGCCAAGCCGAATATCTGCTTCTTTGCTTGGAACGCCGCCCCCAATTCCTACCATCAGTCCAAATCGAACGGCGGGAAACGTAGTTTTCATCTGCATGGCCACTGCCATAGCAGAGTTGGTACCGGTCTGGCCTGCAGGCAGACACGCCAGGACGACATTATGGGCTCCTATGGACCCTAGGGTGTATATATTTGAATCGGTGTGATTTGAAGGAAGATTCTGATGTTCTTCGTCAAGCATCTCCTGAGCGGCAGTCAGCTCGTCCGGCAAGGCGCATACCCACCCGACCGTGTAGTCATGGTGACTGAGGCGGCGGGCCATCTTGGTTTGGTGTCAGCCTAAACTGGCTTAAACTGGCTTCAGCTTGGTCGTGGTCTTGATATCATGACCAGCACGAAATGCGAGACGCCGTCTTCGAGATTTATACGAGGCCAGGCGTATATCGCCCACGGCTGACATGGAAACGGAGCGAGGCTACCGCCGCTGGTGTCACGTGGGGTCGAATTAATCCTTGTACGGATAAGCAATACAGGTGACGAAGCCCAATAAAATCCTGGCGCTTGGGCCGGGGTTAAGATAAGTGGTGACCAGCTAGTCCGTCTGTATCTCATTGTTCTGAGGATCCGGATTCGCCGACAGAACACCAGTTGATACAACCGAAGCCCGGATGGTTTAGGTGCAAAACAACTTGTATTGATGGTCTTTTGTTTAATCCAGCTTGGTCTGGGCACCTCTGACGCTGGATGATAATGGCAATACGTTGACTCTTCCCATAATAACAGTTATCTCTTGGATTTATAGGCTGGATCTTTCGGCGAGACGGTTATGAATTGCTTCTAGCATTGCAGGCGTGATGCATGAAGTGAAGGTGGGTGGGTCGGGCGGGGTAGGATGCGGGCAGGATACTGGGGCTGCTTGCGCTCGTACTAATTTTATATGACAGGCGGACCTGAGAGGGGTGATGTACGATCCGCATCAGGTCGACTGTAACAGTACTTGACTATGCGCCGTATGTTTCATACGGGTTCCCTTTTTTACCATTAAAAATTAGAACGAGCTTTTGGAATACGGAATTAGCCATATTGGTATCAACGTATCATGTGACTAGGGTTTGAAAAAGAATTACCATGTTTCCGAACTGGAAGGCAGTGACGGTCGCGTCTATAAACTTCACTCCAGAAGGTCTCACGTAGAGCCAAAATGCTCCGAGGGTCCGGGTTCTTGGGAACCGGACTACACGTAATATCAATGATTATCACCAAGTAACTGAATGCCTATTCACAGGTCTCCTCATTTTTTCCATTTTCGAGACTCGATTGCTGGTCATCTGAAGCTTAATGCCTCTCTTACGTGGTCTGCTTCATAAGGTTCCTACGTAGTGGTTCCTATGTAGGATACTGGCCTACGTACTAGTTCCTATGTAAGATTCCAGGTTAAGTAGGGCGTCCGATGTAGGACCCATGTCATTAATTCTCTAGATAGGCCATCATCTATGAAGCTGCGCTATGGATAATGTGATGTTTGGCTTGCTACCTCATACGTTCTGCCTCTCTAGGCGACTAAAGGGAGCTCGGTGATATTCTGGTTTAGGACTTATGGTCCGTCGGTGATATATAGAGATACTGAATTAAATCGATCATATTCTTTGTCGTTTCCTTCGCTTCCGTTTAACACATATCTCCATATCCTGAGGGCTATTTAGTAAAAGGTATATAATCTCCCAAGCATATGTAAACGCTATGCCTGGGAAGTATTACTTGTATTGTACTATCTTTATATTCACATTTTCTTCTAAGAAAGTATTGTATATATTCAAGTAGTCAGGCTCATAGCAAGCATTTGTATAATATATTTCCGTTAGACTCTCTAAATGGTAACAGCGGAAACTAGACACTCTGCAGGCCCAAGAGTAAGGTTATATAGCTAACGATTCATCCAAAAACATCTTAAGACGGCCGCATGTCTAATGTCATAAGATATATACACTTATACACTTGTATGCCAAATATAACAAGTTAACCCTATCTAACCTAAGCTAGGTACAAAGTAAGATCCAATATATGGAAAACGACGGCCAGAAGCAAGCCCCCACAGTGATGATGTAAAAATCAAACAGAATAATCGTAGTCCCCAGTGCTAGATTTACTCCTGCATATTTCCGTACTACAATACCATGGCCAAACAAATGACAAGATTAGTCTCATCACTGGTTTTATCACGGTGCTACCTGGACCTCTTGGTCACAGGTTAGCGTTCCCCCTTGGTTGCTAATGAAATCGTCTACTATAGTCAGTAGGTACTCGGCTAGCTGATATGTTGCACACATACCCAGGTTCAAGACTGAAGATGGGGCCAACACCCCCTTTGTTCCATAACACATGCACCTAATCTGCGTTCCTATTGACAGGCAGATACTACACTCCATATTTCCTAAGACATTTTCCCTATAAAATATGAGATTTGGATTCAAAATAAGCTATAGAGCGCATACCCTCTTATAAGAACGCCGTCTTTATTTCCCACACACTTGTTCAGGTCAACCACAGTATCGTAGTAGTAACCATTAGGCGATTTCGAACATTTTGCCATCAGAAGAGACCCCTGGAGGTCGAACGAGTTGCAAGTATCCGAAAAATGCGCTGCATAGCTTTTGCCAAGTCCAAGAAGAGCCAAACTCAACGCTTGATAACGCATCCTGTTGAAAAAATAAGAAGATAGCTGTCTTATATAAAGAGAGCTAAGTATGGGCAAAGATGATTGAGAAGTAACTAATAATAACTGCGCGCTTTTGTTTGACCAGAAACAAGCCTGAGTATGAATTGAAGAAGTATGCTAAACAAGACATAGTCCTGGGTGTTCCTAATATTATATACTTCCGAAGTACCTCTGTGTTCTGTGAATCTGTATTGTATTTCTCAATCGAAAGGGATTGGAGGGTAGCTCCACAGTGTAACTTACCCAGTATTAATCATAATCGCATCTGTCCTGTATTACAGTACCGTTGTACGCATACTATGACATAAATGAACAAAAGCGTTGGTCTAGTGGCGGTAATTCAGTGTCCCCATTATTTGGAAGAGCTTTTTGGTACCATAGATAGCCCTTTCTTAATACATAGTATTTACGATTCTTTGATATGTTCCGGAAACCCCAGTACAGTACGGATACCAAATTTAATACATTGGGTAAGGGGAAAGCATGGTCTACACGAACAGGGAAGAAAACTTACGTATTTTTGTCGCCTTAGGCATAGCCTCGAAATAAACTGAAGGAGGTGCTCTCAACCGAAATGACGCGGGCAGGCTGGTAAGCTGCTAGTGACTGGTAAGTTTCGTTTCTTTTCCTTTGCTCAGTTACATACACAGGCACATTAGCTTTTCCAGCGTATGTACTAGGTACTGATCACTTATTAGTTTCCGCCCAGCGCGAATCCGAAATCTAGTGCGACAGCTAGTGAGGAACAGTGTATGGCTTGATGTTGAGCTTTTCGAGCTAGAGTTCCAGCCTTGGCAAGAAAGGCGAGATTGGCTGTCTTTCTTTACGCCGTAATTTCGCTCACTGGAATTCTATTATCCTCCACTTATTGTTATGTATCTTATTTTGGGGGTAAATTTACTCTGCAATATTACCGTCCAACCAACTAGTAAGGAATCCAGGCTTCGGTATTATCAACATTAAGTACAACTAACACTGTATAGTATACCAGTGTAAGATTGTGGTTCATATCAACGACAGTATGTACTTTAAATGACCTTAGTAAGATCTTCTGACGATGAACCAATTCGATTGCCAGCGAAAAATACGTGCAAATGACCGAGTAACAACTTCCCCTGAATACTGGAAGAATATTTTTGTAATTATTTGGCCCAGCTCTTTTTGGGATTATAACTAAGGTGTCCTTCCGTGATTCAGTCATATCGAACTATAAAATATAACCCGACTCAAGGACTTCCTTCTCATTTTCACCAGGCTGAAAGGTTCAATAAATATAGACCCCCGATAATACACTCCTAAAAAAGAGAATCTGTATCGCAAAGGTGCCAGCTATGGGGAAATTTCTGCACGTCCTGATGCGTGAGTGTTGAATTTCTATAAATATTAGTTATAGTACTAAATATTCTAGGACGACAAAACGGTGCTAAAACGAGAAGTCGTGAAAAACGAATCACGCAAAACAATGCTCCAAAGAATATCCCTCCAGCAGGAGTTTATCAGGCTGTCTCACAAAACTTCAAGATGGATTTGCCTCCTGGAACGTTGCAGTCTGATATAGATCAGATGGTCTTCAAGTCAGATTGGACATTAAACCCACAGTGGGAAGTCCGACTGGTTGGAGTAAAGACAAAGCGTGGCTGGGAGTATGTATTCAGGCATAGAGCGACGGGTAAAGAGTATGATGAAGTGGATCTGCTCCGTTATCGCCATTCTTGGGCGGACATGAGTGAAAAACAACGACAAGAGAGATTAGCAAAAGGAACTTCCCCATATCTGGGAGGGGGAGGCGGGATCCGAAGAGGATAGATGCTGCAGCGCATGTTTAGGTTCTAGTATCTGAATTCCAAGTAGTATATCTTAACGGAAGCTTATCCCGAAGTAAGAAATAGAGAAATCCCCTCCGGTGTTTACAGTACTTAATTACTATTGCGGACTACAGTGTATATCAGGAAAGTATATAGTAATATATTCAATATAGAAAGGCCAAGAGGATATATAGATCTTAAAGATTTCAGTGATTTGCCCTAATCTATATTTATTATAGTTAGATCAGAAGAATATCATAGAGTACTAGGACAATCGTCAAAGACTTACGCAGAGGTGAATACTTGTGACACGGGAGAATGGCTGTGCTTGGTATTTTATCTGAATGGAAGATGGCCTCCGCCTAGCAATGCAAGGAAAACTGATATTATCCAAAGACTTATAATCCCCAATATTGTACAGAGACGAAAAAAAATACCAGGAGTGGAATCAGCGAACTCCATCTCGATGGCTTAAAGTGTGGGATGCTAAATAAACCTTTGACTTTTCCGAGGTTGAGATATTTTAGTTAACACCAGAAGGGGCGTAGGAGAATGTCGCAAGGAATAGCTCTTGGTAGGATAACTTTTGTATTTGAAATGTATTAATAGTTCCTTTACACCTTAGTTGTTCTAAGAATCTTTGTACTTCCTGGCTCCTCTCTCGGTCCTGATCTATATTCCACCAACAAATCAAGCGCGTAGTCAAGGTATTCCTTTTAGAAGCGGTACTATCAGTTGGGCAGTATTTTATTGTATCTAAAACAGAAGGGTTCAAAACTGGTGTCAGTTTAGTTTCTTTACAAGACGCTCCAGAAAAGGTTGATTGGAATACAGATCACTCAGTTCTTTTAGCCATGGTAACAATAATATGTTTCTTTAGCGCAGTAACACAATACCTAAGGGTTGGACACAGTGTATCTCCGCTATACTTTACGAGAAACACTGCCTGTGTTCAAAGATACACCGATTAGACTTCAAGACATACACTAGCCCAAGAACACTACTCTATAACAGAGGCGGCACAAGTCTAGGGTTCTACCTAAGGTGGATCTTGTATTATAGTCACTACACAGTATCATAGCGTAGCTTTATTGTCCAGGAACCAAGGCAATGTGATGGTACTGGTAGACGTGATACAGAATGGCCCCTTGGTTAAAATCCCCTCCACAAAAAGTTCATTATCATGGCAGCCGTCTGGTAATTTCGTTTCTGTAAAGTATATCACCAGACCGAAGAAAGTCTAATCAATACGAAAGGCACGGTGGTGTAAGCATCAATACAGTAACTGTTGCTGTCACTTTCCAGGGATACAATGAGTTTTCTAATACAATGGAGGTATTGTAGACTAAGAGTCTGGTACGAAAACTGTACATCTACTTTGTAGTACTAAGAAAAGAGATAAATATTTATTCTGAGATGCTGGGTATATATATCATGTTTTCCTCCGGGAATTGATAATCATTCTCATATGAAATCCTCTCAAGACGTTCGAAATTGAATATCAACATGTCTCATTTTTGACCATTAAAAATTCCTCCTCATCGTTCTAGTTTCTTCGCACCCGCCTAAGAAAATTAGCATATGTTGGGGGATTCTCAGTTATGGGTCTCTTTTCCCGTATAAGGCTTAACCAGAGACAAGTAGAAGTGGCTGCGCACCCATGGGCCAAGAATTACGCAATCATCGAGATTGATATACCACACGCGGGGTACCATGATGACAGCGAAATGTTATCTACCTTTTCTGTGATCTCGAAATGCATAAAACAGCTTAACAGTCCCCCAGACTCATTCAATGCCCCTGTTCTGCCCACTGAGAAAAAATATGGGAGAGTTTATTGCAGAGTAAGAACGGCTTCTCTAGACGCGGCCGTCGAACATCTAAAGCAATATCTAGTGGAGATGAGGTATTGCTTGACAAACCCCGTTATGCTACCATCTGGACCTATCACAATGCCACTTAAATGCCGCCGTGACAAGAACTCTCCCGCTCTACTGGTAATCAGGTGGTGCGAGGGCGGGAAGAACAGGGTATGCTTCAGCCCAACAGTTATTGGTATCCCAAAACTAGAGGGCTGGGAGATCTTTCTGGATGAATGTGAAGAAGATGCCAACTCTATTGTGATGGCTGAGAAATTGTGGATTGCATAGTATACGGAAGATATCTGATGTGTCTTATAGTTTCGACACCAATAAATGTGACCTTTCCAATATATAAGTGAGTTCATTTGTCTTCCGAAGTGGGTTCCCACATTACCACACCATCAAGGTTGTAATTCTAGGCTTAGAGAAACAGTATAGACATCTTGCCCCGCGAAGCTCAGAGCTGTACTTATTCTCATATTGCCCTTCAAAAGCTGCGCAATGAAGATAGCTAAATTCCGGAGAGAAGCCAGAAAAGCTATAGGTCCAGCAGGTTTTTGGTAGTTTTCTGTCCTTCAAGGAAAGCACTTTTTACTACTTGAGACCGATGAAAGAGAGCAGGCAATACGCCATTACGATCCGATGACGACGACCACCCCTCACGGGACTAAGGAGACATGCATATCTCAACTTATTGCCGAGCAATCTGACAATTTAGGATCTTTCTACCTAGCGGAAGTATTAGTCCCCGAGTCTATAACACATTTCCAACTAATCATATATGCAGCATAGTCTGCTCCACAGCAGAATGACAGCTGAAGTTGCGAGTTACGACAGTCTGGAACTTTCAACGTCTATTATATAATCTTCTAAGTAGGACGCGGGATGGGTACCGACTCCGGAGGAGATGGCACTAGAATTGGTACAGGACTTGACGGCTGCGCTTAAAGTGGTTCGAGGATGAAGTATTTTCGAGGAAGGTGATCATAACTAGACAGGCAGTTAGCGGCCTAATTTCGTGTTCAGAACTTATCGTTAGTCGATATTATCCCTTATCATTCAAGAACTTGCCTTGTGAGCTTCATGCTACGGAGGAAAGACATGGTGGGCAGGAGAGGGGCTTTCCAACGATGTGTATTCACAGAAATAATTCTATGATGACCCATGATATACATCGCAAGTTAAAATTATATCCAGAGATATTGCGTCAGGAACGTTTTTATTTTATTGAAAAATAGCAACTGTCTATTCGTGTCGTATTCCCCCAATATAGAGCTATTAGTTGTGCTTTGTAGCCTGTAGCCATATGCCCCTCCATACATATGTATTTGTACTCTGCAGGAAGCGTTCAGCGGAAAGAAGCTGGGCAGTAAATAAATATTTTTCGATATATTCTCCCTTTCATTCAAGAGTGGCCTCTTCCTTTCGTATTTTCTTATGGTGGGTTATTTAATTTGCAATTATGAATAGCTTTATCTAGAGCTTATTTTGCATACAGAACAACAAGTTACCGCTGTTGTATTTCCATTATGTAATATACTGTGAGTAATACCATAACTTCAAGAAAGAAATACTGATCTATAATCCCTGCATTTTAATAGTATAACCCTCCTCTACTGTTGTATTTTATTAACATTAACTAACATGTAGACATTTATATATCAAAATCTCCAGGTTTAATCTCTCTTGTTTCCCTTCGCTACCATTTTCTATTCTTACCCAAAGCTCCGGAAGCACAGATGTTCCATTACCTAGGTTTAGCATTTTAACCCGATGAGACCTACAGCGCATATGGACACCCAAGATAGCCAGATGGCTCGGGCTACAACGCTTCCACCAAATCCAGAAAAGGAAAGCAGGTCGATGAAGGCGTATTGTACAAGAGAAAGAAACAAAATCCGTCTAACAGCTCCCTTCAGCCAATTAACTAAGCACCTGGCCCATATCCCTATCAAAGATATGAATAATTGGGTACACCGGCCCATAGATGTCCGTCGCTATGAAGTCGCCAAAAGAGATGGCAAAGTTACAAAGCCTATGAATTCTTTTTTTCTCTATCGACAAGCTTATAATGAGCGAGCTAAGGAATGGCTAGCGCAGAGCAATCAAGCTATATTATCTATAGCATTTGGGCAGAGCTGGAAGATGGAATCCCAAGAGATTCGAAGCAGATTTGAACAATTGGCTAGTATCGATAGAAAGAATTGTATGGAGGTGGACCCTAGGTGGTCATTACGAAGGGTTGATATCAGGGGAGGTCAGAACAAAATACTGGGCAGCACAATCAGTCCCGGTTCTGCTGAATCACAGTATTCCTTTATAATGCGAGCTTCCACTCCAGAACGTAGGAGCGGCAAGAATAGCGATTACACAGACCCCTCACGAACAGTTCTTGACAGCCTTGCTCCAAATCCTTTCGCCCCTCCTTTGCAAGTGGGATTCCCACACACCTGTACATGCGAAAATGATGTTGACACAGCATGCTATGAATGTGCCATCAATGAGGCTGCAATGCTGGGCAGTATGCATTTTGGACCACCTTCCTTACACGAGACATCAGTGAAGTCATACTCAGACCTCATTTCATCCCTATGTTCAAGTTGTACGCCGGGCTCTAGTACTGGCAGACCGGGTGATTATCAGTCTCCAAACTCATCGGAAAAGCCATCATATGAGGTTCCTGAACACTTACAAAACCCCGCCCTGTTCCATAGTGTGCCGCAGCAATCTCAAGCAGATAGCTGCTATGATCCTCTAGGGTTACCATCAGTACCTCCATCGACCTTTCATCACCCTATAACTGCTCCCCAACTTGATGTGGAACCACCGTTAATAGAGTATCGACAGTCTAGTGAAGCTTATGCGGCAGAATCTCAAGGAGATATGGAACAGTTTGATTCCTGGATTAACTATGAAGCATTTGATGTATAAGATGTTAGAAACTCCCTATCATGAATTATGTTAGAGCATCAACGTTTCTCTCCAAATCCACAATTCTACCATCCATTAATACTCTGTGAGAAAAATGCTGTCCCATAGTCTCTACTTATTATCAAAAAACTGTATTATCTGTCGTTATATGTTGTCGCTGCCCTAAAGATGATACTGCCGTGGGGTATGAAGGCAGCGTTAGAGGTCTTGACCCAACCTTTCCAGTTTAGAGGTACAATTTCATCAGGGAAGCGTACAAGAGATGGAACTAGTGTCTGGGAATCTCGTAGGCCTTAAAGTCGAAAAGATACATAGTTGCTTCCACTTCCCCCTCCCATCTTCTCAAAGGTCTTTAAAGCAAGGATCGACTTTACAGAGGTCCATATAATATCCGCTAAAGCATTAGTTGAATCTTCTTATTCATATCGACATATAAAGTAAAGCTTTATATTCAATTGGAAAACAGAAGATTGAAGTTGAATCACATATGGATACAGTATATAAGTAAAACAGCCCAGTTGCAGTCCAAAGGACAGGGTTCATAGATGGATGCTTATTGCTGCGGTAATATGGCCATTTAATTGGCAGCTTTCGTCTAATTACTGCTTTTATCACAATGTTCCCTAGGCCTGTCCATCACAAGCTAGAGTTCCGCCTTGATTGGACAGGACATCATCTATTACCATTAGTAGGTCCTTGAATAGCTGACACATCGCATACATACCAAGGTTCAGGGGAGAAGACGGGGCAATCACTCCTTTTCCTCTATAGCACATGCATTGTATTTGGGTCCCTGCTAACATACAGAAGCCACACTCAAGGTTCCCAATAGCGTTCTCGCTGTGAAGTATGAGCTTCCGTGGGAAGGTAAATCATAGAGTGCGACACGTACCCTCTGACGAGAGTGCCTTCTTTATGGCCGAGGCACTTGTTTAAATCAACTGTGGTATGGCGTTCCTTGTCGGGGCTTTCCTGGCATTTGGCAAATAGCATGGATCCCTCAAGCTCAAAAGAGCTGCATGTTTTCGAAAAATGCGCCGCATAGCTTTTTCCGAGCCCAAGGAGTACGAGAATAAAAGCTTGTAGACGCATTCCGTTGGTCTAGCAAGTGGTTGTTTATCTTGTAAGTAACTAGTATAGCTGTATACGACTGAGGAGGAAAGAGAACGCAGTATGTTTGGAGATGCTCCGGCTATGTGATCAATATATATATCCGACGAGATGTTTCCCAAAGCTAATATTAAGCTCAAGTATCTACATCTCGTCATAGTAGTTAATCTCCATGTAAAATTGTTTGCTTTTACTGATATTGGACATAGCATTATTGGTTCTTTACGAGGTTTTTTCTTTCGCGCACATACTGCTACCTAGGAGATACTCCTCTGTGCGTTTATCCCGTTCTATACCCTGTATTGTAACTGGATAATAGAACCGGTAAGTAACTCTACGACGTAATATATATATATATATAAAGGCTGTATTACTGACAATAAACATGAGAAAGCGTATCATATTCGGTATAGATAACGGAGTAATCTAATCCTACTTAAAACTGCCACCTATGGTGTGCCAAAACAAATCCATTCGTACATCACTGTTTTCCCGAGTTCATTCCATCGTTTCGAAACCTTACACACGTAAGATCCTCGATCTGGTTTCCGTTTTGCAGGATAGCTGCTGGGGTGGAGATTCGGACCGCCAAAGAATTCACGTACGTATCTCTATTTTCCAATTCTTGGCATAATGGTAAATAGTATATTCTAATCCAGCACTTCCAAGTGATACATGGTCTAAAAAACGTTACAGGCTATACGGGTACCCGTGTTACCACTTACACCCTTTCTTTGTTTCAGCAACCCTAATGTGAAACCAAGTGGCTGGAATTAGAATATAATGGAACAACGATTTCCTGAATAGTACCACATCCTGTACCGATATGTAATATTACATGTATCCAGGTATTCTCGGTTCCTGGCTCGGAATATCTGGACTAAGGACAAGTGGCGATTTGACCATATTTACGGGATTGTACAGAAACCACTGGATACGTCGTATTTGCAAGAAAATATTAGCTATCCCGGACCCTCCTTTCCAGAGAGATTAAGAACAAAGAAACACCAGTATAATAATCTATAGTGTATGAAGCCCTATTATACAGATCTGGCCATTATTGTACCATAACGCAACTGTAGCGTTTTGGCTGTAGAACAAGCAACTGAACGATACTCAGTAGAAGATTACAGTAGACTTCTATCTCTAATCCTGTCCAGGCATATGGTAGAAATACCTGTGAGTGAGGAGTAGGTGCATTCAGAATTGCATTGACCGAAACTGGGCGGCCTTGCGTATGGGAGATTATGTCGAACTGTGGTACGTGCAACGCAAATACTTCTAGTCGAGAGTTTCTGGAGAGCTGCATCTGGATAGCGATTATCACCTTTAGGCTAGTTGTACTGGCATATAATGCTAAGATTCCGTTGATAATCAAGTGGTGTAAAAACTCTCTCTGAGTTAGATTACTGAAAGATGGAGTTAATCAGATTGAGATATGTAGTATGACACATAGTGATATGCCATAAGGTATACTATTTTCTCGCCAACAATGTGCATATATCCAATGAACAGATTATCCAGCCCCGCGTATATAATCATCTAAGCACAAGGTCAGACATTATTATTTTAAATCATGTCGTTGCTATTACTATCGCAAACGTCAAGGCCCCAAAAGCTGAGATAACGAGATTCAGCATTCCGAAGACAGTTCTTAAGCTCCACCAGAGCGTCTTCCATTCTGTGGAACATGGTGTACATTTCTTCCCGAAATTGAAGCAGAGCATGCTTGGTTTCTGTATGCCAGGCAAGCTCGGCTTTTAGGTAGCTGTTTTCGTACGCCAGGTCTTCAACTCGTTTCTTCAAGCTTCGTGGAGGGAGCTTTGACTGCTGGAGGCGCGATTGGAGACGCTCTATGTTTGAGGAAGTGCCCCCGTTCTGCAGTATCTGGTGGTCTTGCGGGGTAATCTCCTCCTCAATAGGATAGAGGGCGTGGCATGTATAAGAATCCATATCTCATTCAAGACTAAACGGAGCAGAGGACTCGAGATGCTGAAGATGGGAATGTTAGATGTGGAAAGGTTTCAACTGCGCGATAGGATTCATACCCTTTAAAAGACTCCCGGTCAGTGAGCCACCGACAGGCAGGTATATGGATGCTAGTCAACAGTAAGGCGCGACCCTGAACTCTCGAAGAATAAGTGAAGGAGGGCAGCACTGACAGCGAATTTAATACGCTCTCGGCATTGTTACTGTAGTGAATCGCATACCAAAAGATCCGTACGGTCATACCACAGTATAGTTTGGCCAGCCTTACTGAATATAGCTCAACCATACTATGGTATGGGTACTTTGTAATTACTGTTAAGGAATGATGAACTAAATGTAAAAAACATGAACGAAATACAGTGACATTATGTTTTATCTCTTATTATACATCGCTGGTCAAAAAACCTTCACACCGCTCAAGGGGCTGACTATCACTCTGCACAGGTAGTTGAGGTACTAAGCTAGTATCGATGGAAATACCAGTTGGAACAACCGAGTCCCAGCTGTTCTCGCTCTCAACGAGTGGAGAGCTTGATCGGAAACCGGTTGGAATTGATGCTGCTAGAGGCATCATGACTTCATCCTTGGATTTAGCCACCGTACCAAGATCTTTGCTTGTCTCCTGGTACCGAAGGTTATCCAAATGTAGCGGAAAGAAATTGAGAGGTTTCTGACCGAAAGATGTTCCCGAAGACTCAGTTTCTATTGATTTCCTCACAAGCATATCGTTAACATGGAACAAAATTGAGACACGGGACTCGAGCTCTTGGGACTTTGCTCGTTCCATGATCAGCTCCTGCTGAAGTATCTCGACTTCTTCGGACATCTTCAATAGTTGAGCTTCAAGTAAACCTTTCAACGACTCTGCCTTGGCAAGCTTTTCTTGCAGCTGGTTGAATTGATGCCGTTCGTTCTGCAGCCGTGCGCTTTCTGCGCTCAGACGAGACTCTAATTGCTTTTGGCGTAACACAGACTCCTTTTCGCGATGAACGAATACATTGACAAGTCCAAGGATCTCTTCATTGTGGCTTGACTGATTGTGGAAGATCTTTAGAGCATCTTAGTAAGTCAATATAGCATCGTCACCTTGACAGTGTACTTACCGGTGGCGACATGTTCTGCATTGGCAACGACGCCATCGTGGTGCTTTTTTTTGATTCACTACTCAAAGAATACAAACGAACTTCATGGCATCCTATCTCGGTGTAACTGATGGAAATGTCTTATACTTTTAAGTCTAGCTGAAAATACAGCTTTCAGGGTATTGGTTATGCATGTTTGATCCGTACCTCAGTCGTTCGCCAGATTGTACAGGTAATGGTTGTATCCAGTTTCCCAATTTATGTTACATAACAAGTATACGGAAAGGCTTGGCCCACATTGTATTAGTACTATTACGGCTAATTCTTTCATGTCAATGAATCGTACGCTACTGTTTTGCTGGATACATGAAATTCATGCAAACAAAGGCTCAACTACAACGTATTTCATCTGTAAACAAAACATGCCATTCCTGTATTTCGCCAAATGCCAAGGCCATCAATACCGTCTCACCCTTCATTTTCCTGCTCCTTCTCATGCCCACTCCCGAGCCTGTTTCGACCGCGCGGCTGGGATAAGCCGAAGATTAGGTAGCGAAACCTCTTGCAGGCGTCATCTACCCCTGACATTAAGTTATTCATCCATTCTTTCTCCCTCTGGAAGGTGTTGCCCAAGTCATTCATCCATTTTGAGAGATTTTCGACCTTGTCTGGCAAGTCAAGTAGCTCATCAACAATTCCCGCAAAGGCATTGACCCTGACATCCATTTTATCTAGCCTTTCGGCCAATATGTTCATTCTTTCGTTAAGTGTCTTGTCTACGCCCTCTTTTCTCGCCTGTTCTAGCCTGTTTACCGTGGCCTCCATCTGTAGTAACTTCCGCAAAATTAGCTGGCTTGTAGGGATTAGTCGCTCTTGTCCATAAGAAAACCGTTGAAGGGAACTTACTCTGTAGACTCAGGGTGTATCAGGCCAGCAAGGCTTTAAAGATTGTTAGATAATGCGAAATAACTGGATACGACAAACCTACCTAGAATCGTGGTCATACGTAGTGCTACCATTCACTTGAAGTCCGTAACGATCACCCTGACCCAGTTCGGCAGTATCGCGTGAAGGCGGATGGGCTGTCTGTGACGTGCCTCCTGTTCCATCGATATCGTCGATACCAGTAACTGAGATGTTTTGGTCATTGAACATGTCCTGACACATGAGACGACTATAGTTCGGCTGCTCATCACCAATACCAGATTCAGTGGCATTGTACGTGAGAGGCGGAAAGTCGTACATGTTGAACGGAAGCAACATGGGTTTGGAGGTGTGGGCTCAACACTCTACTTCCAAGCGGCCCTACTTTATAGCAACGTCACAAAGGACCGTCAAAAGCTAGGTTCCAAGTCTTTGAATTCAAGGTATCTTAGCCGTCTATTGCGACTCATTTGGAAACACCTCTCAATCGCCTTTCAGAGAACCCCTGCAATTTCGGTTGGTGCATCATCTATCACGCTAAGGGCCCAGAGGAACGGTAACGGAGCGAGGCGTGTCATTATACGTCCATCGAAAGGAAACGTAAGTTCAAACATGAGAGGTAAATGCTCAGCCAGCGCGGCTGTGATTTCTTTTATGTGACTTGCAGAGGCGTCAGTACCTCAACAGAATCCGTTTCTTGCGATTGAGGCCAGTCTGATATGCCAGAAGGCTACACATGGTTTTGAAGCGGTCAATCCTCTCACCTGAAGAACGAGCGACAGGATTCTTCTTCGTCTTGAAAGGTCGGCTACATGCCCTAGCAGGCTAATAAGTGGCGCCCATAATTCAGGGATAACATGGATATAAATAGTACAACGATCACTTAGCGAATCAAATCATTGGGCTGGAGACACAAGAAAGCCCAACACGTCAATAATATGGACTATTATAAAGGAGTAATGATTGTGCGAAATTTTTTCACGGCCTACCGTTTGTGTATTGGTGGTATGGGCTTGTTTGTTTGTCTCATCAGAGCCCTTACTGAAACGAATAAAAGTACCTCAAAGCAAAGAGGGATTGAGGATTTTTTCCATAAATAAGGAGGTGCTTTCCCTCCCTCCGAGATCAAGAAGCATTCGTATGATACAGTAAGCTTTAAAGATGCGTCCGAAAACCGACACTAGCTGGCTAGACGTGGGTGTGGGTGAGAATGGAAGCTATGTCATCCGGGATTACGGAAGACTAGACGAAGTGGTCTCCGAGTTGACTCAACCCCGCCAACAGTATCCTTTCTTATCGGTATTCCTAGGTGGGAAGAACAAAGACATTGCGCTCCAGGCAATTTTCCCCCAAAACAATATCAGAAGGACCCAGCCTAGCTCGCGAATTGGTTTGCGGTACGATATAACATCATCCAACAGTGAGAGTCCCATTTTATTCGCCGATGGCAACGTTACTCCCACCAAGGGTGTCTTAGGCGCTATGCCAGGGGTACATGATTACCCGATCACATGGCCCATCAGCTCCACCGATAATGCATCGAGATTGGTCTATGCACGGTTAATTTTTCTTTTCGCTGATCTCGTGTGCCTTTTCGCCGACGATTTCCCAGACCTTATGTCAGTAGCTCATTTCTTGGTAGACTGCGTTTCCATGCGATCTGCATCGGCGATGCCTGTTGCGGTCCGGCCGCGGGTGCTTGTGGTTCTAATGGGCAACCCAGACCGCAGCGAACGCAACGGGCCACTTCAACAATTCTATCAGCAACTTTACGAGGCCGACTCCACCCACCTTTCTGAGTGCTTTTCCCATGTCAATGTTGTGTACCTTGACCCCATCCAGTCCGATTCCTTAAGGTACGATAGCGTGCGCACATGGATTCTTAATCAGAGGGAGAACATACAAATTGTACGTCGAGAGAATTGGTCACAAGTCAATGCAGTGCAGTTACAGGCTTTATTTACGTCGGCGATCCGGAACCTGGTATCGCAGAACCAGGCTTTCTTTGACTTTGTGAACGCTTCCCGCGAATGGAACCCTGTAGGGGCGGGATTGAGCGATCATGTTGCGCATTTTCTCGAAGTGGGTCATCGGGAAGAATGCAAATTCGAGATCCTACTCTCTTCTTTAGCGTCTGCGCTAATATTAGACCACTGTTTACCCGGAATGATGTGTATGTCTTCCACCCTCTCCTTCCTTTTTTCCCTCGGGTTTCTCTCTCTTCGTCCGATTGGCTGAGGGTCAATCTCCCCACCCTATTCTGTGACCCTTACGGCACCTTGCATATTATCTGTTCTAACTGGACACAGTAATGGATCCATATGCTGTCTTCCAAACTTTATACCATGATCCTGTCCTCCGAGCGTTCCGTGATCGCCAGGCGCCAAGGTTTTCTAAGTCTGTACCAGATTTGGTTTCTTTGGTAGAGCAAGAATTTGTGACGCAGTACCATCTTTATGCCTCGGGAGAGCAGTCATCCATTGAATATCGGCGGCAGCATCTTCTATCTACAAACCACGAACTGTGCCGTGTCCAATCCGACAAGATATGCCTCTACTGTTTGGTTCGTACTGCGCAGCACTCACAGGTGTGTTGTCACACCATATGTGATCTATGTCCACAGTTATTCGGGAACGCGGCGCCCGACGCAGAGTATCAGTTCTCGATGGTAGGTTGTCTGCTTTGCAACTCCCGGGCAGTCACTACAATTGACGTTCTCCCTCCTACTATGAACCCAACCGTCTTGGCGATTGACGGGGGTGGAGTTCGTGGAGGGATCCCGTTGGAGTATCTGCTTTTAATACAAGAAAGCCTGGGGCCGGAATGTAAGCTAGCTGATCTTGTGGACTTGGCCGTGGGATCTAGTTCCGGTGAGTTCAGACTCTCCATACCCCGAAGTCTAGAGTGTGTGTGTCTTGTTTTCCCTATAGATTCCTTTGTTCCTATCTGCTACATCTTCCGGAACCAAGTTAGTAACGATGACAGGGGGTTTGATCGTATTGGGGTTAGTTGCCATGGGTTGGGATGTATCCACTTGCTCCCAGAAGTTTGACCTTCTTGCGCGGCGTATTTTTCGCGAGCGTCGACAACCCGCTATATCGTGGCTACTTCGCTTGATTCTCCGTCGCGATTCTCTCTTAGGCGACATTCCCAAGTGGTTATCATGGTTTTTCCATGACAGCTGCTATGATGCGAGGCTATTCGACGACTGCTTACAGGAGGCATTCGGTGGAGACAGGCGTATTTTTGAGCCAGTCAAAGATAAGCTTAGTGCACGATGGCGCTCAGGGGCCAAATTTGGTGTCGTTGCCACTAGCATCGCTAGGGAGACCAAATCCTTTGTATTTGGTAACTTTAACGCAGTGAACTGGTTCGAGCTCAATCATGGTGGAGAACAGCCATCCTTCCTTTTCGGGGAATCTTGCTAACTGTTGAAATCAAGGGTATGAACTTTTCCGAGCAAGTAAAAGAAATAGTGAACCTCTCTTATGGGAAGCGTAAGTGGGTCGCCAAGAAGCCAAGACATTAGTCATCTGATAACGTACAGGGCGAGAGCTACAGCTGCGGCTCCATTGTAAGTAGCATTCAGCATAGTGCTTTTCTCTAAGTCAAATTGCTCTTCCCGGTTGACCCGGTGCCTCGGTCACAGTTCGGAGACATGGAAAGAAGCAGAAAGTTCTCTTCAGAGGCTGACTGATCACCCCAGCTATTTTTCTACTGCGCAACTCCGAGATATTGGGTCATTCCAGGACGGGGGCTTGCAGGACAATTTTGCTGCTGGTATTGCTGCGAGAATCAGCCGGCGTATCTGGCCTTCTAGGGTAGGAATTGCAAGGTTGGTTTCGATGGGTACAGGCGAAGCTGCTTCCCGCCCCGACCAGACACCGCATTTTCGGCATGTTTTCCGGGATAGCTTCCTTCGAAGGGGCTTTGATGCTTTTATGTCCAACCTAGATACTAAGGTTAAATGGCTGCAAATGGTCGATCAGCTTGACTGTACTGTTCGAGCTGACTATTTACGGATGGATGTTTCTCTGGGTGGCATGCCGTGCACCCTTGATAATGCGGAAATTATGGATGACTACCGTAACCTGGTCATTCTCCAGCCAGGAAGTGCGCGACTAGCTAAGGAGGCAGCCATTGGTCTACTTGTGGCTCGTTTCTTTTTTACACTAGACGGCGATTTCGAAAAACCGGTTATCGGGTTGGACCTATGGTACCATGGCACAATCCGGTGCAAGGGTCCAGCCATGGCTGTTGTTGAGGCCTTACGGCGGTTGAGTCTGGAAAATGTAGATTTCGTGACCGATTCTGAGACTCTTGGAGCGTTTGGCGGCGTACAAGATATTTGTCCTGCTTGTGGACGTTATTCGAAAACTGTTTCGTTCACCTTACGCCATCCCGGTGAGATCATGAACATTTACATGCGTGTAAACCAGCACAAGCAGTGGAGGATAAGCGGGTTCCCGGCTAGCATGTCATCTTTTGCGGAGAAACAGTATCTGTACGATCAATTCGGCCGTCTTGATCACGGACGGCCTGCTGCAACGCCTTGTAACACATGTAACGCTGCAGCCGACTCTTTTCGCGGCAAACGCAGGAAACGGACATCGGCAACATCCATGGAGGAGCCGAGAAACAAACGGGTGTGTATTGCAGGGGACGTTGCAGACTAGTGACGACAAGTTTGCTAGTGCGGAATAGGGTATATTTTACCTGACAGGTCTTTGTATCTTATTACTGCTTTCTTTTGCTCCACGTTTGTATTACCGTTCTTTCGATGATATTCTACATTTCCGTTCATTGTCGTTTAAGTTTCGTAAAGATTCTCCTCTTTTTATTTTTCTTATGCATCCAATTCTTCCTACTTCCTTCGGTGTCAATTACCTATCAAAACCAAACTAAAACATATACGCATATATAGTTTGCCATACCGGCACCATACTGCCTTACCTGAAACTACCTGCACGGTTTGGACAGCTCGTCTCCGGCCGGACAGTACTTGTCCCGATAGACGTCGCCATGGTAAACTCTGTTTTCACTCAGCAGACGTATGAGCATTTTAATAAAATGGTGACGACTATTGTGGACAGAGCATTTGAGCTGTCACTCTTCCACAATTGCAAGGTTTACGTCCTCGTAGAACACTCTCGTGGGAGCCTTGTTTTTAACTCAGTTGACGATCATTCCTGGCCATTTTCGGACATGTCGCTGGTAAGTTGTACTTTCTGATTCTTTTTCTTTTCTTTTCTTTTCTTCTACGTATTGACACATTCTCGGATGTGCCTAGGATACTGGCAAGTTACCAGTAACAAGGATTCATGGCACTGACTTGGCTCACCTCCGATTCACCGAGTCAGAAAGAAAGGAATTCATTCAGCTATGGCTATTTTTCCATTACCTGCTATGCCGTCTGGATCCCCGGCAGCCGGTCGAGGCATACTTACCAGACGTAAAAGATCCTGACGATAACTGTTTGGAGAATCTTGAACCTGACAACTAAAGATCAGAAATCGGTGTATCATTGGATATTAGTGGTTGGCTCTCTGTATTGCCTCAATGTCATATAATGATACTATGTAAAATACGCGTATGACCGTACCCAGCCACCCAAGAGCGATTGTGTACAGTTGTAAATCCACATAATTTAGTAATTCAACTACCTGTGGATCGAAAGCTGCTATATAAATCCGAGTATTGCCTTTGACGGAAAAGGAATATAAATGATCTTGTTCAAGCCGTATACTCCTTCCATCTAAGCCAACGAATATATAGGTCAACATGAAGCTAACTGAAAGTCCCTATTTTATCATTATTAGTGTCGTGATAACACTAATGGCCCTGCACTGGTTGTACCGTTGCCTGTCATCGTTTTTTAACACCCGTCATTCTTGTCTTGGTCGGACTAGCCCTTACCATCTCTTTCTTCGTTATCTCGTATACCCAAGAGCTACTTTTCGGCTTCTGCAAATTGATACACTGTCTCCCTTGGGATTCGTTTTGCTTATATTCTATTTTGCAGGAACTGCGATTTTCAACTTTGTTGGTGCAACGACAACTGCGGAAAAGGGAGTTCGGGCTGCTCAACTTGCCCTAGCAAACCTGATTCCTCTTTACTTTTCTAGTGGCCGAGAATTCGGTGCCCACATCCTTGGTATATCTTTGGAGACATATGGAATTATTCATCGAACTACAGGATTTATGGCCGCCCTGCAGGCTGCTATTCACGTAACGATTGGTTATCAAAATAATGCGTTCAGCCTGTCGAGTCCTACGGGCTTTAATGGTCTATTGGTAGGTTTCAAGAGCCACATAAATGCCCAATGTGTTCTCTGTCATTTAACGCCGTTGATGTTGCAGCCCAATATACATATTAATAACGAAATAGGGAGGATGCATGCTTTTATCGCTTTTAATACTTCCGATGGTGAAGCGTCGTGTCTATGAAGTCTTTTTCATTACGCACTTGGTTTGTGCTGTGATTGCGTTAGTCGCAATCTGGAGGCACATTGATTCATCTCATAGCCAGTCCCGGAGATACATCCTGGCAAGCCTGTGCGGGCTCACCGCAACCGGGGCACTACAGCTGCTTCGCATTCTTTATCGCAACGTCGCCGTTGGTCGAAAGTCTGTTCGTATAGTAGCGAGACCTTATTCTGAAGATATCGTCCAAGCTGTACTATATATTCCTCGGCCGTGGAAGGTGCGTGCCGGTGAGAGAATCAATCTAGGTGTGCCATTCCTCGGACTTTTCTATTTATTCCAGGCCCATCCATTCACTATTGCTTGGTGGGAAGAAGATTGCGAAGGCAACGCGGATTCTATTTCTTTAATGTTCCGGGCTCGCACGGGCTTCACTAGAAAGGTGCTAGACTGTCTAGAGCCTGACCGTGAGTACTGGGCTTGGATAGACGGCCCCTTTGGGCCATCTTCGCCACAGAACTTTGGGAGCTCAAGAGAAATAGCAGACTTCGGACATATCTTGATGGTTACTACCGGTATTGGGATTGCTGCACAGCTGCCGTATATCAAGGAGCTCTTACGCAAATATCGGAATGCCAGCGTGAACACACAAACCATATCTCTGGTTTGGCAATTGGATCGCACTGGAGACTGGGAGAGCGCTCGCGATTGGCTACAGCAACTCGTCAAGGAAGACGATGGTTATGTATGTTTTCTGGTTTCTTGACCCGGACCCTTTGAGGATGAGCTTTCAATACCTGGCTTCTAACAATATGTAGATGCTAAAGGTTGCTGTCTATGACCTATTGCGTACTGATAGCCCTCAGGAGCCTCGAAAAATAGGTCATCATGAAATGATCTCTTTGTACGGTGGGGAAGTGAATTGGGCCGACATACTCGCAGGCGAAATGGGTAAAAGGACAGGCAAGCTTTTGGTTACTGGTGAGCAGACTTGCTTTTGTAGGATTTCTTCTCTAACAGCTGTATAGTTTCCGCAAGGCGGCGGATACGTAAGGTTGTGCGAAGATTAGTGAGGAACAACGTGCGTTTTGATGTCGAGTTATTTGAACTAGAGTTTCAGCCTTGGCGAGAGGGTAGAGATTGGCTATCTTTCTTCACCCCATAACTCTACAGCGCTAGGGAGCGCGTCTAAGGTATCAAAGAGGTACGATTCTACGGTGACTAGTGTAACCAAATCTAAGTGGAAGCCTATTATATCACTAATAGAATACTAGCCATGGTCCTCCTAGCCAGATTATTTGCTATTTTTCGTGTATTAGTTCTTTTTAACCTTATATCCCTTTTCAGACTACTAAACCCCTTGTAAAATACAGTATTTTTCTTCTTTACATCAGTACGCATCATTATGGTTTAGCCTGTTTTCTTTCTGAAGTTATATTCACAGGCAAGGTACGGGTGATCTATCTTCAAGATCATAGGAGATATTCAATCAAATAGATTATTGGTATCATCATGACTGTCAGAGACACTCGGAGCATAAATACACAAAACGAAAAACGAGCCTCTTGGAGGCAACTTTGTCGAAGACGCCTATCTGATCATATTGGTATGACTACTCAGCTAATCTAGGAGGTAGAGCTTACATATTTCATTCAGCGGATACCTTAGGTATACGGATCAAGCCAACCGAAGTTCGACTCAGAAAGGAGGAAGATATGCCTTACGCGTGGCACATTGACAACGATGAGCTGAAGCCTCTTTTTGAGAAACAATTGAGCAAGCATTCTGTCGGAGCTTATATGAAATTATATGTTGAGGTGGGACACTCTTTCTGGGCGGTTTGCTCGCAGCACGGAGAGGTATTGCATTACTAAAGTATAATGGTAATATAGAAGACGACTGACGTATTCATAGTCATCAACTGAGCCAAGTCTCAAAGACCAAATAGAGATATTACGCAATGAGAACGCTACTCTGCTACAGAAACTGAAGCTATCGGAGGAATACAGTGCTGAAGTGTCTCAGCGGAAAACAGAACTGGAATTTGAAGTATCCAATCTTCAGGATGCGATAAACGCCTCAAACTCTATTATCAGCAACTACCAGCAAGAAATCCAGCAATGGACTTCTACTGTCAAGTACTATGAGGCATACTGCCATCAATGCACGGATGAACTTAATCAAGTGATATCCTCCTTGCAGCGCTTAAAGGATTGTTTTGCACCTATTATGTGTGGAGAAGTAATAGAGTTCTAGCAGATAAACATTGTTGCATGGGGTTGGGAAAATTCACTTGAACCTCGAATGTAACAGCTGCAAGACTTAATATGCGTTTCATTTCTTTTCATTCTGTATGGATATAATGAAAACAAAGACGCTATATCTACTCGTGTTTACCTTATTACGCCTCGGGCAAATTATACGGATGTAGAAAGACACTGGCTTTTCACAATGCACGGGCATGTGGTGATGTCAAAAAAACATGGGATGGCCCAATGGTCAGTAGCCTTATAGATAAGACTAGAATGATATACAAATATTTTCAGTTTTGGACATGTAATTTACTAAGGTGTTAGACAAAAGATGTATTGTTTGTCACCTCAACCCTTGTTCTATATTTTCCCTTCCGGTGCGCATTATGCCAATGTTATATTGAGAAAACGTAGTGACACCTATGTAAAAATATCTGTATCACTAACAATATCGCAGATCGCTTTTTTACTGTCAAAATTATTTGTATTAGCCTAATACAGCGAATATTTTGAAACAGGTCCAGTCGTTGGATGTCCAAGCCACAAAGACATGAAACATCTCATGCATTACCTAGCGTACATACGCGAAAGAGATGTTGACGAAGTGATTGGCATTCAAGGTCATGAGTATGGCTCAACAAAAATCTCACGCCTCCACACACAGGGTTTTCAATGGCGCATTGCTTCGAATCCCCAACGTATTACCATAACATTTCTTTCCAGTAACAAGCAGTTATAAAATTCCAAGACAGAGATGTAATTGAAACAAAAGAAAGCAATATATTAGTGGAATTACGCGAAAGCCCTCTTGACGATAGTATTGTGTCCTTAGTATTACAGGCAAGCTTGTTCAACGGTTTGTATTCGCGCATGTAATGGGACAGATCTTGAGCGTAATGCTTTACCGTTACACGCTACATGGCATGTCTCTAAGGATGCCGGGTAAAGTCTCTACGATGCACGAGGTATATATAGGTCCATATCCTTCCGATTATCCCCCTTCCAAAGCAAGTTCAATTACTACATCGGAGCAAACTACTTCTCTTTACATACACTGAGCCACTTCTAACTCGAGCAATGGCGCACGAAGTTCCTGGTACCGAATTAAACATTAATACCACCTCTAACGATCAGTCTGCTGAAGTGGGAAATGCAGGTGGTGTTGCATCAGCTGGTACTGTGCAAGCCCCTGTGGGTACTGCGTCAGTGAGCCGGAAACGACAGGGCTCTCCGCTTGAAGCAGAAAATCCATGGGTGATTGACATCATTCGGGAAGCCACTTCGAAGCAAATTCACGAAGAGCTAAAGGCTAGTTTCTTACGCGGCGAGCCTGACATGAGTGCTGCAACCGTATTTTTCGCTGAAGTGAATCAGAAGATTCAAAAGGCGAACGATGAACATGGTGCTGAGAGGGACAAGGGCACAATCCCGGGCGATGCTTATGAAAAGCTTTATGCTGATTTCAAGACTGCTTTGGAGAAGGCTAAGCTCGAACGCAACGAAGAAGCTGCACTGTATGTTGTGCAGGAAACTCATTCAAAGTTTGCGAAATTTAACCAAGAGCACCACCTTCCTGAAGAGTGGAACATCAATCCTGACGCTTTCAAGCATGATAGCATGCCAGAAGTTGCCCCCAAACCCGAGCCTCAAGACAATGACTCGCTGTTCTCGGGCAGTCTTCCGGACTACACAGGAAGTGAGACAGATATTCCAGACAACGTGAGCACCCTCAAGGAGTTGGAAAGAGAGGCAAGGTACAACCAGTCTCTGTCTGCTGGTGAGGTCCTTTACTGGTGGAAGAGGGGTGTGGGCACACAGACATTTGTGCAGTACGGGCAAGGATCTAGTAAAACGTACCGGATTCGTGCAGGAAGCTACGAAGTGTACGACCCAGAAAGTGTTCCCCGCATTCTGTCATCAGGAGCACTGTCCGGTGATCCGTCGTCTGTGAGCTGCCGGGGTAAACAGAAGATACAGTATCGAAACGAAAAAGGCAGGATCGAGGAGGCATGGGCATATACGCGTGATCAGGTCCGTGGTATTGTAGGTGTCGGATGGAAAGTTGATGATGATGACGAAGAGGGAATAGAGCCACTAGACCTGCTCGTACCTGAGCCCTACGCAACTTACCCTCATACCAGGATTCTGGTTCTGTGGGTCGATGGTGCAGTCACTCTGGAGGACAGAGCATTCATCCGGCGAATTACTAAAGGATCTTACCTTAATGTCGCCCGAATCATCTATCATAAGGCCTTGCGACAAGAAATTCGTTATCGGAAGGCTGAGAGACTACCATATGAGCACCTTCTGGATCGTATGCCAACACGGGCGAAAGAAAAGCAGGTCATAGAGCTAGGGGATGAAGAATATGATCAGGACAGCGAAGAACTGAACTCAGTAGAAGAGGTTCAGCCCGAATACCGTGAGTCTGTGCAGGCTTCCACCATACGCCCAGCCAGCACCCGACCTCCTTCCAATCACGGTCGATCACGCACTAGCGAGGTCCGATTCGTTGAACCAGCTCCCGAACCGCGCAGGCCTACATCAGAACGTGGAACCGCTAGACCTTCGCCAAACCGCGTTCCACACAAGTCAGTGGAAATAGAAGATTCCCGCGACGCCAAGATTCGCTGGCTGGAGGAGCAGCTTGAAATGTCCCTGAATAGAAACCACCAGTCCTCCTATGACTCTTCATCACGCTGGAGACGTTACAATGGGTATGACGGTAGGCAGTCCGAGGTATCGGAATATACGCCTGAGCCGCGTCGCCGTCGGCGAGCAGTTCATAGAGAACGAGTCTGGGACAACTGGACTGGCAGCTGGGTCACTGCCAGAAGGGTTTACTAAATCTACTCACGGCCTGTGCTTGCAATTCAACATTTGCAGGTTTCACAACACTATCCCAGGGAGAGACCTCTCTGCCTTTCTTTTTGGGACTACCTAGATATATGATACGCTTTGGCTCACTCTATATCTAGTTACGTGGGATATGCTTCCCAATGTTCCTTTCATTATATCATTCCAGCTCTTGTTTTATTGTGCTTTCGTTTCAGATATTCTAGCTTCGCGCTGACATCTTTCGAACCCTCCCAGTCACTCATTGATAACCAACTTCATACTCTCCTTCTAGATTCTAGCACTTTGTTTTCCATAAATAGTCAGCTTATAGCTCTTCATTTAGTACTATTTTATATCTCACTATAATATAGCACGTATACCTGGACATCGTCCATAACAGCGTATATGACAGGCCATTGAAAAGAATACAAATACCAAGTGCACTCGTCAAAGGAGTAGCTGGACAGTATGAGTCGAAAGTTTTGCCTGCTGCTGTACTAGGTTAGGGTACGGATTACCTAAGCCTGTCATGACTGTGTCGTGCTCTTACATAATGATATTTTAATGCAGTGTGCTTATAGCCGTACAGGTTCTGTACCGTATTCTAACAATACCGTATGCATAGGGCTTTTGTCAACCACTTTATGTTCTGTAAACGGTCTCTATCGTTCGCATATAATCCCAGTTCTCGCTCGTAAAAATATATACAACACGAACTACACGACAAAAGGCCAAGGCCAAGGAGAAGCAATTCTGTTTCTTATAGTAGAACAATATGGAAAGTAGCAGCAAAGATCGCACCAGCTTGCATTGTCTACCGGTTGAGCTGCTCGAAATGATCATACGATTACTTAGCTCAACTACATCTTTAAAGCCTCTTTCGACGGTCAACAGAGTCTTTCGTCAACTATGCGTCCCATTCATTTTCCGAACACTTCGAATATCATGCTCCACGTCAGGATTGAACTGCCTGGTAGAGGCATCGCACTGTTCTATTGCACCATATGTGAAAGCAATCCGTTACGAGATTTCAGAGCGTATTGATCCTCGTACGAAGGTCCTGATGATCTGATCCAAGAAGTACTATTGACTTTACTTGTTACAGTCGCGCAGAACTGGGAAACATTTTGCACATATCTTTACACCCCTACCGAATATGCTCGTGACCGAAGAGATTCTTGCTGGGCGTTCGAAGGTGGGGAAGTGTCCTACTCTACCATATATTCCTACTTCAGTTCCTTGGCCAAAGATCAACAGGAGATAATTCAAAGCAATCGCGATCTCACTAGTTTGTGCACGTCACTTCCCTTATTTACAGGTCTTGATACGATCCAGCTTTGTTTCTCATCTTATATTAAGCCTCCCTTCGACTGGTGTGCCGAACGCATGCTACTGGACGGTCAACTCTCATTCCCACGTCATGTAGAGGTAATGGCAACAGCAATTGCCGCAGCCAAGAGATACCGTGTTGCTATTCATACTTTGATAATATCAGGATTCTACCCACGGGTCCTCTGCCAGTCTCGGTTAGTCACTGATATTATTAGCGAAGCATTTTCCGATGTCAAAGAGTTGCAACTTCACGATAGCCCAGCTATCTTAAATTTCTTTGAGCAGTGCCCTCTGCCTCAACTGGAACGGTTCGAAATAGGATGCTATTGGATGTCAGTTTCGCATCTGGAGAGGTTCATCTATGCTCATGCAAGAACGATCAAGTTCCTCCATCTTGAAGACATCTGGCTTTTTCGCGAAAACCGAGAAGGCAATATTCTTAATCTTACTCTGGCCGATACAAAAATGATACTTGACAGCTTAACCAATATCCGATGCTCTGGTATTTTAAGTGAACTGACGATAAATCGGAAAATCGATGGATGCTATGAGATCAAGGAAAGTTTTGCGTGAAAAGCTCCTGTCCTAACGAAAAGCTGGATAGGCTATATTCTCAAAATCCACTCAAAAGGCGAAGATTGGGACCAAATGCTTTCATTTTCTTTTCATTTTTCTATTCTTTCTGCGCTCCATTGCTTTTATTCTTCATCCCCTTCGCCTTGTTCGGGTTGCTTCATGGCTACAGGCGATGATTTTTCATCTCAATATCCTCTACATAAAATAATATATCCGTTCCTTTCAATCTAGTATCTTCTACCCAGTACTCACTATTGGGAAGCTTAACAGAGTCTGGTTGCCGCAAGGTTGGCTATACCTATGTTTTCGTGTTGCACAAAGCACACGCGTCTTGTACTCCGGTAGCCACAACATAGTATTGCTTGTGTAGCTTATCAACACTATCCAGCTTCCGGCGCCTGATTTCAATAGAGATATCATAGTATTGCTTTCCAACACTACATTTGAGTGTAGTTTATAGATCTATGGTCATGGTGATGCAGGTACCAGGCCTCGCACAGCACTAGCCTGTCAAGTAACTAGTGGTAGGCTTGTAGCCTCACTCTGCACTCTTCGAGAGTACGTACTCCATAACTACTGTAGTCCCTATGCTTCTAACCTTCCAACATCACACAAGGACGAGTTCTTGTGAATGATTATTTTCTAGTTCAACAATGGATCGAGCCGAAAAGCGTCCGTGGTTGTATGGGTTAACGCATAAGCCTTTACCGTGTATGTCCGTTATTCAAGTACAACCCCCGGATAAAACCAGTGGAGTACAGAACAGGATAAATTTGGTGTTTTAAAAAAAAATTCTGTAATACAGTATCTTACAATTCGATCGGCATTCACATGTGACTTCTTGTATCCCATTAAAGACTCTTGATGAGGAGCTGCCTAATTTGCGTATTTCAACGAAGATACGCGTTCAACGTATTATGTGGTATGGGTGGGGATGGGAATACAAGGTTCGTATAACAGTAACGATAACATGTAATGATAACAAGCTGTGACGGCACTAGCCATTCAAGATGTAATACCCACTTGTACTAACTTGCGAACACCGGACGGTCAAGCACGCTGTAACGCAGGCAAAACTAACATAACGAGACAAGACTGTATTACCACTTTTACATGAATAGGACAAATTTTCGCGGGTGTATTACGTTGTGTATTACAGGATCTGCGATACTTTCAGGGGCGAGATAAAAACAGGCCCTTGCAAAATATGCTTGGTATGGTAATTTTCGGATGGTTCGGTCGCCCTCCTCTCAGCAACTCTGTCCTCCCTGTCCCCTTATTCCTATGCAAACTAGCTGCTGTAACATCTTACATGGTCCTTACAATCTAGCCAGTGTTATTTAACCAACGAATCAGTGACAAGGCACATGAAGATAAGTGGATTACAATCTATACCAAAGGAATTTCCCAGTATTGCACGCAACACTAGGAATTATTGTAAAGTTGCCTTTGTCCATTACCTGGAAATTATCTGGTCATACCACCAGGATGTAGCCAAAAAAAGAAAAGAAAAGAAAATAAAGGCGTTGCTCGAGGAACGACTAATTCCCTCCCCCACCTAGAAAAGCTAAGACAGGGATAAAAACCGTTCATCCACGGTAAAGTTCCCGCCAGTTCGTTTTACGAAACCCACACTCAACGTACGTTAAATTTCCAAACATACGTAGCTTATAGTATTATAACCAGGTCACATACTACGAGTCATACGATTTCAGTAGAACCGCGGCGCCGAGAACGATATTGAACAGGTCCAGCTGCGACACCAAAGCCTGCTCGAGAACTGGTTGACAGACATATATGTAATACCTTATCAACCTTAATATTAAACGCTTCCAATATATATCCGTAAAAGGGTCACAAATCCACCATCAAGCAAGTCAATTGATTACTTTCCGACAGAGAGAAACAAAGAATATAGTATTGGCTTGTCTCAGTCTATCGACATGGGCACAACTAAGGGCTTGGGTTCACCGATCCAGATGAACCCCCCTCCCTATAACCGAGGGACAAGCTGCACTGCAGCCGAAGGAGGTGATCAACGAGACACGACTTTCGTCAAATACGGTAGTCCATTCACGATGGATCGTCTCTTCATTGGCCTCGATCCCACAGATAGCGGTATCACCGCCATTGAGCTTATAGAAAATAGGCCTGTGTCTTTCGTCCTCAAGGTCAAGATCCATGACCGTGATATCAAACTCGATCGTCTACGTCCAACATGCCACAGGTACCTCGCCAATCTCAAAGAGGCTTTTGTGTGTCACGAATCCCTTCTGTTTATTTACGAGAGGTGGGATGGGGTCTCACTCAAGGGGATACAAGAATTGCGACCCACCTTCGAGCTCGGAGAAGTCGAAGTGGCTACGATTTGCTGTCAGGTATGTAGATCACCTCTCAGAGCGCCATAAGTGGCTGATCAGGTGTCATTAGATTCTTCACGGGCTTCACTACATCCATAATACACTTGGTATCAGCCATGGAGCCATTAGCGAGCAGAATATCTATATTGATGATAATGGTGATGTGAGGATAGGTAGGCATGGTCATGTTTGGCAAAATGAAAGGTTTAGGCTTATCATAGGTAGGCAGGATTGGCGAAAGCATGATCCGAGGTTTAATTCATGGAGGAGAGGCCATGGATATAAGTGCGACATTGAATATTGGACGAAAGCTACTGGGCCTGCAAGGAACCTCTGGTGGTCGAGGAACTGTGGGCTTACTAGCGCATGATTTTACGGCTGCGCCACGTGGCGTCACTATCGAACAACTTCTTCAGGTAAGTTACTTGCAAGCTGATATTCTTTGCACACCGAGAATAAGACTAACGAGCCTCCTAAGCATCCATTTATGAGGCTTAATGCTGGATCTTGGTGCCTTCGACCAATCAATCTCCTATGTACAATAGCTCGGCGGTAGAATATCACATAAATACCGCAAGATCAAATACGAAATGTCCTTAGAATATATTGTCACCACAACCGAACGTCGAAGCAACACCCCTCAACAGCGTGTTTCATAAGTCGCATTTTAATAGCAATACCAGTTCCTTCAACCCTATCTACGGACATTTTGTCCTTAGAAATGTCATGTTATATAGCCCGTAGTGCTTCGTTGAAGATACAGTCCAATAATAGAATTATAGTTAAGAAGCGCACATAGCATAGCATCAGTTTGCTGTAGCCAGATCAACTCCTCTAGACAAGCTTCGAATTTTAGGAACCGAGATGCCGTTTTGCTGTGCGAGTATCTGAAAGGTCTGCCTTCCTTTTTCCGGTTTTGGCATCGTAGCATGAAATATACTCCCGCAGCTTTTCTGCCGATATTCTTCCTTCTTGGTCCTCCACCCCATGTAATGGACTGTCAATCTTTCCGACTAGTATCAGCCGGTGCTGCAATGCAGTGTCATATACTACGTTCACCTCAACCTGGACAATACCGAACTCATTGCAAACGAGGAAATAATGCTCTCTGGAAAGATCCTGTAAGGTAGAGCGCAATTCCCAACCACCACTGACGAGGAACTTGTAATAGCTGCGCGTTTCAAACAGAAACAAAATAATCAACCTACCATCATCTGCACCATACCACATCTGAAGAATGTCAACTGCCTTGCGATGTACTGATATCTCAGCCTTTATTGCGAGTGGAGCTTTGGAATCATGCTCTTCAAACCCAGTAGCAAGAGGCACATCATCCGTAATGACATCCATAAGAGAACGATCAGGAGTTCCGGGTGGGTGAGGTAGAAGCTCAACAGGCTCGTATTGGTAGTCATCAGGAGATCCTAGAGTGACCGGACGTCCATATTCATCTGCGTCGCCATTTGCACCCAGAGTTTGATTATTTTGTTCTAAGCCCACCACAACATTATCAGGAGCTACGCTTTCTGATTCCATTGGAGCAGGAATCCGCCCCTCTCGTGCCAGCTCTGGATCTTCACTGGGTGATGAAGACTGTCTCTGGGAAAATATACTATACAATGGTTCCTTCCCGAAAAAAGCAAAAATAATCTCCCTCGTGACGGCGAACGACGTTGGGTATTGTGAAGGAGATTGATCTGCGCTGTATATATTTCCGACAAACAAGTGTGCTCTATCTCTTAGGTATTCATCCAGTGTGGGAGAATTATAGCGTCGTCGGGACATATCCTCATAACGTTCAGTTGTAAATGCAGGTGGACTCCGTGGACCTTCCTTGTTCCGGGAGAGACTGCGCATGCCGGCGTTGAAATGGCGTGCCATATTCTGTACTTTAGAGTCATTAACTAAATAAAACATATTAATACAAAGACTTCGAAAAAGCTTCTCGGGGCCCAATCTGCTTTCGTCGGTACTCTGAAGTTCACGGATTCTATTGGACGAGAATCCTAATCGAGTTGCTAAGACAGCCATCTCACCCAATGACTGGCCATGAAGATACCAAGCTTCAGTTTGCTGCTGGCCGTTTACTTTTGGCGGTCGAGTAAAGTGCCTCAGAGCGAACAGCCATAGTTGGATGATACCGATGAATGACAGATTAACCGGTGCAGGGGCTGGGCTGAATTCATATTCTGAGATTTGTATCTCCGTATTATTCCCGATATCACCGACTCTGAAATGCCTTAACAGCGCTTGGTTCACCGTGTCTTTCTTTCTTAGTGGAATGAGGTGGCGGAAGGCTTTCGCTGGTGATTCGAGGAACCGTATATCCTGACTTAACGTATGAAGTGACAAAATCCTGCCTGGCGTTTGCAGTATCTTTTGGAGAAGACACTGACGATCCTCGGGCTCTGGAAGCCGAGGGAACAGTTGTCCCGACCTCATTACTTCTGAGATGAAAGATTGATCATCCAGAGAGTATTTAGGCATACGCCCTTCGATCAGTCTCACTGACTCTGCATCTACCATGCCCCCCTTTTCCATGCCGAAGAAGTCCGACCATTGGCGATAGATTTCCTTTAGATAGTGTGATACCAGCTATTATTCATATTAGTATAATATGACATAAAAAACAGCTCTGATGGTGGATACGGTCCAGAGTAGCATACCTCATGACAACGAAGGCCAAGTACTTGCCTCACTTGTGAAGCACTTAAATGGTCCCAAAGCCCAATGTATGGTAGCAACAGGTCAAATCCATTGATAAGTATGGGAGTCTGTTCAAGCCGTCTAATATGCTTCCGCCGTTCATCCGTCTGGAACCTTGCCCACCATTTCCTTTCCTGAGCATAGTGTTGGGCGAGTTTATAGTGCCGGTATATACGAAAACAATCACCCTCCTTGAAGTTCTTGGCATTGGTAGATTCTTCCCTTAGCTGGATGATCGCTTCAGCAGGTATATCTATCATTTGATCAGCATGAGTGATATAACAGTAGTTATTATATGCCAGACAACTTGGGAATCATACTCACCGTCGAGGTAAAGGTCAACTAGCCACGATGCTACTGCGTGTATTTCGGCTGCCTTCAAGCGATGTTTTCCGTAGAGACAAAGGAGTCTCACATTCTGGTTGAACGATAATGTCGGCGGGTTGGCATAATCAAATAACGCATTTGGTATGATATTGCACTGCTCGATTGTCTGACAAAGAATATCTTCTTTGATAAGTGCGGCCACTCGATGTTCAGGTTCAAGTTGCTGGCAACCCTCAAGTTCGTAGATTTTGGCCAGCCTGTCTACATTCCTGGGATCCAGTGGCCTAGACCCGAGGACCTCCTCACCCTCGAACATTAGATGACGTAATTCCACCAGTGCACATCCACGATAGCTACGCAGCCTCCGTTGAGTAATTTGGTCTGCTCGCTGACCTAGTCCGCCAACCTCCATTGTTGCTTTGTTGTTCACTCTATAATCGCACCGGAACACGAAGGTATAGATCACAGTTCAGGTGAACGCTACTGTTGTACAGTGCATTCTTATATTTAACACTATCTGTCCATGGCCCAAAGGTCCCTTAATTTAATGATACATTATGGTCGGATCCAGACAGCGAAGACCCTAGTCGCTCTGAAAGTAATTTCAGACGACAATTCAATAATATAGTAGTTAGAGAAGTAGTAAGCCACGTACAGGTCTTGAACCGTACAATGACCAGATAATCTGTGAATGTACAATTGCTTGCAAACACACTACAGTGCAATTACACTGTGTAGTGCAAATACACTGCGTAGTGCAAACATACTAGGTAGTGCAAACACACTGTGTAGTGCAAATACACTGCGTAGTGCAAGTACACTGTGTAGTGCAAACACACTGTGTAGTGCAAACACACTCTGTAGTGCAAACACACCGCATAGTGCAAACACACTGTGCAGTGCAAACACACTGTGCAGTGCAAACACACCGCGTAGTGCAAACACACTAGGTAGTGCAAACACACTGTGCAGTGCAAACACACCGCGTAGTGCAAACACACTCTGTAGTGCAAGCACACATCGCGCTTGTTCATACCAGTCTAGTATCTTCAGTTAACTCTCATTGTCATCGGATAGATGAAACAAACGATCATCTTTGGCCATTCCATGTGATGAAAATTTACCAATGGGATATAATTCGACATTCTCACTACCTTATACACATGCGCTACCTAGTGTGGATATAATGCCTATTTCAGATATACCACTTATTGCCTATGGCCATGCAGAAGACCTATTTAAGCTCGTACAACATTGTAATGGAACCGCTGGCAACATTAGACTCGTCAAGTAGCTGAATGGGAGCTATCTAAACTATAAATTGGGAGAGAAAAATATATGTCACATTATTTGTATCTGTGTATAAATTACTCAGTCATGGACGCGACAGCCAACTCGGAACCCAAATGGCAGTGCTTCCAGGTAGTATGGCTTGAGATTCCAGGCTCCTTCAGGCGTAGCCAGCTGCAAAAAGTCATCCTGTACCAGGGATCAGATTGTGAACATTCTTTTTAACCTTATCCAGAGCCTTTTACCTTCAATAGTTCTCCTACAGATTTACATTTTGTATTGTCGATGAACTCTTTAGCAGATACTGATAGGTTGGATCCAGTGGTCATAGTATCTGGCGTCTCAGACCCTACTAGCAGGGCGCGGTCATTGAGGCCAATGACCATAGAACCAACGGCCTTGAGATCGAGGTCTCTGTCCCTCAACGTCCTGCCGTTGAGCATACTGTCGCCAATATTAGCTGACAAGTTAGCTGTATTGGTCTTCCTTTCCTATAGGAAAGTCGACTTACCGATCTTAACTTCACCTTTCCATGTCAGTAGAATATTGCTCGGGTTTATTGCTCCATGAGACATCCGCAATTCTGAATGTATGTACTGTAGACCCTCTAAGACCTCTCTGCTGACAGTAGCGATTGCGACTTCGCTAAATTGTACGCTTCCTGCAAGGCAGCCTAAGGAGATAGGGATATGTTCATATTCATAAACGAGATGTATTTCGCTTTGCGCTTCAGCATATTCGAAAAGACATATCAGATTCTTATGTCGCGCTGGCTTCAGATTTCGAATATGCTTCTTGCTGCTTCTTGGGTATTTCTTAATCACGCAGAATGGCAAATGATGAGCATCTTTGAGGGCTAACACCCCTAGTCCAGCTTGGTCGATTGTGTAATACTTATCTATCTTGCAAGTACATTTCTGTAGTTCGGTATCCCGCTCAAGCAGCTTTCCTGGAGACTTTTGTGGAGTAGTGTTCGAAGATGCGGCTAAGTGAGTCCCTGGTTTCTCAGTGAAGGAACTAATACCTTTTGTTGGAGAGACCTGTAAGCCTTGCTCATGAATAAGATGGAGTGTTTTCGGAAGAAGAGTCTTGCGTTTGCCAGACATTGTCACGGGCAGTGGAGGCCTCTGGTAGATAGCGAACAGGAACAAAAACCAATAGCTACTCTTGCAGAAAGAAACAAAAGGAAAGGAAGGGAAAGGAAAGGAAAGAGGAACGACATCAGTGGGACACTTTCAACTAGAAAGTCTGGTACAGCTGGCGAGTTATGCTCTTGGACAGGGATGTGTATTTCATGACGGTAACAGGGATGAAGGTGTCTATTCGGTTTTGTAATTACTGTATTACACCTTTCTACGTGGGAGATTACTGTCAGCCAGCTGTAAGTATTATAAATGACAATCAGTTTATTACGACTTTTATCAGATGCAGAGATGCTTTTGAGGTAAATAAAAGACAAACGACTTGTTCCTATCGTGAGTAGTATCTGTCTATTACTCATTCCCACTTTGTCTCTACGTGGTCGTACATTATGGGCAGTGATACACTCAGGTCGGAAGGCTCCTGCGCAGAGGTGGTACAGCAGAGTGTAGGCGATGAGAAATCTGGGATTCGTCGCAAAGATACAAATCTGACCGTGGAAACTGAATATGTACACATGCTTCTGGAGCTTGACTGTATCCATTGGATATATAACTTCCTCTCAGGCTTTGCTAGTTGGATTTTATTGGCTGGCTATCTTGTGGTGCCCGGGACTTTTACCACTCTTCAAAGTTCTCACACGGTGAAGCAAGAACTTGATACAAATCGAACTAAAAAAGCCGTCCTAAGCACTATTCAGAACCCACCATTGATTGGTATATCATGCAGCTTGCTCGTCATTGGGGCCCTCACGATGACATACCTCTTCTTCAGATGGAAACAAAATTATTTCTGGCTTATTAACCGTTTATTTATGTAAGTTTCCTACGGAAGTGATCGAAAAATAGGGCATTGACTAAGATCTACAAGCCCGACTGCCCTCAATGCAGTAGCCGGACTTCTCACTACGCTTATCAATATCTACACAGCCAAAAATGGGAATTGGTCCATTATGGCTCTTCTAACGGTAATTGCAACGGCAACGACAGCGTTCTGCTCATTATCAGTGGCACTATTCTATAAATTTTGGAAGATTAGGAAACTGAAGGAGGAGCATGAAAGAGAACAAAAAGCTGGCTTGGTTATAGTGTACCCGTAGGAAGGTGCACAAACATGGAAGCGATACTTTATTTCTCATATGAACAGCGATTCGACGTCCGTGGCGGCCCAACTAACAGTATTGCTTCGGCGTCGACAGGGAGAGGGCCAACGTTTGAGTCTTGATTCTTTGTCCAACATCGAGATCTAGAATGCAAATCTGCATTTCAGATGTGTATTGATTATAACACTAGTACCTACAGAGTTCGCACTTTTTTTCACACTCATTTCAGCGATCCCGAAGTATACAGAAAGCCAATGTTTGGTACTTCGTTTTTTCTCTTTTTCTTTCTTTTTCTTTTCTGTTTCAATTCGCCTCCTCTTTTCCTTCGCTTTCTACTAAGTTAACTTGAACTTCTATCGGATTTACCACTCAACGAGACAGTCACTAGCGAAATGGCCTTCACCAACAGAAACCTTTATAACTTGCCGAAGTGATTTAACTCTGAACTAGCTCCAGAGTAGCTTTTCCATATTGGGCTGCCTGGAGAGATTATAAGGAGAATTAATGATATTTCATACTAAAACGAATAACAATACTTTTTTTTTTCGGGAAAAGAAAGCGCGTTGTAACACATTCTTTGCCAAAAAAAAAAGAAAATACAAGAAAAAGGAGGATAGTCAGAATATTGGCCATACTTTACTAAATTACGATATATAGCTGACACCGACGATTGGATAGTGCTAGATCAAGGAGCCAACAAAGAAACCGACGGAACATTCAGCTGTTCCTAAAAGAATATAAATACTGCCAGCAGTGCGACACAGATATTTCTTTAACAATTCAATTAAGGTATAGCAGCGAGATTGCCTTCTTTAATTCCGATAGGTCCTGGCCTCCATCAAAAGAGCAGCTGGTAGATAGATCCATTAACCCTGTCAGATATCTAGACTCTAACCAACTTAGGCAACGTACTATCCAAGACCCAAACAGGTCACTTCGCAGGAAATTGCGGCTCGATATAAGTCCTAAATATTTAGTATAAATATCGATACTAGAAGAGAGAATTATGTAGCAGTATTGCCCTATTTCTAGGCTCTTAGGCTCTGGTAATAGTGGTTGTAGAATCTATAGCAGATATATCTAGAATAGTAATACCTCTACCAATCATAGTCTAGGATATCAAACATTTCCAGGCTACAGTGTTTCATATATACAACAACTTCATTTCAGAAAATTAAGCGTTGCTTAACTTACTCATCATCTATTGGCACTCATTATCCTCTTTTCTAAATTTAGATCTCGATTTCTTTATATAAAGATCATTAATTTAATAAGTGGCAAAGTGTAGACTAAGAAGCAGGAGTCTAGGCTATACAGGATATATCATAGTTCAACCCTGATTTAAAACTCACAAATCCTCTCTCGACACAGACCAGTTACACTGGTACTCATGTTTAAGGTCTCAGAGATAGAATCAAATAACATCATCAAACCGAAACTGCAGCCTCAAGTAATTGTTCCTATCTTGAAGCAACTAAAGGAAAAGAGGGACCAACGCGAACGAGAAAAACAAGCTGCCCTTATTGAAGGTAGTTTAAGATCTGGAAAATACGTGCTCTTTCTACAGGAAGTTCCTTTAGATCAAGACTAGCCACTGCCGCGCATGGGATTGTATGCCTAGGACGAGCACTAGGAGTCCTATCATCCGGTCTTATTATCGTTTTCGCTTTGAAAGGGATATCTGCACGTTCTAAGACGGATGCTAATTGCAAGCGAGAAACCCCATCATAGGAGCGTACTAGCCACTGCGCTCAAATTCTTAAAAGATTCTTTCCATTTCCCAGCAAAATGTAAGAGAATAACGTCCGAAAATTTCTGATGAGCCTTCTCTTCGGCGTAATCGAGGGGGGTCTTGCCAATCGAGTCTCTGGTATGCAAATCCAAGGCATCTATTGATTCAAGGAACTCTACAAGTTCCTCGGTGAACGCACCATGAATTGCCCCATGATGTATAAAAGTCTTGCCATCAGTATCTCGTGCTGCTGGGTCCAAACCTAACTCAAACAGTAAATTGAGTGTTTCATGATCTGCTCCGTTATGATGCATAAGAAGATGCGCCAGATTTTCTTGACGTTCATTGACCCATAGTGGATCAGCACCTTTCCATATGAGTAGGTAAAAGATATCCCTGTCAAACTTTAGGTGGAAAGAGCCCACATACAGACTGAGGCAAGAGTTTCCCTTTGCATCTGGTTTGTTGGCGTCGCAACCACACTGTATCAGGAAATCAACTGCATCAACATAGCAGAGGACGGATGAGACATGATGGTGCAATGGGCTCCTGCCGTGGTCATCCAGCGAGTGCCAAAGCTGCGAAAGCTCGCTCTCGCGAGCCTCTGACATGTACTGCAGGACATCTAAGCGACTATAATTCAGTGCATAGTGGAATGGATTCAGCCCATGGATATCCTTCAGCAGAATATCGTGGCCGTTTGCTACAAGATTGCGCACAACCTCTAGGTTACCTGCCCTGCTGGCAAGGTGGAGACACGTCTGATGCGATCCGTTCAATTGTGAACTATCAGCTCCTTTCTCAATGAGCTTGCGTAAAATTGACCACGCATAATCTTTTTGAAAGTCTATCACATGTTGAGGGTAATCCCCACCAAGGTTAGCCAAGTTGACGTCGATAGTCCCACTCTCTAGGAGTATCTCAACAATATGTATTCGAGTTTTGTCAATGTATCGGAAGATATTGAAAGCTTCTTCACTTTCAAAGTCCGTGATCAAACCTCCCCAAGACTCAATGGCGTATTTGCCATTCTCCCAGACATCCTCATATTTGCGACCTAGAAGATGGCGCCTGATTGCAAGATGTAGTGGCGTATCGCCAAAATCGGAACGAGCATTCGGATCGGCCCCATGTCGGAGCAAAAAAGTGGTCGTTTTCGTGCATGCGTTCAATGCAGAGAAATGAAGTGCTGTTAGACCGGAATCTACATTCGCTCGAGCTGCGACTTGCTGGTCCTGAAAGCTGTGCGTAATGATGCTCACTGTTGTTCGTCCAGGCCACCATTGTCTTTCAATTCTTTGGCTCACCTCGAATCCATTCTGAAGGAAAACTTGTGCAAGTTCTGGATCTGAGTTCCCAATGGCATAAAGGAAAGGCGTCATATTATCTTTGTCACGCGCATATTGGGAGACCCGGCTTTTAAGCAGAAAGTCGGCCAGTTCGCAGTCATTGTCTCGGCTATTTTTGCAGATCAGATGGAGTGCGTTTTGATAATCGTCATCTAGAGCATTCACAGACGCTCCAGATTCAACTAAAAGTTTTACGGCTTCAAGTTGAGAGTGTTGAGCGGCAGTGAGCAAAGGGGTTCCGCCATGCGTATCTTTTTCTTCCAGCTCATCTTGAAAGCACGAGAGTAATGGGATAATCCCCCAGCGAGCTGCAACATGAATGACCGAGAGCCCAGTGCCCAAATCACCCCCAGAGCCTCTTTTTAAGTAGTTGTGACTATCTAGCCAACATTTCCACGACCCGAGTCGGTTTCGAAAAAATTGCTCAATCTCCTTTGAAACAGTAAATTCTGTTTGAGCTAGGTTTGCATGTTCCGGCCAGTGCAGTACTGAATAACCAAGGAAGCCGTGGCTAGGTTCCAGTGTTGACATATCCATGTCTGGTCGACAATACTGAAGGATAACCTCGATGCACCGATATGAAAGAGCATAATTTGATCCTCTAGGGTTGATATCCTGCATTTCCAACAGCAGAAAGTCTTGAACCGACCTGTGCAGCATTCGCACATGGCCATTGTCAACGACAATCAACAGATGGCACAATCCAATAATGTCTCTCGTGAACTGAAGGCGAGTTTCAAGATCTTTGTCAAGGTATAGTCGACATGCCCCAGCTATTTCCACCAACGTCAGCGGTCGCATTGCGAATGCAACAAACTCCAAAATTCTCTTGATAAGTGGGTAATCCTCTGAGCCATAGACTGTGGTGGATGTGACAGCTGCATCAAGCAGGTTTTGATATAAAGAATGCAACCCTCGTGGAAAAGCCTGGAGTGTGTCGATTACCTTCCTCGACCTCACCGATCTCAATTCGTTATAAACAATACCGACCCAGAGAAAGGTTCCATCCGCCTTCTCTTCAAGGATGCGAGATACTTCCCAAGCAACAGGCTCAGTGTACTTATTTCTCGTTGCAAGCTTTTTCACCGTATTCTGTATCATAATTTGCAGATCTCTCTTTACGTCTTCGCAAGTCCCTAGGTCTTTACATCTGAAGATAGATAGGCAACACTCAAGGTTAGGATATGGACGACTGATGATCAGCATGTGTAACTTGTGTCGGGCTGAACTTGTTAGGCCTTCTTCACTGAATGACTGGTATATTTGGTGAAGCAGCATTTCCTGGGAATCAGCTTCGCATTCGTCCAAGGCATCAATGATGCAGTATATCTCGGGCCCCTCAGCTGCTCTTCCCATATCCATCAATATGGCCCATAGCGTATCAAATGAAGTAACAAAGTCATCGCTTCGAACCTCATATCTCGACATGACAATCCTCATGAAAGGCGGATATTGATTAAGTATCTGATATATGAGGCCCCTTAGGATGGATGTCGCCTCTCGCTGGCGCTCCGAGCTGGCTTCGCAAAAGAAGAAAGACAGAATATTATGTCCGTCCACGAAATAATCTTTCTCCGGTAGCTCCTCTACAAGTGTCATGGCCATTGTCGACTTGCCGATCCCCGGGTTACCATATAACCAGAAAACATTTTGTTCCAGGCCATCAATGTCTTCATCTCGCTGAAACCAAGATTTGAGCTCGCTTGACTCCAAAAACCAGCTGCAGGTCCCTGGAGTGCGATTTCCTTTTCTCCGCTTCAAGGAGCTCATGTCTTCCTCAGGATCAGTGATGAACAGATTTTTCAAAAACACCTTTTCCCTTTCAGTAAATCCGAACCCTAAAAATACCATTTAGTAGGACGCAGGTGATAAACAGATACCCAAAAAAGCATACCTTTCTCTTGGCATACGGTGTCCTTCACTAGGGGAACGAGTGATAATAGTGCCTTTGTATAAGCAGCTGCGGCAAGGGCTGCATAGCCCTGCCAGTCGTTCTGCTTATGAGAATCACAGTAGTCACATATTCCCCGTATTACTAAACATGAAAGCTGATCCATAATTCCCGCCGCCTCCATTTCAAAACAGAGGGCGTGGAGATCTTTGGCAATGGAGTCTCGCGCCTGCGCATCCTTCATGACTTGATTACCTGACACAATTAGGCCGTAATGAATATGCGGCTCATCACTTGCCCGCGGCTCACGCGAAACCAGTTGACTTTTGTCGCATGATGAGCAGTCCGGGTTGCCCCTTGGATGCTCATACATTGCGTGAAAGAGCCAGTCCTTGTTTGGGCGAGAAAAGTGCCTAGTTGCCTGGTGTTCCTGCAAGGCATCAGAAACTATCTGCTTAGTCTTTGTCTCCGGCAATAGGTAGGATGACCGCATTTTGGAAAGGACGGTTAGGAGAAGCGGAGACGGCTTGTTGAGCAAACCCATGGGCTCCAAGTGTCCATAGCACATCTTCCCATAATCATACTGAATCACACCGCCGTATTTTCCAGTAGGCATACTGACGACCACATCGCCAAGGCGAACATCGGCACCGCTTAAAGGTGCCCCCCCTCCGACTCCGACCATCAACCCGAATCTAATAGAGGGGAATGTTCGTCTCATATGAGCCACCGAAAATGCGGCAGAAGTCGTTCCACAGACACCGGATTGTAGGCCGACAATTACTATATTATGTCCACTCATGCTCCCAAGAGTGTAGATATTACTGTCAATATCCGATTGGGGAAGTGGACTGTGGACGTCATCGAGTAGGGCTGTCACAGCAGCCTGTTCGATCGACAATGCGCATATACAGGCGACCGTGTATTCATAGTGTAATATATCCCGCGTCGACATTCTGTGGGATAATAAGGGAGACTATAATTGACTATATCAGGTATCTGGGTGCACACATATCAGGGTAGGAGAGTCCAAAGGTTATATAGCACGGCGAGTGAAACTTGTCACGACGGAGGAGGGGCTAACTGCCAGGCCAGAAGGCTGACTGTACTAACCAGGCGACAGCCTTAAACTTTCGCCAAGCGCGCTCGATCATCACTAGGCTGTGTACTTCGTCTTCCAGCAGAAAAGAAGTTTCCAACCGGCTAAATTAATTAATTGCGCTCTATTACCGTGGTAGCTACTGCCCGTCGATAGAACTACAGCGGATCTCACTTCTGTACTAAAGAACAATGACGTAATTAAATGGCTCAAGTTACACTAAAATTTGTGTCACGTGATTATATGCTCTGCTCTTGGCCATGCTTATCTATAGGAGGCAACTTGATCGATCGCCCCGCACTGTATCCATGACTCTCAGCTTCTCAGCCCCACGCTCCCACTACGGTAATGGCCGCTCTTGCCCGTTCATCTACCGCCACATTAATAAATCTGCCTGTTGAACTCCAATTTCAAATTGTCGATCATCTTGACTACCCTTCACAATTTGTTTTGTCTCAACAAATAGGTATCTACGCTCTATTGTTGAGGTTGAAATGCCTACAACAGTTGAGCAAAAGTTATCATACTTGTGTTGCAGAGACATGGAGAAGGTAGTATTATATAAGGACTTATAGTTGTATCGTAACAGAATACTAACAATAATAGGTAAGAGGATTGCTTTGCTTGTAGCCGCTGTCTGAGGTTTCCGTTTCAAGGATGAGTTTGCCGACAAACAAGTGTCGGGGAAAAGGGGGAAACAACACGTTGAAAATAATCGTCGATTCTGCCTCACTTGCGGTGTCTGGAAAGGTATATACCAAAGTGGACAAGTGATACAAATTAATAAACACGATCACTTCCTCTGCTGTGCGTGTTGGGCCACAATATAAGGAGAATACGGGGATACTCGTGAGCATATAACAGATCAAATCCTCTATCTTCTGCCCTCGACAAAGCTGGCTGTAGCAAGATTCACCCTACAAATATAGTCTATCAAACTGTGCTCAGACCACGGCGCTCAAATAGCTCACGGGCATAGCATCAGCGAAAATATAGACTTCGCAGGAGTCTATTTAAGAATGCGCATAAATTTGGAGTTGAATGTGATGCTGATGTTTGCGTGATTCTTCGTACCCAGAAAGATGGTCGAACTTTTTCTTTCAATACCGACTCTTTCGAAACGTTCCTGCCTTTAGTGGCAGAGTTGGTACGATTTCCCTTAAGTCCAATGCAGTGCCAGCCTATCTATCGCTAGAAGAATAATAAAAACATCACTCGAAATGCTCTCGGACCATCCTTCGCAAAAGACCAGCTCTCCGCGGCTGAATCACCGGCTGTATCTTTACTTGGTAACGTTTCACGTTCTCTCACTTCGTCGATTTGTATGAGCAGTCTCTGGTTCAATCCCCCAGATCTGATTGGGACAGCCTGCGAATTACCTCGTGCAACTCTCGGCCAAGAATCAATCCTGAGCAAAACAATCCCCCTAATCATCATGGACCGGATATAAGTGACAGTATCGGCAACGCCACCTAGGTCCTTTGTTCGATGGCGTTCCCGCCCAGCCTAGGAAATGAGGTTTTCTATATCGAAGCATATATATCTTCCTTCCACCCTGGTGACCAGCTTGTTCTTAAGGTTACTCCTAAGACAACCATTAAACTGGCCCGGAAACACCGACTGAACTATTCCGGGTATCCAACTACCAGTAGCAATAACTGGCATCAAACGGAACTGCAACTGGCGGTGTTATATACACAATTCCATCAGGTGCTAGTTAATTTTGTTTATTTAATTCGTGGGGACGTTCTGGGTACCTTATAGGAACGCTAGAAACAAAAGGTGCCAGGCTCGATCTGGAAACATGTTAAAACTTTGATCTAGGGTTCTTCTTCCCTCTCTTAATTGTATATATCGGTTGATAGTGTTTTTATCAGTTAGAGGACCTATTGAAGGTTAGCGTGGGTTATAGATCACTGATTGGCACAGCCAATATACACTAATAAAAATACATGTCTCCATATGAGTTGTACACTTTAGGTCATTGTATTTACACTACAGAAAGGACGTTGGCCCTTCTCCCAAGTAAGGCAATTCTTACTTGACTCTTGTTAGGTAAATTTTTTTTATTACCAGGGTTTGCAAGTGCCACAGCTTTGCAGAAGAGGGTTCCCCGCTTCGTAAACTGAGCCAAGATTGGTCAATGTATGCAAGTATGTGTTGTTCAAATGCGACTTGTCCGCGGCAAATATGTAAGTTATTCTGAAATGAATGCCTTATATGATTCAATTTTTGAATCCATTCCCGTTATCTTGAACCCACCCAGTAACCAAGGCAACAATAGCTTCTATTCGGATCGCAGACATCCATCGTCCAGATCTGACAAATTCTGAGAAAATAGGGCCATCCATCACGGATGTGGAGTATTTGTTCTCTTATAATTGGATCGAATCGTCCACCCCCACTATTGCCGTCCCCGGCTGCCCTTCTCTTTGGTCCCCACGCAAAACCTCCAAGAAAGTGGCCAAAGACTCTGGGCTTATTTACATCGCTCAAAACGCGGTTCGCTATTCTGAAAGCCCTTTTGAACCACTCTTTCGCTCGTTATATATTGAAAATCCTCTATACAACATACGCCTAGTTGATCTAATAACTGATCGAAACAATATTCATAAACTTTTATCGTTTATCAACCTAAATCTCTCTAAAAATGGACTTGAACCTTTTACCATTGACGTCGAGGTCACGAACAATACGGCGATTTTTTGTCGAATGGAAGCCGAAACATATATGTTTATCGGGCCATACGAGTTCCGGGGCTACGGTCACGAGTTTAAGAAAGCGTTCACTACTACCCAGGTTTCCGCTAGTACTGGGCATTATAGGATTATCTCCTACAACTTCGGTGATTTAAAATTCATAGTACGCTACGAAACTGACGCATATGTTGATGAGTTTTTAGAAGTTCAATCTCGAAATGTGGAATTGGAAATTGGGAGCTTACTAAGTATGATGAAAACCTTGTCTCTTTCGCAACTCGAAAGTCGCTCTCGTCTTCCCGCCGAGTCCAAACTAGTGATGAAAGAAGAAGGCAAACAAGTATTAATTCAGTCAACTCTTGAGATTAAAACACGTGTTACTCATAAGCCTATTAATCTCCAAGAAGTCCTTCCACAGTTATAGGTATCGCAAACACCTAATCTTGTCCGTGCCTACCACAAGGGTGGCTTATTTGAACCGCCGGAAGTCGAAGCTGTCGCTCGTGAGATTACTAAATAGGAAGAAGACCATGCTAGTGATCTTAGGGGTTTGGTTATACTGATTAAGGAAATCATCAGAGTGGCGAGGGAAAATGACGGGAACGCTGTTATCAAATATGACGGTCGAAGCGATAACCTTGAGGTTTGGAGGAGAAATGGAAGCAAGATGTTACCAGATGATCTTTATTCGAAGCTCGATACAATCAACCCATCAGATGACGAGAACACAACCGAGGACAAGTTCTCTGAGCCATACCTTTCTGACGAGTCTTAGGTCAGAATGTTTGGGGAGAAGAATCTCGTATGACTAGGCTAGCCTGCAGGTATTTCGGGGATATTGCTCTCTGTCTCAAATTAAAGTTCTTTCAGGGTCGCTGGTGAATACTTATGATGGCTCTAGCCGCCGTAATATTGATTGGAGCACGTTTTCCACATGATTCAATATTTCCACCCCTAAAGCACGAACTGTATCCTTTTTGTTCATTTTGAAGTTTAATCTGAATTTATCCTAAAACATAGTGCCATCTTTATTCACAACAGTCTTGATTTTCAATAAAACAAGAGGAATCAGCTCTTCTCCCGAGAAACTAACGACTGCAGATCTGCAAGAGCAGAATCAAGGGATGAGGCTTTCTGAACCTCCTTTACTAGATTGTTCACATCATCTTCCTTCCCAGAACGCAGGATACTGATTAAGTACATGGATACATGTCGATAGCTTTCCATGTCTTTCTCTGCAGCCTTCCGTGTCAATTTTCGCCGTTTGTCTGTTAAAGGCTCGAAACAACACTCGCTGTTCGTTGCAGCGCATGCTCCACAGGGAGGAGGGCCACTGCACTTTAGAATATAAGCAATACTTAAACGCACGTATTATGAGATAATACATACTTTTACTTTCTTTCGTTGACACGATGAGCAAGCTAAACTCCGCCGCTTTGACCTTCGCTCGGCACAGTGAACGGGGATAGGAGGCTTATGAGGGCTGCGATATACTGCAGGCAAAATTGTTCTGAGTGGGGCTGCAGGACCTGCCATTGACAACGTTCGCACTGGTGCTAATCGTGTGTAGGTGGCAAAAAAAAAGAACTCAGGATGGAGGTGAGAAACAATAACTATAACTTACGAGACCAGCTTCGCATTCTCTTTATAAGAGACTCTCTTTCTGTTTCTATTTCTGTTGTGTTATCCATGTTTGCTATTTTTCCAATAACAGACGCTAAGTATGCATACAGCAAACAAAGACTAGGGCCAGTTGGAACAAAGAAAAGCAAACTGTACTATTATAGGTATAGATAATATTCATCTTATAAATCCTTCCAGGTTTGTCCTTTGACATTTATAGCACCAGTACAAGGTTAAAATATCCAATATCTTTATACGCTGATATCCTATTCTCCTTTAGGAAGAATATCTCACGATTATACAAAGGAAATTGGAGTATAATTAGATATCTCAATTGTGGGGTTATAAGGTGGATCTGGGTCACATGCGGCCAAGAAGAAAAAAATAAATATAACAATAAAAGAAAGTACAGATTGCGAATGGAGTCGGAGAATAATATATCCGTTGTGCTAATATCCTTTGAGATATTTCTGTCGTCTACTCGTCCGCCTCTTATCTGCAGATCCTCGAAGCCCTGCTGCCACTGCTGAATATGCGGGTTATTACCGTGAATTTCTTCATGAACTGGTGGACTTAGTACGAAATGAAGATCAAGTAATGTTAGCTCGCATTGTTGGTATTATACGATCTGGCGCATCTCAGGATGAGGTTCTTAGGGCGATCCAGAGCGCAAATAGTTTGTGCGAAAAAACGGATTTTCGCCACGGTTCTGCGTATGGAACTGTCTAGTTGCACCTGATTTAGGCTATGGATGGCTTTTTGCGACGAGAATTATCATCACTAATGGCTAGAACCAATAAATGTTACAAGTTATAATGGGGGCGCTGAAGGTGTAGTGGAACTGCCAAACTAAATTAAGGGAGGGGTACTTACCGATTACGGATCACGGACTAGCTCATATTCTTGGCTCAGCTAATCATAACCGTTGGCTATGCTTATAAATACCCGTTTACCTCACATTGGTCATCATCATGGACCGCCTCGTATCTATCGACTAACTTAAATGATCGGAATATTAGATAATCCATTATCAGCCTCTCTGAATTTCACCACGTTGACTCTGGCACTGTGCCCCTGAGTAGTGTTTCTAGACTCTCTGCTCCTCTTCGGTGTACCTTCCACTCCTAAATCCCATTACTAGTTCCTATAGTTATCCAAATAGCTATTGCCTCTCAAATCGTCAAACCCTTATTAGCAAAATTAAGCGAGTATGTTTGTCTGTTGAGCAATGTAGCGGCGCTCCTAGATCATCGCCAAACGCACAACTTGTCAAGATGGACAGGGAAATGCTACCTCTATACGCACATACTGAGCCAAGTTCATCTCATGAACCAAAGCGACAAAAGACGGTCCACCCCAGTCTTCGGCGACATGATCAGTACACAGTCGGTTGGATATGCGCGCTGCACATAGAAATGGCAGCCGCTCGGGCTATGCTAGATGAGGTCCACGAACGCCTACCGAAGCATACAGATGACACCAATACCTACGTACTCGGAAGTATCCAGCAGCACAAAGTCGTTATCGCATGTTTACCAGACGGACAATACGGAACTAATAATGCAGCAATAGTCGCGACGAACATGTTACGAACGTTCAAAACAATTCGCATCTGCCTGATGGTAGGAATCGGTGGTGGTGTGCCAAGCAGAGCTGATGTGCATCTGGGTGATGTCGTCGTTGGAACAAGAGTTATGCAGTGTGATCTTGGGAAAATCATCGGAGACGGACAGCTACTGCGAACGGCAATACCTAGGATCCCTCATCAGTCGCTTGGGACGGTTGTATCCGCCCTACGTTCGAAACACGAACTGAGTCCCAGTCGAGTCTCGACAATCCGACAGCAGAATCTAGGTAGCCAACCAGGATATAGTCGTCCAAACGTGCCGGACCGCCTCTTCCATGCAACATATGACCACGAGCCTTCAATCTCTGGCTGCGACGGATGCGACCAGTCCAAGGTTGTCTCACGAAGCAGCCGAAGGTCGGACGAGATAAAAATTCATTACGGCGCTATTGCTTCAGGAAACCAAGTCATGAGAACTGGCATTACTCGGGACAACGTAGCTCGACAACTAGATGTCATATGCTTCGAAATGGAGGCTGCTGGTCTAATTGACATTTGTCCTTGTCTCCCAATTCGGGGGATCTGTGACTACTCGGACTCTCACAAAAATAAAGAATGGCAAAGGTACGCCGCAGCAACTGCGGCGGCATATGCTCGGGAACTTCTTGAGGAGATGCCTGTGACTGAAGTATATATAGGGAATACGTATGTGCATAATCCGTGTAGGTCCTTTCCGGAGCTTAATGATGTTTAGCTCGTTCTGCTGACCCTGGCAAGTAGACTATCGTTCACCCGACGACCGCCGGCAACGTTTGTTAGATTCCCTCAGGTTTGAGCGGATCGATTCTCGCAAAATGAACATCAAAGCTGCCCACTCCAAAACGTGTCAATGGTTTCTTGGTCATTCTAGCTATAAAGAATGGCTCGATCCTGCCGCATTGACGCGACACCACGGATTCCTGTGGATCAGCGGTAAGCCGGGCGCGGGCAAGTCAACGATCATGAAATTTGCATACGAGCGCATGAGGAGGAAGGCCCAATCTAGGCACACCGTCACGGCTTCCTTTTTCTTTAATGCGAGAGGGGAGTCGTTAGAGAAGTCGATCGTCGGAATGTATCGATCATTGATACTTCAACTACTTGAAGGGTACTCAGATCTCCAGACAATCTTGGACGACTCGGAGCTTGTTTCCCAACATTTTGATAGCTGTCCTCCCTTAAACAGTCTTAAAGACCTTTTTTATAACTCAGTTTCCGCGCTCGGCCAACGTGAACTTACTTGCTTCGTCGACGCTCTTGACGAATGCGATGAACAACAGGTTATCGATATGGTCCAGTTCTTCGAAGACCTGACAGAACAATCTTCGGCTAAGGGTGTCCCGTTCCGAATATGCTTCTCTAGCCGACATTATCCTTATATCGTCATTCGACAGGGAATACGACTAACGCTAGAGGATCAACCCGGTCATGCAAAAGATTTGGAGACATACGCTGCTAACTCTCTCCGTATTGACGACCCTTCACTTGCCGAAGAGCTACGAGTGCAGCTTTTGGGTAAAGCTGCCGGCGTTTTTATGTGGGTCGTCTTAGTTGTCGATATCCTCAATAAGGAGTATCGACGCGGTGGGATGTTTTTAAAAAAGAGACTCGCCGAAATACCGAGTGATCTGAGTGACTTGTTCAGGGACATCTTGAGACGTGACAATGAAGATATGGAAGCTCTCCTGTTTTGCATCCTCTGGATTCTCTACGCAAAACGCCCACTACAACCGAAAGAGTTTTATCATGCCATCTGGTCTGGCTTATCACTCAAAAGTCTTGTCGATGACCAAATTCCGGACGTCACCATTCCAAATTCGACAGACGGCCTGGACCAGTTTGACAGGTGTGTCGTCCACTCCTCAAAGGGACTGGCTGAAGTTATAAAATCCAAGCAGCCGACCGTGCAGTTTATCCATGAGTCTATCCGAGACTTCCTCATCAAGGACAATGGCCTGTATGATTTATGGCCTGAACTTGGTTTGGATTGTGAGCGACCAGGCCACGAGAAGCTCAAACAGTGCTGCTCCCGCTACATGAATGATACCTTGGTATATGCATCTGTCAGTAAGCTGCTATCCATGCCTAACTCAAACGCGCCGATGGAAATCTCAAAAAGGTTCCCTTTACTGCAGTACGCTAATCAGTATATCCTTTACCATGCCAACATTGCCGCAGGAGCTTTTTCTCAGAAAGAGTTTTTGTCTTCTTTTCCTCTTTCCACCTGGATCATGATCCACAATACTTTCGAAAAATTCAAGGCCCGTAGATATACTCAAGGAGCAAGCTTGATGTATGTTCTAGCGCATAATGGACACTCTGAGCTCATCCGTATAAGACTCAAAGATGAGCCGCAAAGTTATGTGCCTAAGGAGCGATACAGATACCCTCTCTTTGCTGCTTTAGCAAACGGTAGGAAAGACGCCGTTGCTGCTCTTTTGGACTTATCCACCTATATATACGAGGGGGTGGATATTACTGAGGGCCTGAAGAGTAGAAAAGACTTGAGGGGATATGAAAGTCAGACACCGCTATCTTGGGCTGCTCAAGAAGGGCGACACGTGATTGTTAAACAGCTCGTTCAGAACGAAGCAGACATTAACGAGGAAGATAGAGCGGGGCTAACACCGCTTTTACGAGCTTCACAATATGGCCATGAGGCAGTAGCAAAGCTTCTTGTCGAGAAGGGAGCGGAGGTCAATGCTACTGACAAAGACGGTTACACACCACTACTACTAGCTTCAGAAAGAGGCCACGAGACAGTGGCAAAGGTTCTTGTCGAGAAAGGAGCTGAGGTCAATGCTACTGACCCATATGGATATACACCACTACTACGGGCTTCACAATATGGCCATGAGGCAGTAGCAAAGGTTCTTGTCGAGAAAGGAGCTGAGGTCAATGCTACTGACCCATTTGGACGTACATCACTACTACAGGCTTCACGATATGGCCACGAGGCAGTGGCAAAGGTTCTTGTCGGAAATGGAGCAGAAATCAATGCAAGTGACGAATACGGATCCACACCACTAATACGGGCTTCAATATATGGCCATGAGGCAGTGGTAAAGCTGCTTGTCGGAAGGGGAGCGGAGATCAATGCCAGTAACAAAGAGGGATACACACCACTAATATGGGCTTCAGATAGTGGCCATGAGGCAGTGGCAAGGCTGCTTGTCGAAAGGGGAGCGGAGGTCAATGCCAGTAGCAAACACGGATCTACACCACTACTACGGGCGTCATACAATGGCCATGAGGCAGTGGCAAAGCTTCTTGTCGAGAAGGGAGCGGATGTCAATGCTACTGACTCATTTGGATATACACCACTACTACGAGCTTCAGAAAGAGGCCACGAGACAGTAGTAAGGATTCTTGTTGGAAAGGCAGGGCACGATTGAACAGGAGCTGACATGTGTCTCACGTCGTCGGGTAGGGACATGGAGTGTCCAACGTAATCCTGCCGGGACTGTTGCCTCGCTCGGTTCTGAATAGCGACTATTGGGGTCCTACTTTATTTGGTATAGTGCTTACCGGCGTTAAAAGTACGGGTGGGTCTCGCTGAGCGGAACCACGGAAATGCCAGGTCTCCTGCGATCGGCGTATCCGACCACCCAGGTGCTGTTTGCCTCCCTCGCTTTTCCTCTCTGTTCGAAGCACAAGATGTCGTTGGGACCTTTTCCTTTTTCTCCATATTCCCACCTTAGCTAGAATGATTTATCGCTGCACTGTCAATTTGACCCCCTTCGGCTACCTCCCTTCACCTCCGAGCCTGATTGCCTGATCTACTACGATCACCTTCCCCAAGCAGTGTTTGAAATTGCCCAGCGGATTGCGTGGTTACTACTTGTGTCAGGCACACGTACCTATGTCACTGTCGGCATATTCGGGGTGCTTCTGCGATATCTGGCTTGAAATGAGAACGGAGTATCGTTAGCTCAGTCAACATTTCCCCTCACAACTTATCATGGCTAAATGCTGCTGCTGTATTAGTTTGGAAAAGGACGGTGAACTGCTACTTTTTTACTCTCCTAAATTAAGCTGCAGAGCTGTACAACTGGACTTGGCCTGACAGGCCGGTTCACAACATCATTGCCAAATGTCTAAATCGATAAAGAATTTTGCAACTAGGGAAATCTCAAATCAAACACACATCAAGAAAAAAAAAAAAAAAAAAAAAAAAAAAAAAAAAAAAAACAAAAAAAAAAAAAAAAAAAAAAAAAAAAAAAAAAAAAGGGAAGAAAGAAACAGTAAACAGGCAAGTGGGATTCAACGCACACTGCATTGTTGCTGACCTTCACCTCTCTCGAAACTGCGGGTCCTCTGAGTTCGCGAAACGAGTATAACCTCTAACATACGTAGCCCTTCCCAAAAATACGTTTCTTGTTCTGTAACTTCTTTTCTTATCACCCAGTTCAAAGTCTGGCGGTTTTCTAGTATGGTTGTGCTGAATCGTGTGCACATGCTCTTTCCACATATGTGTTATGCTTATCCTCGTTGATTCTGAAGGCCTTAATCATAATGGGGTGCACGTCTCAGTCAGCGATATCTGCCGCAATGTACTTTGTGAAGGTAACTCGCCTGAGCAGTTCTACAAAATCTGCAATCCCAAGTAGAAGGCAGGCAAATTATACAGCCACGTCTGTCCTGGGCATAGGGGAATTAGAGACATATACAAAGCACTTATCAAACGCTGATAGCTCAACAACCAAATTCGTCGGGATTGTGGTGGATGTTGCGAGTAACAGAAGTGCAGTAAAGGCACGAAAAACCAAAATATAGGGGCTGTGGAGCGATTGACGGATTTCTTGGGGTACATGGCCAATATCTGCCAGTGGTATTCCTTTATAGTGACGGTCAAGCCTCGATTTATAATAATACAAAACAGCTAGCTACTGTGCAGATATCTTCGTAATAAGTTCCTATCTGTACCCTACCTCGACACCCAAATAATAATCCATTATAGGAACTATTTGATTACCCCAACCAGTGGACCTAGCCGCAGTATAAAGTATTGGTCCGCAGCTATGTCATACAATCTTACTTGGTTAGCGCGGGTCCCATCTCGTTGCATGATGTACCAGTTGTCCTCCCCTCACGTATGCAAGGCACGTGTATCCGTAATGGGTGGTACTAGGTGGTGGGTCCAAAGGCCAAGGCTCAGTCGGTTTTAGCGGTTCTCCGTTCTACACCGACTCCGATTATATTATAATAAGCGCTAGCTACCCGAACTGATGAAAGGAAAGCACATGTCACCTATCTACGTGAGACGCTGATTTCAATTCCATTACGTTCACCAAAAATGGTTTCTGAAGAAGATATTCACGTTGGGCAGTCTTTATGCGTGCTGTGCAGACAAGCTGCAACTGCTGGGTCACATATTCTTGGTGCGTCCTCCTTTTTCTCATAGCTTTTACCCACCTAACCCGTTGGCAGACTTAAATCAGGGATTGCATACTGTCCCTGACTGTAGAGGTCCATGTGCACGCTGTTCCCAATCGCCGTACCCCATGCTCTGGTTTCATGCTACATGCTACGACATTTTACAGAATAGCTACGAGCCCTGCAAGAAGCCTACTCCTGAAGATCTAAGAAGGTTTGCTGATGCAACCAGACCCGTTTATAAATGTCACTGTAAGGAACATAGGGAAACCATGTCGGTTACAGAAGGACTCCTCAGCAAGTATACGAGAGAAATTACCCAGAACAGTTTTAGACAAGACTTGTTGGGACAATTACCCGTTGAAATATTAACTACAATCTCCGAACTAATTGCTCCATGCTGGTACTTGACCGTACTGGGCGAAACACGTCGGTTGATTGAACTTTTAAGGAATACAGGAGGAACCCAGAGTAAGCAGCTGAGTTTGAAACCGGAAATGTGGATGTCCAGAATAAAATACCGCGGAACCAGTTACATAGCACAGCTCGGCGGCAAGCCACTTGAATCAGCAAGCACTTCCGAACAGTACCGCATCAAACTACCTGATAATATCAGCAGAATCATCCTGTCAGTCGACTGTATCGGCATACGTGGGATACAGTTCGTTGACCATAAGTCGAATCCCAAATCAGATGGGTCGCCATGGTATGAGATTCTGGACGCGAGTGATACTGGTTTGGAGGTCTATGTGAACTGTGATGTATAGTTACCCAACAGCAGTAGAGGAGCAGGAACTGACATAAACAGGGCCTTTTCATGAGAAATATTCAGCTCCTCCCAAGAAGTCTATCTACGTATAGGGCCTGGAGCTCCCCTTTCCCGCCCAAATTCCATCCATGGAATTTTTACCAAGCCAGATCTAAATCTCGCTTGGATTATTTCAAAATCGATTCCCACATCCGAGGTGTCCTTGTCTGCTGTGCCAACGCTAAGACTGTTGGGATCCACGGTTTCTCACATACATCGAAAGCGTTTAGTGAATTCATCGATTTAATGAATCGACGTATGAGTACCAGCCATAAACTCTGGATTTATTTCCCGCTCAATGCACATGAATATATTAAAGCAGCTTGGATCCGGAAGTTTAGGATTTGTCGTGGGCCAGCCTCCAATCCTATCTTAGTAGTAAGTCACTCTTTCCTCGTTCTTCATTCATGGCTCACCAGTAAGCTCCAAACTTCACTAGGGAGAACCATCACATTCGGACCTCAATTTCCAGCTCGGATTGTTGATCAATACGAGTATCACCCTTTAGTCAGAGATGGCGATGGTGCTATTTCGGGAATCTTTCATGATGGATTAGATCCAACCACACAGTACATTTCCGAAGTTGGAGTTACCTGCAATGAACAATATGATGTTGGGTCGTCAGAGCCTCCGCCTATGGATACACGCTTTGAACCTCCAGCAGTGCCTCCCGGTCGAGGATCGATAGCTAGTACTTGGTATATGACAAAGGCGTCACTCAAAGGCCTTGTGAAGGTACAAGTATGCAGGGATAAAGAACAGTCACACCATCCATGTCTGGGTCTTCTGCTATTCTACAGCGATGAACATATTGAATCGATTGGACAGGTGCGATGGGACCACAATCTTAATCAGGAGACTGCTAGGCCTACTTACGTCGAGAACGGCGTCATTGATGGACGAGATTACATTAAGGATATCCGAAGCGGCGTATGTGACACTGAACTTAATATGGAAAAAAGGGCATGGCAAAAGCTACCAAAGCATGGAATCATCGTTTGGTGGTTTAGCCAACTTGGCGACAGAATAATCACATATAACGACTAGTTAGAAACGCAAAGGATACCTTTTCATTATAAGAATCAATATCACAAGATATGTTAAACTGCGAAAGCCAGCCGATAAAGTTTCATAATCCTATTCAGATGGCGGTACAGCCTTCATCATTTGGACGGCTTGTCTGATTAACCGGGCCTCTGAGGAGTGTAACTCAATATACTGAGTACGCTCAGCCAGGTCATCTGAGCCGAACAAAGGGGAAAGGTAAATATTCTCTCGAGAGCACTGCCACGCTCTACCTTTTGTGCCAAATGATGTGAAAGCATACACAAATTGCAGCTCAGGATGTTCTCCGAGATATCTCATACAAGCGTCGAATGCTTGGTGCTCGGCATCTTGGACATCTTGAGGCCCCGCGTTCAATGCCTTTGCCTCGTGGAAGGCGAGAACCGCTAATTTACTATCTCCGCCAAAATATTCGATCGTTATATCCACCCGTCGACGGCCACGTCCCTCCGGAGGAGTCTCAGAGGAGACAACCCATTCCTTCTCCGCAAAAAGGTGTTTGTTCCATAAGTAAGACCATAACTTGGCGGAGGCCCATTCGTCTGAAGATTGCGCCTGGGCTCTCTCCCAGAGACCCTTGAGGACTCCGTCAGTGATCAGCGACATTATCTTATAATGATTAGTTATAAAACAAGATGTTATTTAGGTATATCCTTCACGTACTAGTCACGTGTTATTTCTGACTGATTGTGATCCTCTGAGGTTTTGCAAAGGGCGAAGTAAAGATAGTCAACAACACGCCTGTTTTAGAAATGGAGAATTGATAATGTATATTGAGAATTTTGAAAGTGTTAGCATTAGTTTTTGGCCGAGACGATGACTGCCCTTTATAGCTTGAGGAACGTATCGGTCCCCAAGCACTAAGGCTTTGAGGCCTTGAGTATAGTAAGTAGCAACAGAATTATATTTTTCCTTTACTAGACACATAACATAAAAGGCTGGTAAACTTTGTAATGTCACGAAGACCAATCAACCCAGCCGCTGGTCATGGTTACCTCTGAGTACAGCTGAGACGATAGGCATCAATTAAAGCAGGGATACTCATCCTACCTACTGCTCCGCCCAACCAGCAAACTAGTTTTACCGCCAGCAAGTCCTTGGGCGAATTGACAGCGATGTTGTATAGACGCTATAAATGGGCACCTGAACAATGAGCTGACGGCTTCCTAGAACAAGACATGTGCCCACCAATAAAAAACGCACAGCTTTGGGTTTCTGAATGCCATAGTTGGGTGGAGCACACAACTTAGTATCGCCTAATAAACCTAGAATCAAAAATGTACCGCTCAATGCTCCCAAGAGTGGTAATGGTTGGTCTCCAGGTTAAGCTGATCCAACGTTGCTGAGTCTACTTGAGCGATCTTTCCATTATGTTTCGTGGTATATGTGTAGCCCTTTTGTGCCGCGCAGCTGCTTCACTTAGACGTATCAATAATTCAATAATATCTTGCGGCGGCTAGATTTTTATGGAACAGGAACGAGATTGGTCGTCACGACAAGTCGATCTAAGCCCAATTTCAGACAACCGCAGCTTACAGGTGAGACTGAGATATACAAAGGAGGTATGTGCGTCTGGCTTTTATGAGTTACGCCAAAGACAGCTAAGCCCAAAACTTGGCCGCATTTCGAGGAATTTACAGCGAAATTTCGCGACATGTCAATTTGTCTATCTTCTCCAAGCCAGCTGCGGTTGTCCTCTGATCGCGTGCTCGCGGGACATACGGATGGTTTAGTATGGCAGGATACTTCTCAAAAGTGGCGCTTCAGTTAAATAAAGGACATAAGTGGTTCGATGCCGATGCTTAGATATGGTTTCAAAGAAGGAAAGAGAGCAGGCTAGTGTCACGTATCCGTGAGCTCATGCTGTGGTACACTTCCTGGGAAGGATTACTCCAAAAACACTAAAAGACCGTTTCGAGCAAGCAACTCCAGTAAGTAGCGAACAAGGGCGAGGCTGAAACAGATTCGGCATGCTAGCGTTTACATGGATAGGATCTGTTGGGTAGAGTGCCCAAAAGTTTAGACAGAGGCATACCCCAATCTAGTGCAGGAGCCTAGTGCCAATTAGGAGCAAAGAGCAAAGGCTCTGCTAATATTACACGATACAGGTCATACAAGTTGCGTTTCAAGGTGGGACGCGACGCAGGTTAGTAGACTCCACACTTATCGCAAACACGTCGGCCTCACATGTTACGAAGCGGCAGCCCGAATATGGCCTAACGATCAGCTATTGGGTCTTAGCAGCTGAGCTTGCATACAAAATTTCGAACAAGGGGCCAGAGAGGACTATTGCTGCGTTGTCCAATAATCGTCAAATCTTAAAAAAAAAAACATAACCAAGCTCGTTCGCCCCACATATCGTTGGATCGTGAGCGTGTGTTTGCGCCCAAGACACTATCCATAGGCCAATATAATTAGGGCGTGCTGGTGCAGCCGGGGTGCTTGGACATTAGCGCCAGCCATCGTTAAACCACACGATGGTCGAACGAGCTCGAGCGGATAGTTCCACCTATCAAAAAGCGTATCCTTGGCGCTGCAACATGACATGCGTAGAAGATTTTAGGTAGTAATATTATCTGGACCGGGGGGCAGCGTAAGCAGAGCTGGTGACATTACCCGATTGTATCGTAACAATATATAACGATGGGTCGCGGCGAATTTGGTAAGGAAGCAACTGTGAGACTGTAGTTCGGCAAACTGGAAACAAGGTGACTATCCCAGAGCAGCATCAAACGCACGCCATCATTCGGAGAATTATTCTCACGGCTACAAAGAATGAAAACCTCCATATTAGAGGATCCGGAAACGCGGGGAAGCCGTTCGGCTACAAGTCAGCGGCTAAATCAGAGACACCATTCATACGTTTTGCGTAAATGCCATGCCAAGATACCCTAGGATATACCAGGAAGAATATTGATCCAGCCTTCTTACTTACATCATTCCATCGTCTTTATTACCTGGTTATTACTTACAATACATGATTCCTTACGTACTATCTTTAGAACACCATTTCCAGCGGTCTTCAATCCGCTCACCACCCCTACAGGGTGCCTTTCGCCTTATCAAAATCCTAGGGGATCCCAGAGAGGTCCACACCAGTATCGTCAAGAGGATCATTGTAGAGTCCCCCTAGACTATCGTCCGCTGCTATTTACTGGGTATAACAGCTTTTGTTTGCTCTACGCTGGTTCTTTATCGATGGGAGAGAGCTAGGCTCGGTGAGATCTGTTTCGACAGTAAAGGTCCTGGTGGCGAAGACCAATAAAATATAGTTCAAAAGAAAAAGTCCTGTGTGTGGCTAAATGACAGAACCTCAAGCCAGACTGCATTGTGTAACACAAGACAATTCAGACGATTGATTCAATATCAATTTCCAGCCTTGCCAATAGTATTTAACCGGAGATATTGTAGGGAGGTGGCTCTTGTCCTGTTTATTGTGAATAGGGAGGATCACTTAATTTGCTCTGTGACCACAAATGGTGCCCACTAAATCCAGTAACCATTCATCGTCCATTTAGTCACTACCCTCCAGATGTTTATCCCCATTAACAGATTCCAAAGCCATTGACGTCTCAGTCCATTTCCTTTTCCTCGCAACACAGTTGGACCTAGGTTCCGCAATAGAATGTCTGTTGAAGAAGTGGCGACGGAGGTCAGATACATCAGAATATTGCCTTCCAATACAGCAAGGGTGAGGGCACGAAACATTTCCTTCGGGGGACAAATTCTCCAGGTGTCTGTCAATATGGTTTAATAATGTGGCTTTCTTGACCCACTGTTGGAACCGCTCGTCCGCTCTCTTTTTCTCATCACCCAGACAGAATGGACATAGACCCGCTGCAACTAGCGTATAGCGAAAGGTTAAGAGCCCGCACCTCGGCTGTAGAGCCTGCAGGTGAGATTGGCAATGATTGATCCAATCTCCTTCGTTGCAAATTAATTCAGCACACAAATAACAGAATTGAACGAAGCTTCGACGGGTATGGCGATGGGCACGTTTGCCGTTCCTATAGGTCTGCTGGTATGGTGCCGCATTCAACGATTTGCGTTTGCATTGCAAAATATGCTTTGACCGTTCTTGGAGACCAATGCTGGTGAATATTAGCAATAGAAAGCGACTACCAGAAAATAAAAACAACACGCAAACCTTGACATATGCTTGGCACATATTGGACATTTTCCCTCTACGGGAGTCATGCCCGGATAATATGCCACCTTCTCGACTGAAGTACAAAGACTAACCGCATCACGTAAACATTGCTTCCCAATATCACTATCGAGAGGCACTTGCTTGAAAATGTTGTCATTTAACCGTGCTCTTTCAGGCATATATTTACTGTAAATTTGAAAAAGGCAGGTAGTGTCGCGTTCCAAAAAGTCGTTCCCAGTAATGTACTCGTCGTAGCAAACATTCCACCAATTTTCAATGAATTCAGAACGTTTGGTGCGGAGCTTTTTGGCTTTCCGGGTGTAAAGTTTAGATCTCTCCGATACTAAGTCGGCATGTTTATCAGGCCGGCCACGAATCTCCTGCGTCAGTTCACTGATCCGTTGGTTAATCAGAATCACTTCCTCATCTTTTTCAAACTCTGCGAGAGAGGCAGCATCAAGTCGAAGCGGAACATTTTGATCACGGTGGTGGGCCATGCTCTGTTCCATTTCACGACATTCATAATCCGGATCCAGGTCATGGTACAAAGCCATCATATCTACTGCTTTGAGCGATGACTGGTATTTCAAGTATGAGTCATGATCCATATGATCTAACGCCTGGCCGCGGGTCGCGGCTGTTGCCTTGGCTAAGCAGAAAAATTAGTTAGCATTATGTTTCTCCGAAAATTGATGTATACCTTACGATCGATTTTGTTTGCCATAGCACCCCGGATTCCATGCACTCGTAAGCGGTCTCTGAAGCCATCCCGTTCAGCCAAACTGGTGAGATGATGACGTAACGAAGAGAATGTCCACGCTTCGTCTGCTTTGGGACCCTGGGAAGTAGTCATTCGAAAGAAAGGTAACTCTTTCACATCCTCTTTCCACTCGAGGGTCCACGACTCTCTTCCTTTTGGGGGTCGTTTTTCGAGCAATTCTTCGACGGATGAGATGCCCTTGAATGCACCATCCGCAATGCCATGCACAATTACCCAAAACACAAAGCTTTTACCAAGCACAGGATGTTCACGAAACCAATTCTTTGGTCTGATCGTAAATTAGCTACCGCAAATATAAGCGGCCGAATATATACCTACATCATTTTATCATCTCTGTAGCGTAGTCCTTTGAGAAATTCAGGGTCAATCACGACCCAGCGTTTCAACCCACCGGTATCTCCACTCCATTTTATATTGAAAGTCAGATGCTGCAATAGAAGTCAGAAAGAATCGTCACGCGCGTGATATAGACTAACTACCTTATAGTAGAGGCATTCATTTGTTTTTCTGTACGAGCTTGATTCAACAATAGCACCAGCTCTAGCAGCAGAACCAGAAAAGAGAGCTAGTGAGCTTGCAGTCTGTACTCTTGCACGCTCGTGTACATAATCATGGTCGTCTTCGCCAAATAAATGGTGAAGAAGATGATCTATATCTTTCGCTGTCACCAAAAACCGCTCTCTGGGCTTAGTAGGAAGACTGTGTCTTTCTGTTAACACAGTCCGGATATACTACCTATAATTAGTCGCCCCAGTAATAAATATGAGGACATGAGCAGCCCGTACATTTAGAACATCCTTTTTTAAACCCAAGGGAAGCGTTCGCGACGTTTCACGCTCCCACTTGGAGGTGAAACAGGTGAAATTATTACATGCTGACTTCTGAGAGGGCTTTGTCTTTCGGGAAACAACGTAGCTTTCTGCGAATAGTTTTAGTTGCTGTGGCGTCGGGTCGGGATCTTCTCTGGTAAGATTTGCATCCTTGGGTTCGCTCCGAGAGAGCCTCCACCTGATCTATATTAGCTTCTGCTATCTCAATGCTAGTATATCATAGTAGTAAGATTGCCTTACAGCGCCCAGTTGGTAACCGCTCGTTCGTACTTTTCCTCCGTGGCTGGAGCAATTCGAGGGTGACATACGGTATTCTCAATCCTTTCCTGTTCTTGTTGATACTCTAGGGTGAATCCACGTGACTCGGCTAGTCTCTTGCGCTCTTCCAGCAACTTTTCGAGGTGCTCGTTCGAAAACATGGTCATGTGATGTCACGTGCTAGTATGGATAAAGAAAGGCAGACGTGTTGAGAATGAAACAAGAAAGGATTTCTTTGAAAGACACAAGACGTATTTATCTGCATCTCGAAATCTCGTGTCTTTCTAATTTTGGCACGAAAAATCATTGTGGGTGGCTCCGTTGTTAGCTGCATCACCCCTGGTGAGTAGGAATCACCGCTGGTGATGGCCGGATATAGGGCACTCACCCCAATCACCAGCACTCACCCTAAGTCGATAGTCACCGTTGTTTCAGCTTTTTAAAGGGCTAAAGGCCATTATACTTACTGACCACGCGTAATATGTGGCTTCTGCACGGTCAATAGGCCGCTGCGTGTCCCATGTTAATATCTTTCGCTCCCGTCCGGATTTTGGGCGAGTCTCGGAGATATCATTGTTCAGGCGGTCTCGACAATCTCATCTCATTGTGTCATATAAATAAATAACGTAACTGGTAAACGAGCAGCCATCTTCTGTTTTCCATCTTGGCGTAGCTCGTTCTTAAGAAAACCCATTCTGTCTTTTTTTTTTTTTTTTTTTTTTGGGATAGATTTCAGGTAAGGCTATCTGAAGTCGAGATGAGGAAATGTTCTAACAGTAAGATGATAAATAGGGCCAGGAATTCGATTGACAAAAGGAAATTCTTAAAACTGATATGCATAACCTCTACTGGAGTATAGCACGAGCTTTTCGCTAATATGACGTATTGTCAGTAATAATACTTACTAGAAAAACATGCTTTATATTTATGGCCTGGCGATCTCTATCGAATATGCAAACCAAGAGCGACCTTTATTAAGAGAGAATAAACGTCCTTCGCTCCTAAAAACTTGACTGCTCCTATATCAGACACTTGTATTAGTCTACTTTTAAATAACAACGCGCGTAATTGAGTACTTTCTAAAGAAATCTGGGTGCCTTTTCGCGACGGACCTGGATATTAAAGATCACCTCGGTTCAATAAATAAAAATGCCCACTTTGGCCTGTCATCATCAACTTTTACTTTAGACGCAAAAGGGTTCGGTAGTATTGAAACACCACCTACGAATACCTCCTGTATATGTTCGACCACAGCAGATAGAACCAAGATTGGGACAGGGTCACTACCTAGTAAAGCTCTGGGTGGCTCATGGAGTATCTTATCCGCATATTTCCCAACAGTAATGCTGCCTACCCTGTCTGCTATACCTAGTGTTTGAGCTGCCCCAAGGGTGTGTATATGAAGCATATCAAATGGGTTCAGGACCTGAGGATCCTTGTACTTTCCACGAATGGAATAAATGCCCATACGCATGTTCTCAAATAGATCGCAACAGTCGCTACTTGCTTCCCCATCAACACCCAACCCGATGGAAAGATTGTGCTTGGGATACTCAGAAATATCTGCGACGCCAGAGCCTAATCGTCTATTGGATAATGGATTCCGGCTTATATATACCCCAGCAACACCAGCTTCTGAGAGCATTGCTGGGATTGGATGCACAAAGTGCCCCAGGTAATAGAGATAACCTTGCAAATCTAGTATCTCTATAATTTCAGTTCCTCCATAATTGTCCTCGCTGTCTTTGCTAGTCATTCCATAATTTGCAATTATTGTACCCAAATACTAGTAGGTCTTCTGATAAACAGACACCCAATTGAGGAACTTCCGTTTTCGAGTAAGTACTTGATCGACTGACTAATTGACACTTATAGCCCCAAGGTTGCAGCCATGTATGAAGCTGATGCCAGCGTCGAGGGCACCCATAAATTGCGCACGATCCGCACGACCATCTCAGAATTTTGGCTAGTAGGTAAAATTAAAAGAGGCGGTAATTTCTTTTAGTAGGTCGGATATTGCACCGTGTGGGGCCATGTTACAGAAATCTTCTGCCTCCAAAGTAGCAGCATAGCTATAGCTATCTAGAGACCATTCAATGACTGTTTTATCTGACATGCAGCCGGGAAACACACTAAAGGTAATAGTGTACTGGAGCCTAATTACAAGATATTATATCAATACCAGCATATACCATTCCACTATACTTCTAAAAGTCTGGATAAGAAGCCCGCTCCGCATCGATACGTCTCAGACGCTCCTCATCCATGTACCACCTGGACCTGGTCTCCTCAAGTAGCTGTCGTGGGGATTTGCCTGCAGCATTCGGTTGATCCATTAAGCTGCTACCTCCAGCCTCCAACAAGGTTGCAATCATCTCTTCGTGTAATCTTATCCGTTCATCTAGCGTAGTACGCTCCGTTTCCCCTTCTCGAGTTAGGCGAGCGAAGTAGACCCCTGTCATCGTCGCTGTATGGAGTGGTGTGTTCCCTTGTGAATCTTTGGCATTGACATCCGCGCCCCGGCTGATCAGAAAGTTAGCGGCGTTAACCTGCCGCAGATTCTTTGCCATCAAATGCAGGACAGTGCTGCCATCCATATCGGTATGATGAATATTTGCCCCATGCAACAGCATGAGATCTAACAGGGCAGGGTTTATAGGGTCGCCTGCGTGGGAGGCCAGAGCCAATTCATGAAGCACAGTCTTTCCATCGGTGGCTGCAAAACTTGCATCCGCCCCGTTTTCGCATAGAAAACGGGCCAGAGTATAGGAATGGGAGCTGATACACTTGGCATGGGTACTGATTGCATAAAATAAGGCGGTTCTTCCCAAGTTGTCCTGGATATTAACGGTGTTCTGCTTGCCTTCCAAGAGTAGCTTGAATGTATCGACAATCCGGGGAAGAACTTCATTCTCCGGTAACATATCTTCGGCCAACGGGTCGGGTCCTATAGCAGCCCAATGGAGTGGCAGTCGTCCATCGCTATCACGTACAGATACCATATCTGCAATGTCAACATTGCTGCCTCGATAGTCTAGCAAGGCTCGAATCCCCGGAGCGTTCCAAAAACGGCTACCACGGTGAAGAGCGGTGACATCTCGAGGCAGGTCTGAACCCCCATAATTATTCAATTGGTTCAGGGGCATTTGTCTTCGGTGTACATCAGCCCCTGCATTAATCAAACGTGCCACCAACTGGTAACTGGCCTGGGCAATGGCCAAGCCAATAACAATCTCTGAAGCTTGCGGAGGGTCTTGTTTATCCGACCGGGACAATGTGACATCACGAGCAGAAGCGCCCCTGTCCAGGAGGAGGTGAATCAAACTCTCACTCCGTGCAACACGGTCGCGAACCCAACTCCGCTCAGGGAATTGACACCGCTCCCAATCGAACCCGACATCGGAAATAGAGGTAGAGGCAGACAGAAGTGCTGTCTCACACCAACCATCCCCAGGTTCAACCGTCCCCAGGGGTGGCTGGCTGTCCAACAGGAAGCGCACCATATCAATCTGAGCAAACCGACAAGCTATTCCCAACAGCGAGATTTTTCGCTGTTCGAGTGATTCAGTGTCAGGGGAATCGATATGCGCGTGATAATGGTCCAGAAGCACGCGAAGCACATTGAGACTTCCATACTCACAAGCGATAAAAAATGCGTTCATGTCTCGTAAATCGGAGGGATACAACCCAGCCTTCGGATGCTTCTCGATGTATTGTTGTACCATACATACATCATTGGCCTTGACCATTCCGCCCAGAAGTTCCCCATACTCGGTCTCATACATTTGGGAACCGTCCGTGTCGAGCAGCATAGCATCGTATCCATCGCCTCGAAGCGTGTGGAATGCGGGATACGACATTGCTTAATTTTTCGCAATTTCCCCTTTTCCTAAATGTTAAATTCAGGAGAAAAGAAGGGTTGATGATAGTTTTTAGTTACACAAAAAAGAGGAGAGAGAGATTCAACGAGAAGATAGAGCGAAATATTTATCTTTTGGGAGAGCATTTCGCCTGTTCTTGGCCCCACTTGCAAACTATGAAAAACTAGTGCCGGCCACTTAAAAGACCTGGCTTCAGGGTACTAGCATGCGTTACCCAGACGTATACACCTTACTGACAAACTTACGATAGATTGTTCTTGAACCCTCAATACAGTGATCTACGATCGTTTGTGGGGACATAGTCTTTACTGCCCATAGAAATATTGTATGCTTGCAGTCTAAATTCTTTCAACGGGCCTGTGATGGGAATTTCAAAGTATGATCTCTTGTTCTTGCAGAATAGAAAAATTTACAGGTGCTAACCCAGGGGTGTGTCTCAGGAAAATAAAGGGAGGATTGAACTCGTCGACCAAATAGCCATTTTAGTCGAGAAAATGCTGCAGTTTCTCTATACGGGCGACTACACCTTCGAGGAGCCCGAGCCTCCACCTACTGCTGCACTAGATATTAGTTTGCGAACTAGTGGAATAAATAGGGACAGCCATATTGCAATAATATATGCTCAAATGTATGCCCAAGTAGATTACTTCCTGATTGATCGTCTTCAAGTTAAGGCGAAGCAATATCTTGCTGCATCATTTACTGGGAACCAGAACTCAAACTCCTTTGCCTCCACTATTGTAGAGGTGTACACTTCAACAGCTAGCTTTAACCGAGGACTTAGAGATGTTGTGGTTAGGCTCGTGAAGGACAACCTGACAACCCTAAGAGGTTCCGTGTTTCCTATTCTTGACAACAGTCTTCTCACATGTGTTCCAGAATTCGCGGAGGATCTTTGCGTTTCTCTCTTGGATCAAAATATTAGCCGTACAATGCGACCACGGAGTCTTTTTGACTGAGACCAAAATTTCTGGTGTAGTGCAATTACTTGTCCTTTCAACCGATATTAAAGACAGGTATACATGCTTATGAAATTCTTGGTGTGGATATATTTGAAAGGTGACTAGTCGATAGTACATTTGTTGGCTGAGTATCATACGGAGTGCGGGGCAAAGTGTTTATAATAATCAGACCGAAGCATGAAGGCCAGGTTGTCTTATTGTATCTCTAATGACGATGGCTAGCTTCCTTCTCAAGTGCAGCTGGTAAGCAGTTTTTGAAGCTGGACGATAGTGTGTACACCTACGTTTCCAAATTCGAGGGTCCTCTCGGGATAAGTAGTGAGCTAAGCCATAAATGGACATGGTCGCGTCCCAACGACGACAACGCCCTCTCATGTACTGAATCGTCCGCAAGCCGCAGTAAACATACGGGCATTTAAAAAGCTGACCGTGTCTGCATTCTGCTTCATCGGCTGTTTCCATCGTCCAGACTCCCATCCGCAATGACTACCTTTCACTTCAATGGTCAACATCTAGATAATGACTTAGTGACATCAATATCTTCCCTTCTCGACGCTTTTAACATCCCGAATCTGCTTTGGGGTAACTATCTGTTAACCGTCTACGGAGTCCCGACGGTTGTTGATGTTAGTGTCCTGTCCAGAAATGACTGGGTTTCGAAAATAACTAACACTGCGAAGGGCGTGTCCTTTGTCGTACCCGATGCACTTAGCGAAATCTCCTTCTCTACCATCGCTGAGGCTGGCTTTCATCTCTGCTCGCGACAGCTAGACTGCCCACATTCAAATTCAAATCAATGCTAGCCACCATATAAGCACCTGCATATCGATGATGAGTTTGCGATACTGTTGTACAAAAAATCTGATGTGCTGTGGGAATTTCCAGAGTTTGAGGCTGCTTTCCACGACACCAGTGCGGACATTATGTTCGCGTCTGACGCGAGGCTTCCTCCAGCTACTTTAGGTCGCGGTCGAGGGCACTTTCCACACCTAAGTTCCGTCCGAATCCCTAGCCCCTCGAGATACTGTGAGGCTCTTATACTCTTGCTTTGTCGAGATTACGGAACTACCCGCGAGACTTACTGGGTGGCAATTTTGACGTATATGCTAGAGTTCGTTGATGGGACGGACATTCTTAATGAAGGAGGTCTGACAGAGGGGCATAAACAGTTTTATCATGCCCTAAAACTGGGCGATCCAACTATGTATCCAATACTGAAGGACCTCCACCGTGACTTTCTAAAGCGGCGGCTCCCGCAAGTCAAGCAAAATTGACTGACACAACTCGGATCATCTCAGTCCAATGGTCCGCTTTACTAAGTTGATCTTGCCTAAGGAATGAACAGCCTCTTTTAGGTACCCTAAAGTTCGACGACCTTCTCGGCATTGAATCCCGCAACTGTGAGAAGTAGTAGCCTCTCTGGTTAGATACTACTCTTTTCCCTGTTGCTAAGTCTTGGAAATCACAGTTGAAATGCGTGTGTCCGAACGCCCAGAGTGTGACAATTTCACATTGCCAGCATTGCTGATTTGATAGATCCGTTATAAATTCAGAGAAAAGCTTGCTGTTACTATATTTGGGATCGATAACCTCTTAATATATTGAAGGATAATAGTGAGTTAAGATAATGACTTTCCGGTCAGGCTCTAAGCGTGAAATTGAGTCGATTTTCTTATTTAACCAGGAAAGATCTGCAATGTGTGTTTCTCGGTGGACTTCAATCGATCAATCGCGAATGTGGTAAAAATTGTTTAGACTAAAGTTAGCACTCTCTATTTATTTTTCTGTGATACGTGAGAATAACGTGCAACCGAGAATGGTGAGTGTTAGTGAGATATCGTAGCGCGTTTGGTCGAGCAGAACAAATTCTCTAAGCGCCTCGCCGTTCCGAGAAGTCTTATCTATATCGTGTTTGAAACTTTCCACGTTAGACTTTGCCTCCGTCCAACTACTATAATAGGCTTTATAGTTTCCTAGAACTAGAAAGACAACCCGGATGATCGCCAGCTGCTTGCGAAGAAAGGGGAAAAACCCCTTATCTTTAACGTAGTCAATGTCTCCTAGTAATGCCAAAAATGGCGCCTTGGGGACGATGCTAAAAATATCATAGGCGGCTGGAGACTCAAGGTAGAGATCCGATAGAATCTGAAGTTGTATATTTGTCATGGGCGGCAACATGCAACGCGAGCTGATTCAGATGAGAGAAGGTAAAGGGTGCGCGGCGTCTAATATATAGATGTGACTGGTGCTCTGCCAGATAAGCCGATCAGATGACCTTCCCCGCCCTAAGCAATGGAACTTCCCAACGAGGACGGCTCAAGCTCGGGACCTCAGAGCGCCACATATACATGAGCTCTTATGAAGCGTCCTCTTCTTTCATTCCAAACCTGCTCTACGCTCTCAAGTTTTAGCTTTGTTATCGTTTATCACCTACCAGTCGTTATTCCAAATCATGTCTGCGCCGTCGTTTGCGGAGCTCGAGGCTGCTGCCAGCTCTGTCATTGACATCCTAAAGACGATGTCGGAATTCTCGAATGTCAAGATTGCAGTTATTGGAGGATTAGGTCTCTGGAAATATCTCCGAGGCTATCGTACTACTGAGGTTAGCTTTTTTCACCAGAGTTATGTTTGAACACTACAAGAAAGTTGGCATAACCCTTACTAGGGCGTTGACATCCTCATTACAGTTCAAGGAGCGCCAAAAACAGTTAAAGATAAACTACTTGCCATGCCCTCCAGTCCTTTCTAACAGCAGGCGCAGCTTTTTTTTCTACAGGAGCTCAAACGGCAAACATATCCAGGTTGATATCACACCGGATTGGCAGGTAAGCAGAATATGGAGTCTTTTTTTGGGTTGGAAAATAACAAGCTCTAGTCTCCGTATATTCTGTCTGCGGCCGGACCTATTTCGGCTGTCCGGCCGGGGTCTCTTCCATACATCTCAGAAACGGATCTTCTGATTTTCAAGATAAACAGCTGTGGTTTACGGTCCACGCCCGCAAAGAAATTACGTGACGCAACCGATGCTAGGTCATTGGCAGATGATCTCAGCTCTAAAGGACCTATTGTCCTATCATCCACTCAAAAAAGTGCTGTGCTCCAGGGCTTGGATGATGTAGTACGCCTCTCTGGAAAGACCGGGCTTGGTGAAAGCCCAAACTGGCACTGAGTTGATGTCGATATCTTGCTCGTCTAGGAATTGCTTGCTTGTCCGGCCATTGTGCGAATATTTTATCCTAGGACTGCCACGGAGTCGAACATAACCCGGGTCTTGCTATCAGTTCGGATGAGTCAACCTATATAGGTAATAGAAGATTATAAGAGAAAAGAACGGCATTCCCATTAATTAACTAGTAAAAAAAAAAAAAAAAAAAAAAAAAAAAAAAAAAAAAAAAAAAAAAAAAAAAAAAAAAAAAAAAAAAAAAAAAAAAAAAAAAAAAAAAAAATAGGCCCAGTCCCGAAGGGCAAAACGTAAAGCACGCCCCACGTTCACGGGAGGGAGGAGGTCCCCGAGAACCTCACGAGGGCTGGGCGTCCTTTTCGGACCTCCTCTTAGGAGGTAGAGCTCTATTCACCACGAAGATTACGAAGTGCCGCCTACATTCATATAAGAGCTTTCTTCAATTCATCCTCCGCTATGGTCAGACAATCGATACTGGAACAGATTGTTCTATGCAGCTCAGCAGGACGAATACGGGCGCCAGTGGAGCCCGAAGGGGCCCCTCGAGGTGAAAGGAGTGCATGGAGATATCGAGACATATACGAGCTTCGTTGATATGCACAGAGGTCTCCCCGAGGAGGGCTTCAATGACCACTACAACGGAACCAAATATATTAGACAAAGAAGATCGTGCGGCTACCCAATTTTGACAGGAGAATACAGAACGTTGTGAGAAAATCGTGCCATTGAGCTTGTAGATTATTCCAAATATCCTAATGAAGCCTCCCCTCTAACCATTGTGTCAATGACCCAGCAAATAGACATGTATTGTCTACATCTCCGAGTCTTAAGTCGACCTTGAAAGTCCACATACCGCTCCTCAAAAACATTGCAAGAATCTGAAAATCTAGTAAAATTTCACTGGAGCCGCTACTAGGTATATAGTCGACCTGAACTCCACGGGTATCGCGAATAGTAAGGTGGCCTAGCGGACCGAAGGGTGTAGTCTTCAACGGCTCTGTATAAGATATTTCCTCGTCGTGATTACCATCTGCGTAGATAGCAGAGAGGCTCACAGTAAAGGTCGCATTGACGAGGACCTCGTCAGGAAGTTCCAGCTCCTTCTTTTTAGATTCAGGCAGATGACCGCGCAGGTAGACGAAGAAGATATGGTCGCTTTATCAGGATATCAAAATGTTATCATTAAGCTGCACTTTAAGGAGAGGGAGGACCTTACGCGATAATGGGCGTCGGGGCAATCTCGAGGAACTCGACAGAGAATATCTGGTCTTCCTTTGGCACGATGTCGTATACGGCATTGTTGTGGCCGGGGATCTTGTCTTGTTGGGCCATAATATCCTCGCTGATAAGCACTTCTTGTTGCGCGGAGTAAATCTTAGCAAGAACAGCTAGGGCAGCGGTGTAAAGAGACAAGAAATGCGGGAGAATTGATTTCATCACGTGGTAGTCGTGTGGGAGGTCCGAGGAGTGTTGGCTTTATGTAGGGCACCAGTTGGGGCTGGAGCTCCTGCACATGATTATATAGTTTCCAAATTACTGATTTCTAAGTGTAAGTATATAATAGATTTATTAATTAAATTTTGGGAATTACGTATAGAAGTTCTGACTGGATGAAACTTTTAATTTTCTGATACAGTACAGTAAAACCCCGTTATAAGCAATGCCCAATATAGGGAATCCTCCAGTATAAGCAATTAATTTAACTGATTTTTTTTTGGTTTCTCATACAAAATTCCTTAATATTCCGATATAGAGAGCATGCTATATGCATCTACTATATAGAAATATTCTTATGTTCAGTGCACTTAGACTTATCGCGGTTGAACCAACCATACGTTTTCAGTGCTATCCCTCATATCTTCCTCCCAGCCAGAAACTTTGTAATGAGCTCATTCAACGATTCAGGTAATCCAATGAAGATACAGAAGAGCTCACCAAGCCCTCACTTCTCTCTCAGAAACCCTGTCCAACTGGTACTCAAATTGACCATTATTGTTTATGATTCCCTCACTCAAGTCCACGCACGCCTCGACCTCTCCTTGGACCTCGTCCTCTAATATCACGTCCAGCATGGGCCTTTCCTCTAGTTTACCATCTATCGGAATCACGCGCAGATTCAAAATGACCTGAACAGCGATTAGAGAGAAGTCTGTCCCGCCCCACTCAAGCCGGGCTGTTTGCTACAGTCAGAACAGAAGGGAATAGATGTCTCAGGAAGATCGCAGTACAGGAACGATCATAAGCTGAAAAGACTTCATTTAGATTGATTTCTGCCGGGATCCATTCGCCGTCGTCATTCTTGAGCTCGCCACGCAGGATACAAGGATCATCCTCATTGACAAATTCGTCAAGTTGGAGGTGTCGGGCAGTTTCGTTAAATGGTCTGTCGCTCATCATGTGGGTATATTCGGCGTGGAAGCAGTTATAATCTTCAAGCGCGACCTTAGGGAAAGTGTCCAAGTAGCCAAGGCAAGGAACCCAAGAACTTATTTATACCCAAATGTCAGTCAGCCACTGTTTGGAGGGGTCAGTTGCGTGGTCGATGTCGATCGTGTGCTCTTTCTGCATTGTTGATTGGCTATATGTGTGCCAATACTAGTACTAGTACTAGTAGACTGCCTCACCGACTGTCTCTACTCCCACTATACGGCAGGCGCTGCTTGATCAGGATGTCCACGAGGGGTGTTTGCTATGAGTTGGGCGTAGTTTAACTCTCATCTTTGGACACTTAGCATAAAAAGACAAAAAGAAAGAAAGAATACTGTATTCATAGCATACCATCATTCCATATGTCCATCTCCGGCGGGGCAAGTCCTTGTATTTGTAGATCTGGGTTCAGCTCGCCACCGAACACCGCTAAGGCCCAACAGCATGTCTACCCCACGTCCAAATCGTGTTTGATTGGCATGCAGCTACTGCAGTCTCTGAGATCTATGTGGAGCGATCGATCTTGGCATCTTGTATTAATCGGGATGTTCTGGGTATATATGCACCTAGTTAAGCTGCGGAGAACTAAACCCCAGCTCGAGTTACACAAGTCGTTGGTTCACCGTGAGATGGTTTACTTCAATAAGCCTTTTTTTTTAAAAAAAAAAAAAGAAAATAACAAAGTTTATCTAGATAAGAAGATAGGCTGGTTCCATTTGAACGGGTCAAATCAGCCATGCAAAGAATCTCTTTGGGACTCATTCAAAATACTAAGAAATAGCTCAAAAAATAGGAGTGCTACAGATGATGCTGATTATATAGATCTTACATTTGCTGAACTTAACAGTAAGAATACTTCATGCAAACACCTAGGTATATTGCCCAGCGTCAACGTAAACAAACATCGTAAGTGGCCGCTGTACGAGACGGAAACACTATCCTTCGACGAGTTTCAGTGTACTGGATGGGCGGCGAGGGAATGAGGCAATGTTTCACACAGCAAACCATATAATCGCAGCCGTAGTGTAAATAATCGCTTTCATTGGCTAAGGTGCTATGAGCAGCTGGTTTATTTCCTCTCATCTCGTGCCTGTGTTGCAGAAGTCTTGAATTATACAGAGCCAGGGGATATTTGAGACTGTGGTGTGCTCTGGCAGCATCTAGATAATACGACAGCCATTATCAATATACGTCTTGCAACACTGTCGCTTCTGTAGGGTAGCTTGATATGGGCATGTTTTTAAATTCTTATTCAAGTATAACAATCTCTTATATCTGTAAAAACTCTATATATATTGACTCATAAGGACTTGCATCGCTGAGTAACAGATCATAACGGAATTCTTACTATTTGCTACCGATGAATGAACCCATAGAATAAACTGCAATTGAATTACAGAGAACGTACAGCCACACACGTTGTATCTTTTGTAGCAAAAAAGGGGCAACCATATTGACGAGCTTGATGTCACCACAGAGTTGCCATATCGAGGGAAATACCCAATAAGACCACCTAAGAGCTGGTACATGCTATGGAGATATAAAGGCCAGCAGTACAATTCACATATTGTGCATGATGATGAGCTAATGACTGTTTTCTCTTGTTTTATTTCTGGAAACGATGTGATCCTGGGGTTCATCTCTGACAACACCTGCATGTTTTCTAAGTGACATAAGTACTGCACGTCGAGCAATCTATGCGCTAAATCGTACCACGCTACCGCCTAGTATCCTCCACAACTATTGGGATCATGCCGTGCCAATACTCCACTAAGATCTGGAGCACACCAAGGAACAGAATAAGGGAAGATCTCAAAGCAACCAGCCAAACTATTTCTGGAGAACGCAAACACTCACCGTTGAACTCAGCGCCCAATGCCTCCACCGACCAGTGGATACCAAAATTCGTTAAAACCCAGCCCCCCTTATGGAACCGTTAAGCAAACGGATACTACCTAAGAGCACCAGAGTTGCTTACCTAGTTGGCCCCGCAAGAAAGGGGCGCTTAGTGCTTTTTTGGTACTCAATCCACAAACAGGTGGGTGTGCATTTTTCGTTGGTCAAAGAGCCCCACTTCAAACGTTCCCAATGAAAATCTCCACCGATTAAGCAATAACCCAAGCATTTTTGTGTGGGAAATGGTACGAGGTGTTGCATTAGTTAGGGAGTGCATGGGGCTTTTCTTAAACTTGTAAGTCAAGAACGTTGCTGATGCCACTGTTGCACTTTGTGTTGGGCCATCTTCCATGTCTTAACTTTTATGTCAAGTAAGCAAATTGGCGGTTCTGGTAGAAGTTTGGCGGGTAGTCCGTTGTGGGTGGCAAGCCGGACGATGTATTTTTAGAATCTAGTTCCCAGTGAAGACGATGTAACGTGGGTTCCAATAGCTTGTGATACTTCTAGTATTACTGTTCTAGGAACGGAGATAGCACCTAATATATTGACCGGAAGGTAGGCACCGGAAAGCCCGGAAACACAAGTGAAGAATCTGTGTAGGGTTGTGGGTATACGCAAGTTTAGTACTGGAGAAAGATTTCGTGGTCGACTATAATTAGACCAGTTGATTAATAGTATCGAGTATAAGTTATGTAATGCGTATATGGGACATTCAAACCATCGTAATCAGGATATCATTAACTAAGCTAAGCACATTGCAATAGGGTTATCATCATAAATCAAGTCATATCTAAAACCAAAACGCCACTCAGTATCGCAGCTACGTCCATATACATTAAGGACGGCCGCGTGCGTCATGAAAATCATCGTCTATAGGAACCCCTCTAAGACATTAATAATAGATGAGCGCTTCTCGGGATTATTCAAGATCTCATCCACAGCGCGACCGGTCAACAGATTACTCAGGCTCTTGTCGGAACCCCCGAGGAGACCGAGTAAACCGCCGCCACCGCCACTAGAGTCCGAGTTATTGGTGAGATTGGAGAAAATGTTGTTTCCGCTGCCGTCGTGGAGCAGGCCACGTAGTGTGTTCGTGATCAGGCCGGCGAGGGGCACTTGCGCCGTCATGGTTAGGTTTCTCATTACTTCGGTGTAGTAGGGGACCTCGACGCCGTCGTAGACGACGGATTTGCCGACGGTGTCGAGAGTGAGGTAGCCATTCTTGATGGAGCTGGCCTGGGTCTGCAGGATCGGTACGAGGTTCTTGAGTAAGACCTTGAGGTCCATGATGCCGTGGACGGGGGAAGAGTGGTTGCCTGGTTTGAGGACGAGGTTGTCGATGGTTGCGTTGCCGATGACGAGGTCTCCACTTTTGAGATCCAGGACTGTTGTCCCCTATTTCAGTTAGTAAATCTCTGTTGATTTTCCGTGGATGTAACGTACGATTTCCAAGGTCATGACCGAAGGGTTGGGCAAGGTGGCGTTGGCAATTAGGTTGGTCCCATCGTCCCTCGGAGGAAGAAGGAGCTGAGGGTCCGCGATAGCGAAGCCAGCGAACGAATCCAGGGCTGAAACATTGGTTAGTCTATTCGTCGAGTATGGGCCATTCTGAACATACTGTTTTGCTTCACGTCCTTATCCATGGTGATGTGATTCTTCAGCTTGCCGAGATATGCGGTGGTTTTGCCGTTGAGCGATAGCGGGGCGTTTTTCTCGAAGACCACGCTGTGGACGTATTCTTTCCATTGCTCTACATTCAACGGGGTGAATTGATCTTCGACTGCCAGGGTGGTATTCCCCGAGATCGTAGCGCCGTCGAGGTAGACCTTGGCCCAGGTCCCGTTGCCCTTTGTCTTACGGTTGAAGAGACTGATCGCTATGGGGTCGATGCGCACAGGAACGCCGATGGGCAGCTTCAGAGCGGTCTTCAAGCTAAGCATGATCGAATCCGGCCGTGGCTGCAGGACGCTCGTCTCTGTGACCACGAGCGACGAATTGTCGACCACTCTTTGGGCAATGGCGGGGATAATGACAACGAAGCTGCAAAAATTAGTCAATCTGAAACGTAGTTGGACGAAAGTGGAGTACCTACAATATGGGCAAGAACACGGCCAGGAAGATAACGCTCCAAAAAATGTAGCAACACCAAAATCGGGCCCAATGGCGACGTGCTCGCTCGGCCCTTGTCTTCTCCCTTTTCTCCAACGAGATGGTGTTTGCCGTCTCGACATGCTCGATTGTGCAGCCATCGCCATCGTCTTGGGGGAGAGGCCCACGATGGACGCCCAGGGCGTATTTGGCAGCTTTGGAGCTGAGGTAGTGTTGCTTCTCTTCCATGGCTATGCCCAGTCGCTGTCCACGGGGAGCAAGGGTGGACACGTCGAACTTGTCGGGGGGGTGAAAATATATGGGTCGAGGCGTGTGTATGATTTAATATATGGCCACGGAGTAGATTAACGTTCCGAGGTGTTGTCCTAATATTTTTCGCCTCCGGGGTTCGAACGCCAAGGGGTAGATTCCGGAGTAAACCCGATTTTGACCTTGGTACACAGTATTGTCTCTCCGCATGGATCGACCATGCAACGCTGTCGATCGCAGTGAGCGGCGCGCGTTGGGGCCAATGACGACCACCTCATTTTAGACACACGAGTTCACATGCGGAAGTTGGATAAGGATCGGCACGAACTATTGAGAAACCGCGGTTGTTAGCAGGGTCCCTAAGCTTCGGGACAGGTGGTGGATCCACCGGCTCCAGACGCGTTAAACCTTGGTACGGAGGTATTGCCCCTTTAAGATGCGGGGAAATTGAGTGAAACAAGAACGTCACTGGGGCCTGGTTGACGATAAAATGCAAAGATAGACAAGGTGATGTATGACCAGCCGGTGGAGGCGAGGTAGTCGCACTTCAGACGCATGTGTGTGGTGGTCAAGGAGTCGTCGGTGATCCTGTAACCCTAAGTCATCCGCTGCGCAAACACCCGCGATAGCCCGTACAAATCCCACGATCGTCGACAAGAAAAAGCCATACCTCCCCCTTTACTCTCCATCACACGTACAGCCATCATGTCGTTCGATGAGAAGAAATCCCCAGACCAGATTTCCCAGACACCGTCGGTCGCGTCTGATTCGAGTCGTCTGGAGGCCCTCGATCAACTGGAAATTCTCCCCCAGATCCTGCAAGAAGGCATTTTATTTGCTGGATCAGGATCCGCTCTGCTACTCCAGGCCGCTTTACCCGGAATCCGAAATCGAACTAGTGATACCCATAATGCCAGTAATGGCCACAGCAGTAACCTGGCGACAGAGCTAAGTGACGCCCTCCAGGCGAATCTCAGCTACATCGCCTGCCTGGTGTTCGGCACGCGAGAAGAAAAGAAGACCCTGTTGGACCTCATCAACCAAGGGCAACCGCCTCTTCGCGGGAGTGAAAGCTTCTCCTCCCACCGGCCGACCCAGCTCTGGGTCGCAGCGACGCTCTACGCGACCGCTACCGATTTCTACCAGCGTGTCTACGGCCTCGTCAACTACACCACGGCCGAGAAGGCTTACGCAGAGTTTACAGTCCTCATCCACGCCATGGGGTTGCCTTCGGGTACTTGGCCCGAGAACCGACAGGCATTCTGGAAGTACTGGGACGACCAGATCGAGCAGTTGACCGTCACCGCAGACGCACACAAGTTTGCCCAGGACCTTCTCCACCGCAACGATTATCCCCGCTGGGTCTCGTTCATGAAACCGTTTTTGCGGGTCCTTACGATTGAGATGTTGCCACCGCGCATTAGAGAGGCTTACGGGCTTAAGTCGACATTTAGTACCCGGGGCCTGTATCGGACCACCATGGGATTCTCGGTGGCGGTGTACCCTGCACTACCGACGTCTACACGAGGATATCCACTGCGCTATTATTTGCAAGAATTACGAAAGCATATGAATGTCGTGTAGATAATTGGTACTTTCTGTCTTATCTTTTGGCGTAGGGCGTGCACCCATGTCATCCAAGCGAGCTCGTGGAATTATCTGAATGAGATTAAAGAGACAGACTAGGATGAAAATCTCTGCCATGCACGTGGTTAGGATCTAGTCTAGTTAATATAGTTAGTTAACTAACGTCCGGATTAATAATGCGCTAAAAGTCTTGTTTTGCTCTTGAAATCCCTGTCGGTTTAATTTGAGAGATAAGTCCGGAATGGACTATCCGCGGCACATTACAGGGATACGAGACTAGGCCTAGGCTATTTTGATTTTTATTCTTATCTTTTTACGAACAAAGAAAGGAAGCCGAGGAAGAAAAGGAAAGGGACCATTTCATATATCCAGACCGCTATATGAACAAGATAAAAGGAATAAGAACAGTCGTCCAGGCATCCATCTAGGCATGTCAGACGCCTCTTGCATGAGAACATAAAGCCCTTGATAACCGTCTAGGCATCAAAGCGCTGATTTCGTAATATCGTTAAATCAAGGATCCAAGGAGTCCAGCCAAGAGCTTCGAGATATTATCCACGAGCTGAAAATCATTAATATTCACTCATAGTCATGGGGCTGGCGATCACTTACCGGTGACGCAGCGTCAATCAGAACTGTAGTCTCGTTGACGAACTTAGGAGTCAAAAGATTATCGGCATTGTCAACGATACCCTGTAGTTTATCGATGTTGCCGCTGGACAGAAGTTTCTGCAGGTTCTTGGGAGTGTCTCCGCCCAGAAGGACTGCGCCGCCCTTGACGATAGTTTGAAGGTCATTGATCGTCTCTGTGCTCAAGAGTTCTTTGACCCCGTCGAGGATCGCAGGCAGCTCCGAGAGCAGACCACCATCTGGCATAGGGGCTGCTACCGGGTTTGGCCTGGGAGTAGCCAGGGCGAGGGGGGCCGCGAAAACAAGGTACTTGAAGAAACGCATTTTGTGCTTGTAGAATGATATTCAGGGTCTGAACGAATGACTTCTGGAGTGTATGAGATCTGGAAGAGAGATGTTGATCTGTGGAAAAGATCACCGACTACTGCGGTGGTGCAAACTTATATGTAGTTATGGAGCCCAGCAAACTTGCTTTTTGTTTTTATGAATACGAAACAAAGACAACCCCGCCTGCACCTTAATCTACCATGTCCCAAATTTCCAGCTGTTGACCCATAATAAAGTCAAGACGGGGAGGATATGCGACCTAAAAGTGTGTCCATGCCTGGATGGCAAATGCAACACACGGCTGGATCGAGTCTTTGATTCGACAGGTGTTAGTTGTTCTCCAATCTCGGTCTGGACTTTGAGATCGTCGATTGCCTTTTACTTTGTTCATCGTTTCGCGTGGATGCCCACTTTCTAGTTGGACCCGAGGCTCAAGTAGGTTATACCCGTTGGGATGATCCCAACTCGTACGGCACGAAAACACCGTCCATGTGAATTTGCCTCTGCATCGGGCGATATGAGTCAATGGCTGCTATACCCCTCCTTCGCTACCAAATCAGTATCCGAATTAATCTTCGCCAGGATTTGACGATAGAGTCATTCGGGGTCGGCCAAGAGCTGGAGACTCCAGACGACCCCGCATGGGTTTAGGGCTTCGCTAACTGCTGCAACTGTCGATCACTTCGGGGAATACCCCTCAATCCGCCCAATCAGAGCCGACAATTTATACAGCATCGCGACGCTTTCCTCTTTCGCCCTCGGGCCGAGAGGTACATGTGATGCTTTGATCCAACCCTGAACCCTTATCGATCCTCAATCTTGGTGGTGAATACCCTCAACCACCGTTGCAATGAGATTCGATATATCGATTCGTGTCAACGGTGGAGCCCAATCGAAACCGACAACCCCAGCTAATTTTAGCAGACCCCCCTCAAATCAAATAGTATGGGGTAGTGGTACCCGATCAAACAGGCCCGTTCGGCGTCGAGATCCGCTTTCATATGATCATTACTACTCGGCGTATAGCCTCCTAGTACTAAGTATCAGGTACACCGGCCGAACAGATTAATGTGCCTACTCCGTACCCCCACCTGAAGCTTGTTCGGTCTGTGCTTGCAGCCAGTCTGTCGTATTCCACTGGGGTCAATTAATCTAATACGACACTAGGTACAGGGACCACAAACGCCACCGCCAGGGTTGCAATGGAACCACTGTGTAGAGACCCAAAACATTCGTCATTTCCATAGCTTATCATCTCACTTCGGTCATAAGTTCATGTCGATCACAGCGCCAATGCTACACCGAGCACCCCCAGGGCCCCCATTCCACCCAGCACCAACCCGCCGGTCGGCTGCGCTCCTGCTGCGCCCATTCCTGACGATGTGGTGGACGATGCGCCACCGTCCTTCGTGCTTTCGGCCGTAGCCTTTGCAGGGGCGTACTTGCCCGTCGTAGCTGTCAACGCCCCGTCGGACATTTCCTTCTTCACCTGGGCCATGTAGCTCTTGATGTCACTGGGGAGCGCATTGTACCAGGAGGGGGTGTGCCCGGCCTGGATCTCGCTGGCGAGGGAGCTGCGCTGAGCAGGAACCACCAACTGAGCCAGCGCCGAGGGGGGCACATTCTTCACGATCTCCGGGATAAGAGAGCGTGGAGGCGGAGAAATGTTATCCAGGTTGGCAGACCCTGTCGGCATCGTAAACGAAATCGATTTCCTATCTTTTGTCAGTACACCATCTCTCGTAGACACCACCAAACTGCAAGACATACAGGGCTTGGCCAAGCGAAGACCAATTGACGTTATCAGTCGCCGTGGGAGCAGCGTCGTTGCGCTTTTCCGGTGCAGCCAGCACCGTAGCAGAAAGGGCAGCGAGCAACCAGACGAACTTCATTTTTGCGATCTGGTTTGATAGACAGAGGACTGAGACGGGGAATACGATGCGCTGAGACGATGGGCGATTGGGGAAAGTTAAATAGTGAACCGGGCCTTTCATGTGCCTGGCAGGGCGGAGAAATACTAGTAATTCTTATGCGAAAAGTTACCTCGTACCCGAGATCCGGGTGTGGAGAGTTACTAGTTGTCTGTCTGAATGATCGTCGTTGAGCCGAGTAATGTCCCAACTTTCGCCCCGACGCTACCAAGGTCTGGAATCCACACTGTGGTCCTATTTTTCAGTGTCCTCTGTTTCATCCCCAGTAGTGACCCAACTGTTAGTCTCTGATTCTGTTACACACTGGTGTGTTGGAGTTTTGTATGTGTAGCGTGTGCCTGCTTTTTTGGGCTGTTGGACGTGATGCCTTCTTTTTGTTTCATTTAAAAAGAGGTCTTTGACCTATAGAGTAGCTATGCGATCATTTGAACTGTTATTCTCATGCGAAATGGACTTTTTCCCTTTCTTAGTGTTCTACATGTGGTTTGAATATGCAGCAGACGCAACAAAGCGCGTTCCGGCTTCCATCCGAAAGTCAAGGTAGAGTAAACCCAATCTACTTCACCAAGCTAGCGATAGAAAACTATAGCTAACCGATCTACAGAAGCTCTCAAAAGCAAAAGAAAACTAAGAAGAGGTTGTCGAAACTACTTGCGTGAATCGATGCGCTAGTTAGAAAACAAAGATCCGATTTACAGCAGATATTGCTTGAACCCAGCTCTAGTTCACTTCCGCGGCCCGAGAGCTTCTGGTCGCTATACGTATAAGTGATGCATAAAATGGTGATCGTCGGCTGGTCCGATTACTTATAGTCACCGAAGTCCACGTAACTATGGATTCTCTCTTACCATCTTACACAATATACGCTAATGGACTTTTAGATTTGCGTCGCTTTTGAATCCTAAATAGTTTTGTATCCTAACTGGCTATGAAAAAAGCATTTGTTTAAGTAGAACAAAAACACGAGGCAAAGAGGGGTTGAGAGGGTATTTCATTATAAGAGGATTTGGAATCAAAGGAGGAGCTGGGTTGGCTGCTCTATCCTGGAAATGGGTAGATCCCAGGTCCGCCTGAGGTGCCAGGGGATACATAATCCAAGAATGACCATTGCCAACACCCTCGCGCATCCCAGTAGGCATGATAGTGGTGATGTTTTCAAGAATGTATATTGTTAGGTGGGGATAAGATAGAGTGCCAGCAAAATCATGCAAGCGGTTTTCAATTGTCAACACGCCTTACACTGAAGATTACCGTGCTTCGCAAGAGCAAGATTCAGTCTCCTGCCAGGCACCGTAACACACTCAGCTTGTATCACCCCAGTTAGAACTACATCAGGAAATCTAGGATGGTTGCACTGATGTTGACAACCGTGGTCATACGACACAGGCACCCGGATTATAAATCAACGGGATATTGAGAAATAAAAGGTTTGCTGTTTGAAGATCACGCGATAGTACAAATATGGCTCTTCAAGAGGACTACAGAAGTAGCAGGGCGAGGATGATTTGAGGAAAATACCCTTCCTATCGTGCCGCCCGGATATTCCAGAGACCGTCTCTGTATATATAGACAGGTTCACATGTACGATACTCTCTGGGACGCCCGGGTGCTGTTTTACCTTGGATGAGAAATAAGTCGGTATCGCATGCACGGTTAACCACTTTTTCCATCAAAGAGGAACCGACGGCATTGTCGTAGAAGTCGGATCGTGCCGCGATTCTATTAAGTCCCGATCTCAGCGTACTCCATGGGACGATATATATAAACAATGGAATAAAGTTCGAACAGAGCATCCATGGCATCGCACCTAATATGAAGCTGTATATATAGGTAAGCTTCAATGTCGCTCGCACTCGCCCGAGTCCTTGAAGAGCTGCAGCTCAAGACAAACAATGTCAGGAGGCCTTCTGCCTGTGACCACGCCTTCTCTGCAATATCCATTAACTTCCTCGATGCAGCTAGTGAAAAGTACCATAGCAAAGACGTGAACTGTTGATAATCGAGCTATATAGTGCTTCTGGGTTTCGAAAGTCTGTCATTTTCGCAGATAAGCTTAGCGTCTGTGCTTGATCCAAGGTAACTTGAGGGGTTGTACCGGTGTGTCGTAGCCCAACATCGCACAGGGGGCCATAGAACAGTATATTAGATTAGCAGCGTCTAGCCCCAACCCCTCCACCTTGCACCCCTGATGACCCAGGAGCCCATGATCAGCTGTGGTATGGATTTCTTGATCTTGGGCCATAAGTAAAACTCAGCCGGGTACTTTATCGTGCTCCTCTATTATTTGTGCCGGTTGGCAGAATTGCAAATATTGCGAGACCAGGTCACTGGAGGAATCGTTCCATTTACCCTGGGCGTATGAATTAACGGTGTTGTCATGTCGGATGGGACTTGAAAGCTGTCGCTGTTGGCCGCTGGCAATGACGGGCGATGCGTTCTGTGAAACAGCCCCTTCATGTCATATACTGACTATGAATACCGAAGACTGCGTATTTTTCCATAGTGCCAGGAGGGCATCGAAGTGTGAGTGTGCGCTTTGCGGAGTAACTCTCCTGCGGGCTCGTGTCAGAGGTTGGCAAAATGATGGCAAGGCCAATCCTTCTGGCTGCCAAATTTGTGAGTAAGAGAAACAGCAGTGGAAAGTCTGTCCTCGTCGGTATTATATATTCCACGACCCCACCACATGATGCCTTTCGCTCAACGGACGAAGCAACGTATCCCAGAATTCCGCTATTCAGCGGGGACAACAACAGACTCCTTGGCTTTGAGTCGAACATCATATGCGTTGTTCAAGAAAGTCGCTCTGAGGACTTTACCAATTGTGGGAGAAGATTTTCCTAGAGGAAAGAATGAGCAACAGCCTAAGTCAGGCGACATCTCCTTGTCCTTCTATCCTATCTGAACAACCTATTGATTGCGAGGAATGACGTTGGAGAGTCAACGATGTCGCGACAGCCTGACCTGTTCCACACCAGGGTGTCATCAAAAGGATGAAAGAAAGTTGATAGACACCCTTTGATTCCTCAGGATCTATGTGGGTATATGCGGTGTAGAAGCGTAGCGAATTATCGCAGGGTGCTGTCCTTGGACAACAGGCCCTGATGGGAGTGAGTGGGCCTTTCCTCGTTCGAGAAGATTGACCGCAGTATGGCTTGAGTTCAATGCTTTGTCCATAGACCGGCTTCTCGTTGGGTTTTCCTAGACTCGGTTGTCCATCGACGGTCGGAGGATATATATATATAAGTAGAGGAGAATGCTGTTCTGGGATTCTCAGCTCGTAAGGAGTGGCATGTCTACCTCATTCGCTCACAAGAATAGGCTGTCTGGTGCATCGAAGTGTAAGGGAGTATAGACATCGTATGTGCCTGTCCGGTTGTGGGCTCGAGATGACACATCGCATGTATTAACATAGTCGTCTTATGTAGTGTGGAGGTCATTAAACAAAGAACGGTAGTAACGATTGGAAATGTAAAGGAGGGACTGAGAGAAAAGAAGGAAAAGAAGAAAAGACAGATGTGGTGAACGAAGGAACGACATGTGGAATGTGTCTCAGAGCTGTTGAGAAGGATTAATTTATACCTTATCTGACAGTTGATGAGTCATTATTATCTTGGCATATGCCATATTCACGAAGGCTTTGTTTGAAATGTACAGTTATTCTCTGCTTCATTCTAGAGCCAACCAGTGCTTTCAGGTAACAGTGACAGTTGACGCCACCAATACAGGAGTGGTTAGTAGAAACCGTAAAGCAATAAATTTTAGATATCTAAAATGTGAAGGGCCTAGATCGGGATTAATCTGCTTCATTACGAATTAAATTCTCTATTGCAGTATCTAAAGACTTCTTACGGGGCTTGAGCGCTAACGAGATATATTTGCATTCGTGAGTAACTAAGCAACCCAGATAATTTGAATTCTCAATAGCTATTCGATAAGCACACAGTCCTTTCTCAGAATGCTCGGTCCAACCCCAGTCACTGGTGCCCGGGTTAGTTGGCCAACGACCAGCTGACTCTTCATCATGTGTTAAAGGGTGAATTATGAGACTCCTTGTGGGATTGGTAGGCCGACGTGAAAAAGTGGTAGCACCACAACAAGGCATAATTGGCCGCTGGAGTGAATCGTATCCCAATATAATTTGAAGACGAAAATGGGCGGGTCTATGAGAATAGCTGAGAGGAATAGCATATATCACAGGATTGTGCTCATGCATCGATGGGCACGTATCCATGGCCTTCTATCCCATTGTCGCCTTATTCTCTAATGTATCCTCGATTAATAATGGGGAATAATTATCGGTGAATTTACCATGAGCGAGAGACGCAAGAAATAGTATCCAGCCCCGAAATAATCGATGGGAGTTACGACACTAGCTAGGTCAACTAGTTGAGGGGGGATAAGCCAGGCAGAACGAGGGGACGCTGACAACTAATGAACCCTGCGGCAAACAGATGCCCAGTGAGCAGCGATCACTGAGCCGGACCCGCACTATTCTCGGACGACAGCGAGATAGGTCAGTACGTATGCTAGTACAAAGAAAGCCCAGTAAGCCGGGGTGTTTTGTCCGGTCAGGGGAGAGCTACCTTCACATACTCTAGAGTGCTGTCATATTCCATAATCGAAGATAGGTTATCAGGCCGACAACGGTGTGAGTTAAAGATATATGCATGCTAGGGAGATGTCTCGTGAAGAGGAGATGCTTGGTTTGGGCACCTGAAAGTCTGGAAATGGCCATGGTGTGTTCTTCGAGGATGCCAGAGGTAATTCTGTAGCTAGGGACCGGTTCGTAAATTATTGTTAGCATATCAAAAATGGACGAGAATTGAGGGTAAAGTTTTAAGACTTTTAGCTAGCATGAGACTTCCATCGTGTGCCTTGCTTGCTTTGCCTACACCGTATCCTAAACATTTTTGGGTAGTGGAGGGCATATATACCTCGCTGGTTCCGCTCTCGGATTGGGTTAAGAAAACTTCGTCGACGAAGGAGGGTGTACTACTATTAATGTGTGGCATCTCTGTAACATGTGCCAGATGCAATGTAAGCGTTAATAGGTTCCTAGGACTCGTATTAAAGGCAAAAGGGATAACAGAGGCAGAATAAAACGACAGAAACCCATGCTTATAAGAATTAGGATCGGCATACTATCGTTCAGGAGGGCATACATAACATAATAATAAAGAAGACTGTTCCCTAGCAAAGAAAGTAGCGAGATAGATAGGTTATTAATTAGATGAAGCCGGGAGATTTAGTTGACGGAAGATAGGGTGGCTTACTTTATATCCAAGGACTGAGTCATTGCATAATCCAGTTCGAAGATAGACTCCATTCTGGTGCGGCCTGTACTCTCTGACGTTCTTCCTCTTCTTTTATTAAGCATCCCATCGGCTCTCTGATAAAAAGGTCAAACTGGAGGGCGTGCCTACAAAATACTCCCAGTCAATGCCTGGGATTATCACTAGAGGGTAGCAGGTAGGGTAGCTATATACAGACACAATTTTAGGCCTAGCGAAACGTTGTCCTGCCTCATAATTACACACTGGAAACTAGTAGCAGAATGCCAATAATAACTGAAGGGACTGGGAGACTCAAGCAGAATACCCGCGTAAATTAGATGGTGATGATATATGAAGAATTGCTCTGAGTAAATGAGAAATTTATGGACAAGCTTTTTTGTCTCTGGTTATCTCTGGTTCCACGTTGGGTTTTCTCTGCCAGCCCATAGTGGATTAGAGTTAAGATAGATCACCCAACTGACCTTTATCCATTTTGCCCTCCCGCACGTTCGCCTGTATCCTCTCATTGCCACATGAACTTTGTGAGGAACTGGAACAGAATCCATACATACTTATCACACTACAGAGCCGAGTTAAAAAGCATAAAAGCAACAAAACAGAGTGAAAGTAGTAGAGTCAGACCCAATAATGTGAAACACCAGCCCCAGCCCATACCAACTAGCATATAATCAATGACTGCCGCAGAGATGGCACCGAACAAACATCTGATCAAATCAGCCACTCCAGAAACCGTAGCAGTTTGATCCGGAAATAGATCTATCAGAAGGGTGTATATGATTCCGAGTAACGGAGTACTGCCCAACCCAATGAGAGCCTGGAACACGAGCACCGCAGCCAAGGGCAGGTGCTCCTGGACGATCCAGCCGTATGCAGTAAATGAAAAAGCAAGCAGAAACATGAAAGGCATCGCAACTTGTAGCCTGGAAATTTTGATAGAAAAACCATTGGGATTGCTACTCGGATGATCGGAGGTCATTCCGTGCTGCTTGGACAGTCGTCGATAGTTATAGTCGAGCAGTGTACCGCTGATCACCATACCCAAGCCCCCGAGGATCCCGTAAGGCCTGGGAATCAATCAGACGTGTTCAGATATTCAGAGCAGTACGAGCGAGGGCCGATTACTCACATGAAAGAGAGCCCGAGGTACAGTGTGCTTAGCCCGTAACGCTGACCGAAATGGTTTGCAGTGGTGGACCACAAGGCAGAAACCCCAAAATAGAGCAAGCTCGTGTACATGATGAGGACGAAGGCATCCTTCTTCCCTATGATACGCAAAGAGGCAAAGATCATGTGCAAGGCGGTTTGCGGCCTCTCCCTCCTTCGCTGCGGTTGAGCGGGCCGTTGCGCGGCATCATGTTGAAGCCGCTTGGTATTGTGGAAGACGGGTTTTGTCCACCAGCGTCTTGGAGCGACGGAGCCGTCGCCTACCACGGCCCGGGCCGTTTCAGGCATAAATAAAACATAGGCGGAAAGAAACAACCCACTACTAATGGAGAGAAACCAAAATATACTCCTCCAGCCGAGGTAAGTGGTCAGTGTCCCGCCGATGACGGGCCCAAAAGCAAAAGCTCCCATGACGCTTCCATGCATGGGACCGATGAATCTTCCCCTCTCTGATGGCGATGTAATGTCGGCAGCAACGGCAAATCCGAAGGGAATGGCGCAGCTACTTCCTATACTCTGCAGACATCGAAGAAGAACCAACGCAACAAAATCAGTCTGCAGGGCTAGACCAACGTTGGCCACCGTGTACAGCGACAGTGCAAGCATCCACGCCAAACACCGTCCATGCACGTCAGAAATTATGGACAACAGTGCGGGCGAAATTCCCTGGATGACCATGTATGATGTTATAATAAGATTAATCATCGCTGACGACATGTGGTATTCATCTCCCATTACCGGCATTGCTGGGAGGATGATGTTGGTTGCAAACATGCAGAGAACCATTCCAAAACTGGTAAAGGAGGTAAAGAGGATTTTCTCATAATTCATGAACACAGAATAGGCCTCATGTTCTCCTTCCTGGCTGAATTTCTCAATTATGGTATGTGCAGTATCGCTTGCTTCTCTCGGGATTTGCGATGCCTGGACTGTCAATGCTACGCTCTCTGATTTGCTGTAAGCGGAACCCATTTCGTCACTAGGTCCATTGCGTGCCTGACTGGATGGCCGGTAGCCTTCCATCGCGTACCACACGGCCAAGAGTACTATTCAAACGTCGATGTGGTGTCTCCTAACTCTTACCCGATGTTCAAAACTGAGGTCTCTGGTCACAGAAAAGTGTGATAACCCAGCGGATCAGGAAGTAGGATGAATTAGCATAAGCGAGCTGCTAGAAAGACCAAAGGTAGCAACCGACTGCTTTATCAGCCGTTGTCACGCTCTCCTCACATTTCGATCGGAACCTATTTTATACGAGCAGGGCCCTGCTCAACAAGAAAAAGCCTCCTTCGGTATCCGACCAGCGGAAGGCCAGGCATATTGTTTGATTACGGAAGAAGGACGTGTCTCACCGATACATATTTGCACATTGCCGATCACAGAAAGAGAGTCAATCAATAACGAAAGCGAGCATCACGTGTTTGGTAGAGCAGCAAGGGATATGCACCATTTTATTGATGTTTTGTGACCAGTGGTAAGTGATCTACCGCAGCGTACGACTATCTAGGTAGACTATTTTCGGCATATTACAGCTGGCAGACGGGATCGTTACCTTAATTGATATCCCAGCAATCGTGGTTCAGTCTATAGCTCGCAATAATTCCCCTTGCAACCCCTGTTGTCATGGGGATGAGATTAGACTTTGCTGTGTAGGCCCACTTATCTACCTCCTTACAGTAGGAGCTGGTCAGTGGTGAGTGCAAGTGGACCATGAGATAGCTATAAATCACCCTGATCCCCTGATGATGCTACAGCACCATTAGCCCTTGCTGGTGAATATTCATTTAGATCTTATTATTTCTCACGAACAATCACACCTTTCGCCTATCCCGATGGGCTCCACCATTTTCATGCCACGTCTTGTGCCGGATGCCTTAGACCGGGATGCCCTCGACAACCCAGAACGCCTTTTTTGTATCCATGCAGTATCTATCAATGAAATGGGGTGCGGATGGCGTCGGGTGACGATAGGCGACCTCGCTAAGGCGGTAGACCGTTTTGCTTGGTGGCTCGAAGAGACAGTTTGTTCCAGCGGAACGCCCGAGAGGCTCGTTTATATTGGACCAAATGACATCCGTTATGCCATAGCGGTTATTGCGTGTATGAAGTTAGGCCACTGTGTGAGTCGGTTAATTGTCAGATTTGCAGTAGTATCAGACTGAACAAAAAACTCAAGATTCTTCTTTTGGATCCAAGCACAGCTCAACCCGTAATCGACTATCTTCTGGCCTCGGGACATTGCTCTAGGCTACTGTTTGCGCGTGAGCTTGCCGACAAAGTGCATCTTATAAAAAGTTCTAATCAAACATTGGATATATGGGAGGTAATGGATCTCTGGACAATGTTTACTGGCCCGAACAGGCCAGTTCACTGCCCCCACGAATATACCATAGCTCGAGAACAACAACCAGCTGTTGTCCTCTATAGCTCAGGCACGACAGGTAAGTGGTGTGACCTAAGAATCTCTCCGGGTGGGTAAATTAATGACAGTCTATAAATCCTTGCCGCTCAGGCGTACCCAAGGAGATTGCCCTGCCGCATGGATATTTTAGTGCATTGGATTATTTCCAGCATATCCCACTTCCCCAGGGAAGGAAATCGACAGCCCCCTGGCTGAGTCACCCCCACCATCCCCATCTCATAAAGACCAACATGTTCCACGCGACTGGTATTGTGACCTGGGCAGCTGCAATTTTTCATCGCACGCATTTTGTTCTTGGACCCGACGCACCATTGACCCCGGGGTCGTTGAAAGCGATTGTCTCTGAGACGGGTGCAAAGTCGGGTCTCTTTTTGCCAGACACTTTGACGTGCTTGAGTGCTTCTGAAGAGGGTTTAGCGGCACTGGCCAGCTTAGAGTGCGTAAGCTTCGTCGGCATGCCTTTACCACCGAGTGCGGGTGATAAGATCGCCCGCGCGACACGCTTGCAATCCTCCATCGGCCTCACGGAGGCAGGCTATTTTTGTAGCCTACAGCCGAAAGACCCTATGCACTGGGAATATTTCGAATGGAATTGCCACCATCCTATGGAAATGCGGGATCACCCGAGTGGGTGTTCTGAGTTGGTCATCACACGCCCGCCTGACTATTATACGCATACTGTCTTCCTCGTTCTCCCCCGATCGAGAAGAGTTTTGTACAGGTGACCTTTTTGTCCAGCACCCGGATCATAAGGAGCTTTGGAAGCATGTTGGCCGCAAGGATGACGTTTCCAAATTACCGAACCGAGTGTTTCTCCATCCAGGTCCCATTGAGAGAGCCCTCGAAGGGCATGAATTGGTCTCCAAGGCGATGGTAGCCACTAATCATGCCCTTCGTGTAATGCTGATTATAGATCCAGACCGGAGAATCGCAAGGCGCTCGATGCCACCCGAAGAGGTTGTCGATCGGCTCTGGCCTTTGGTGGAACAAGTCAATTGTCGCCTCCCCGTGGAGGCTCAGATAACACGAAACCGTATCTTGGTTGCGCCCATCAACAAGCCCTTCAAAACGACGGCAAAGGGAACAATACAACGTCGCCATATACTTGAAGATTTTAAATTGGAAATTGAATCTTGTTCTGCACTCTAACTCGGAGCTGCTCACAAACCTAGAGTCAACAGTTATAAACTTTAATTAAGCCAAATATTGAACTTATACGTACCTTTGACAGTTCCTGATAATAATAAATGACGATGGAAGAATATCCCCATGTCGGGCTTACCTGCGCCGGTTCCTAGCGCCCTTTGGCTACCAAAGCCGATGCCTCCTGGGCGAAGCGCCATGGGATGTGGTGAATCTGCGAATGGGTAGTGGTAGTGTTGTTTCGTGGCCCCTTCTTTACAAGAGGATTTGGAGCACACTTCGTCCTGATGGCTGGATCGAGCAATGGGAAATTGACTCTGAACCTCGTTCTGATATTAAGTCATTGAACGACACACCTCTTTATCAATGGTACCAACAAACGAAATATGCAACGGCAGCCTCTGGTCACCCCATTATTCATTGTGCAAGACAAACCCAAATGTGGCTACGACAAGCGGGGTTCAAAGCCATCAGTCACCAGGAAATTGCCCTGCCAGGGAATCAATGGAACCAAGTTGCTAGTGATACTGGCGCTGTCTGGTACGCCATGGCATACTTCGAGATTATCGAATCGATGTGTGTTGGACCGTCGAGAAAAGTCTCCTGTTTGACAGAAAAGGAAGTGCAGTCCATCGTTTCCCATGCGCGGCAGCAGGCTCTTGATCTAACTATGCCAGCATTCTATACCATACATATTTACAAGGCGCAAGAGCGCTGAGGAAGCAAAGGCTAAAGGACAGAAGAGCTCATAGCAGCGCGTGTTGATGCTAGGGCAGAGTAGCCATACAGAACCGAATTCTAATGCGACATTCGATCAACGTTCTTTCACTCCCTCTAGCATTGTGGAAATGGTAGAACCCAATGTCAAAGTGTTCACACCGGATAGTTTGGAGCAAGAAGGGCGCGCACCACCCAGCAAAAACCGGATACAGGAAACCGTCAAGTCCTCACTGGCTACCTACCAGTTTCCCCCATCCGCTCAGGACCTTGAATGGCAGGCGAGCTTTAGTGCCAATGATGCAGTGGATTGAGCATGTATTATGATGTGTATCTAAAAGGCATTTACCTTATACGGGATGATAGGCTCATGCATGCAATAACGTTACTGATAAACGAGCGGGCCATGTAGGTCGAGCGGGCCACCTTGTATTCTATATAAAATGGTAATTTTAGAAACCGCGTATCTTAATAACCAATACTAGTAGTAATCTGAATCCTAGTATATATACTAATTTAGTCCTGCAGATATATATACTAAATAGAACAAACTCTAGATTTAATAGTATCCTAGGTAATATAAATTACAATGTATTTTTGGTAATTTGTATATAATTATATTTAAAGTCTTAAGAAGAATTATTAAAATTTTACTTAATTTTATAAATACTGATAAATCTCGCCCTAAATATAATCTACTCTTATTCTAATAAATACTTTTTAGTTTAAAAAGTTCTTTCCTTTTAAACAGGTGGTCTAATATTTATAATAATATTGACTATACCCCAACTCACCGATCAATTAAATATAACCACTTCTGACTCTAACAAACTTTTAACAAGAGCAAGGAGGAACCTTCGAAAATATATTAGATTAGATCCAGAACCTGGCGATCCTTGTCTCGAGCTATCTAAAGATCTGCGGCTCTTCTTTATTAAGGTTGCTCCGTATTCTTATAATAGGGCGAGATATAAATTATCGATTTGTAGTTTAAGGATTTAGTCTGGCCATTTCCGTTTCGCAGTAAACCCAGGGATAGAATAGAATAAATAGTCCACCGTGGATAAGTCCACGAGATTTCCCACGATAACTATTAAGCTAAATGATCCATTGCTTAGATTTATATTATATCTATTGTTTTAAGTTAATTGTAGATTTTTCGTAAGAAGAGTTTATCGACCGGGTCTGGCCTTTGACTAGATATAGCTGGATATTTCGAGAATTAGCAGCCAGCAGCGTCTTTAATATTAATTATCTTGTCTCGGGTGGAATCGAGCGCCTTGTTCTCGAATAGAAAGTCCGACAGAGACAACTAATTAAGAAAAGAAATGGACGCAATAGATAAAAGAATCTAGATCCAGACTTTTGCGCTTTGCTATAGAGAGTAGGTTCGGTAATATTCAAGTACATAACGCCAAGTAATATAGATCGATATAAATATTATAAATTTAGCAGTCACTCTCGCTCTTTTTAAGAGTAACGGCCCAGGCGACACGAAGGAATAGAATCTATTCGATTAATATCTTAGAGTTATACTAGAGAGCCTATTAGATCTATACAATCTCAGTTCTATAATCGAACGTTGGAAAACTAATATAGTAAGATCTCTTTCCCCTTATACCTTAGTAATTCTACTGACAGTCAGTACAAGAATCTTACTATAGAAGAAAACTCTACTATCGACCTAAAGACTGTTAAGGCACTCAAGCGTCTATCAGCCATCCCTATACTGAGAAACATATTCTACGGGTCTATTTATAAATAATTTATATTTACCAACGTTAATCTATAGAGATATTACTTGAATACAGAGCAAATTTAATACGAACCAAATTCATGTTCATTCCCACTAATAAAAGGTAACTTCCAACGGCTACCAGTCATTAGTGACTCCCTATCACCAGTGACTACCAATCACTGGTGGACTTCCTACCACCAGTGACTACTAACTACCAATGACTCCCTATTACCGGTGACTACCAATCACTAGTGGCTGTCTATCACCGGTAGATATCCCCTTCAGGCTTATCTTGGTTATCTTATTGTTGGCTATCTGTAGTAACGTTCCTGTCTATAGGACTTAAGAGAAGCGTGTGAAAGTAGCTGTAAAAGAATTACTAGGAGTATAATTAGACTGGTGCTTAAAAGTATAGTCTTATATATAAAGTATAGAATCTTGATTTAGTTTATGGGAGTGAGAACACTGTGAGATGATATTAGATTAGATTAAGAGCTGCGATTTTCAATTAAATCAAAGGTGGAAAGTGGAAATAACCTTCTAGTAGATAAATAAAATGACATATATTTGCGCTGGCAGATAGCGTAATTAAGCGCTTTTCCACGGACCCCTTAAAAACCGCTTTCGGATTTAGTGTGTCTTCTTTCACTGTCTCTAATCAGGCCAAGATTGAGATTAAACTAGGGCTACCATCGAATCACAGTTGCTGGTCTGCTGCAAAATCTGGCCTGTTTAGAAATGAAAGCGAGTTCTGAAATCAGTGCATTGTCTAGTAGGGTAACGGAAAGCCAGAAACCGAAATATGTACAAATCCACTGCACAATAAACAGCGAAAGTACAGTCAGCTCCACGGCCGGTGAGGTCGCACCGAGAGGGCGCAGACGCAATTTCCGATCTGGAAAAGAGGGGGCTAAAATGAGAAGTATAGTAAATCACATCCACCCTGGCTGTTAGGGTATGCCCTAAAGCTGGTGGAAGGATCTCATTCCCTGCTCCACCACTCCACTGCGCCTCGCACTGCCTTGATAGTGTCCAATCAGATAGTGGACAGTAGATTGATACATGTATAACTATATCCAGGGATGTATGCGGGTGACTTGAAATGGCCAACATTACTCATGGTTACAATTATTAGTGTGCTCCGTAATATGTGCTGTGCAGTAATCCTAGCACAACGCCCAAACAATGACTTTGTGTTCGGATAACCACCTGTTTTGTCTCATTAGCGCATAGGAATCACCTTCAATATATGAGGACTATTGCGAGGCTTGTTTTGTGATCGATGTATTACTGCTATAGTTGACACACCAGCAGGTGGAATGTTGACAAATTCAATCTAGGGTTACATGAACATATCCCTGCAAATATCTGCTACTATCGCACTCACTAGCGCATTTGAAGGGCGCTTAAGAACAATCATGTTTCCACCCCTGGGCGCTAAGCAGCATATAAATCCCAGCTATACCCCTCTCTTTCTCGCGAGGTCTCATCTTTAAAATGATCCCGACACAGCGAACCCAAACCAGTATGTCGTGCTATTCGCTCCATTCGGGCAGGATATCTTCCAATTTTGACGCAGATTCGCCCTGCGGCATTCCGAACGCAACTTATCCCCACGTGCAATGTTGTGTAAAGGGTGACTATTGTATGAGCAATGGCATCTGCCACTTTTCCAAAAATAATTCGGACAATGGATACTATACCGCAGATTGCACGGATCCAACACTCCAGGACCCGGCATGCATGAACCGATGTGGTAATTTCCCAACTAAGAGGTTTACAATATCAATAATGCTAACTACATATAGGCAGTCAACCTGGTTCAATCATAGACTATGACAACAATACAGGGCTTTGGGCCTGTTGCTCATATACCAGTGATGGAAAGGCCAATTGCTCAAGCCTTTCTGATGAGAAATTCCTTGCTCCAGCACCCAGCAAACTGGTTACAATTCAATATCTGCCCCCCACCGGCACACCGGCATATGCGACTCCGACTGATGTTGTGTCTACACCGCTTGTGAATTCTACCGGCAGTCAGATAGGCGCTGGTGCTGTGGCTGGGATTGGGGTAGGGGTTGGTGTTGGTGTATTTTTGCTTGCGACGACTTGCGTATTCTTCTATCTTCGATGGAGGAGATCATCGCAACATAGAGTTATAGCGTCGAAGTCTTGGACCGAGTCAGTATCTGGAGTACAGCAGCCGCAAACAGTTCTTAGATATGAACTTGGAAAGTCTGAACCCCGTCCACAGGAGCTTGCATAACGAACTCCGATTGTTAAACTGTATTTCTATATTCTACTTACCATACTTAGGCTTTGAAATCGATGTTGTCGAAATGTGTAACAGTACACGGGAGGTTCAGCACCATAGTCATGTATGCGGCACGCCTACTCACTGCGCCGTGGAGGTGCCTCTCGCGGACGAATGGGGATTTGAGCGGAAGCTTAGAGAGTGAAATTTAAACTTTATTTTCAAAGATATACTCGCTAACCAGCACTTTCCTGTATAACTCTGTCCTAACACTATTAATAGGAACTCCGCATTACTTACGACTGTTAATAGCCGTAATATAGTCAGTTACGAGACACTTGAACTCATCCGTTCTATAGTAGAAGGTATTGCTATCGTCTGACGATTATCCACCGTTTAGTTAATCTCTGTACTGCTAGTAGAGGTTCTCTGAGATAGCAGTTATGTTAAGTGCTGTGTTTTGCCAAGGTTTCTCAATAGTATAATAGTCTAAGATTACTCTATACTCCTCGAATAGGTAAGGCTTTCTAGCCGCCTTGTAGGCTACCCCGTATAAGGTAATCTAGCTATTATCCCAGTTATTTGTGGTTTTCCCTAACAGTATTAGCTTCCACTGTTTAATTTATTACTAATATAGACTTATAGCTACTTGGATAGAGATGGAAGATTCTAAAGTTAATTATAGGAATAGCCAGGTTTTTAATAAAATTACTTTCTTTAGAGTATTGATATAGATAGCTTCTATCTGAACCAGTGTTGAGACTGAAGCCCTCTACTCTTATTAGAGATTATAGATTATAGAAGAGGCTAAGTTTATATACTATTACCGATATAAGCTAAATACTTCGAGTCTAATAATTTAATATATTGGCTGGTACTCTTAATCTAATTATATAATACAGTAGTCTTACAGCCCTGGCAATGGGGTTTATTAGCCAGTTCCTATACAAAGATAGCGGTAGAGTCGCTGTACCGCGAAATGACTACCTTGATATAAGCGCGGTAGACTTTCTATATAGTATTGTTAGTGTAAAAGCCCTTTTTCGACCCACCGAAGGTCTTAATATAGGTATTAATATCATTGTAGTCATCCCAGAAGTTAACAAAGTTAATAATCAACTTAATACCGTGCTTCTCTGCCAAGGAGACCACGTAGTCCAATCACTAGAGGCCATCTTTATTCTCATTGATAGTTGCCGTGCTATCTGCTAGTAGATAATAATAGACTAAGCCATCGATAGGCTTCTAATTGATATTATTAAATCCCTAGACACGAAGGATCTTGAGACCATATTTCTGCAAGTGACTGAACACGAGATCCACATCGTCGTTGTTCTTCTGGAATCCAATCCAGTATGAGTTGGAACCGGCAAAATATCCTGTCTTGCCATGTCTGAGGAGACAATCTCTATAAGGTGGATCAGACAGCCAGTTCCCCGACCGAGTGGGTGCAGAATATGGGAGGTAGAAGAATTTGGGAGGAAAGAGTGCTTAGGACAGCGAGGGAACGGTTCTTATATACTTGGAGACCGAGGCGGGTGGCGATGACAGTACGGGGTACCATGAGGCTACATCGAAGGCGGTAAATCTAACCGAAAGAAGGAATTCACAGCTCTATCTCCTATGAGCTACTGTGTCGTGTATAAGGGACTGAATGCTTCCATGGAGAGACATGGCATTCTTTAGAATGAGAAGTCTGTTTCTGGTAAATGGGTTTCATGGGTTTCATATATTGCAGGAGCACCGTACCAATATTCGTAAGCTAATTATGCTAACTCCAGGAATCTAATAGGCATTCTGCGGAACTGGACAGGATTTCTTCTATTGAGGCTGCTGTGCTCTAAAAGATCTATCTATACTACATCAGTATCCATGATTTAGGCGCAGACTGATCTTGGAATGTATATTCCTTATATTATTATCAACGTGAGATTGAATCAGCCAAGACCCCGTTCTAGAATAACAGATCCTGGGTACGTGCCTCTCCCAGGTCAAGTATTCCTAGGAATCTAAAATTCTATGAATAGGATTGATTCTACGACTATTGTTCCTGCTATAGGATTAATTCTGGGATTACAATCTTAGCTGATTCGATTCAATTGGATCGTAGCCTCTTTCCTAACCCTTCTCCGTATAGCTATAACTACTCGTCGTCGTCCTAAATATTTATTTAGATACGTGGATTTTCCTAAACTTAGCTTTAAAGCGTAGTCTTAAGATGCTATTTTTTGCTAAGAACCGTGCTCCAATATATCTGGATTGTATCTAGATTTTCTTTTAGATATTTTTTCGAGAATAGCCTCATAACCTTTGCCTAAAACTATTTCTTATTTTTTCTTAATTTTAATAGAAGATTTGTCTTTTCCGTAGACTATTTTATACCCTTTCTTAAGTTTCTATGGATATCTATATTATTTTGCTATTTTTATTTAATTATATTAAAGCTAATCGAGCGACTGGCTACTAGTACTTTTTTTTATTTAGATATTATAGATAGATATTCTGATATGTAGCGTTGTAGTATATCTTTAAATAGTTAAGAAAAAAATTGTAAATATTTATCGATTAATAGAGATAAAAATTAAGTATAAAATACTGGAAACGATATATATTTTTTTAGATTAAATATAGGATCTCGAATCCACTTAAACAGTTATCTATTTAACTTTTGTAACTTTTACTTATATAGTTTTGACTATTAATTATAGGTAAAAATATCTAGGAGGGTATTATACGAAGACTAGTTAGCTTTGGTGTTATTATAGGAGGTGGACTTTCGCGTATGGTCCTGGCCGTGTAGGCTAACCGGCTAAGGATTGCTCTCCTACCTTTCAAGCTGTGTGTTGAAGTCTAGATAATAAATAGATATATTATATAAAACGACTAAGAATTTAAAATATAGACAATTTGTTTTTAAAGTAACGAAACTATTGTTTAGATATATCTATAATTTTTTAATTATTTAAAGTCTATTGTCGGCGAGGATCATTAGATTAATTAGAATATCTTTATGTACGTTAGATAACTTCGCGCTTTACTTTGAATTGGGTGTGTTAGAAGATAAGGCGGCTACTTGAAGGGTAGGTATATTACTTAGGTTATTAATAGTATCTTGACTATTCTACAATGTGACTAAATCTAACGCGTGATCTGTGTAGTCTTCCAGAGATTACTATTACAGACCCTTGTCTAGCGCACCCTATCGAAGGCGGACACACAAGGCAGAATAACGATAGGATAACAATGATCGAGTCCTGAGCGGAAGGCACCAAACGAATCGTTTATCTAGTAGTTATTCGGGAAGGGCCGCGGACGCTGATAGCAGCCCATCATATAACACCTACTCCAGAACCTACTCCAGAGGGAGTATACCGGGGGTATACAGTACTATATACTACGATTAGATATACTCCATTTTCTACCCCTAAGAGAGTTACTATAGAAGTATATATTTAAGGATATAAAAGGACACTTATTCATATACTTAGTTTAGTTCTTCGTAATTAATCTATATTATTACTATAGAGTTACCTTTAAGTAGCAAGACCAGTCTCAACTCGTTTATACTTATTCAACTATTGAGTATATATATTTAATAGGCCTGACCCTTTGGACTCGAGTCTAGTATCGACGGTAGTCTTGTATCGACTGCGCCCCTGTGACGACGGCAGTCTAGTATCAACGGTAGTTTAGTGACGACGGTAGTCTAGTATCGACGGTAGTCTAGTATCGACGGCAGTCTAGTATCGACGTTAGTCTTGTATCGACGGTAGTCCCTTAGCGACTCCCGTCCTACCAGGACCGCAACCCAATAACGACGGAAGTCAACGGACGACTTCAGGTTAGTAACCCTCGTAACGTGGTCCGCTAACTAGTCTCAGACTTGACGACAGAGCCCCGGGCGTAACAATTACCCAGTCTTTTCTGGGTATTGTATATTGGATAGTGTGTAGGATAATAATATAGATAACTGCGGTGGTTAAATTTGGGAACCCGAGAATATATATAAGAGGATTTTTATATTTATATTTATATAAATATTGATTAACAGCTAGATCGATAGTTAATATCTAGGTAATAATAAAATTTAGAGTTGGGATTTATTATAAAGCTTAAAGGTAAAAGACTTATTATATAAATAATATATATAATAAGATTTAAAAGCTGGATATAATTTAAAAAAAGAGAATATTTATAGTTTAAAATTATTAATATAAAATACAGATAATATATTTTAAAAAATGGAAGGTTTAGAATCTTTTGATAGAGTAGACTCTATAAATATTTAGATTTGAGAGTAAAGGGTAGGATTAGGATCAGTGTAAATAAGGGATCTATAGATAGGGATTGGAGCATAGGATATAGTATAGAAAGAAAGTTAAGTGATAGAGAAGTTATGTAGCTAATAAGAAAATTGAATAGTAATATTACAATCTTTGCGAATTTTTATATATTTTTTTAAAAAAAATAGTCTTGTGTGCTGGAAGGAATACTAAGCTATAATTCTTTTAATTTAAAAATCTCTTCTCTACGGCTAACGTATCTACACTTAGTTAAGATTTTTAATCGAGCACGGAAATTAAGGACTTCTAGCTAATCACGACTAGTATATTATTTCTAAGACTTATATATCAAGCCTTTCAGCTTTATATATAGGATATGGATAAGGTGAGGCAATTTTACTATTGGTAGATGGTGAAGGTTAGACCGCACGTTAGAATAGGTATTGATTCTGGTAGATCGAAGGTATACATTGATAGGATGATATATAATCTAGGCTAGGTGGATTAGCAGGTCTTCTATTCTATAAATTTAATGAAAAGGAGCTATTCTAGTAGATTATAGGGCTTTTTCTTTACCTGGAGACTTAAAACTTTGTAGATAAAGAAGTTATAAAAATAATATTAAATTTAAGATTTAGTAAAAGATTAGACAAGATATATCAGTGGCGGCTTCCGACCACCCACCGCCTTCCGCCGGTGGGTGGTCGGCAGCCTAAAGGAATTTTCAGCCCAAAGGAAAAAAATCAATTTCTTATCTTTTTAAAGCTATACAAACTACAAAAAATATTTAAAATATCTAAAACTTTGGATTTACGTGTAGATAAGGCTGTTAAAGTTACTGTTACAGACCCTTGTCTAGCGCACCTTATCAAAGGTGGACGCACAAGGTAGAATAACAATAGAATAACGATAGCCGATTCCTAAGCGAAAAGTACCTAACGAATCGTTTATCTAGTAGCTATTCGGGAAAAGCCACAGACATTAATAACAATTCTATCACGTAATACCTACTCCAGTACCTACTTTAAAAAGAGTATATCAAGAGTATACAGTACTACGCACTACGATTAAATATACTCTATCTTCTACCCCTAAAAAAGTCACGATAGAAGTAGATACTTAAGGATATATAAAAACACTCGTTTATATACTTAATTTAGTTTTTCGTAATCAATTCTATATTATTACTATAGAGTACCTTTAGTAATACAATTAGTCTCAATTCGTTTATACTCTTTTAACTATTAAATATACGTACTTAATAGATTTAACCCTTTAGACTCAAGTCTAATATCGATAGCAGTTTTATATCAACTACATTCCTATAACAACGGCAGTCTAGTATCGATAACAATCTTATATCGACTGTATTTCTATAACGACAGTAGACTAGTATCGACAATAGTCTTATATTAACAGTAATCCCTTAGCAACTCCCGTCCTACTAAAACCGCAACCCAATAACAACAGAAGTTAACAAACAACTTTAGATTAGTAACCCTCGTAACATAATCCACTAACTGATCTTAGACTTAACAACGAAGCTTTAGATATAATATATTAATTACCAGTCTATATAAATTAAACCACATTTAAACTTAAAAACCGATAATATATCTTCTTAGTTATCCAGTAGTAAAAAAACTCTAGTTAAAAATACTTCACCAACAGAAATTAATTCTAAAAATAACAAATCTATAAAAAAATAGCTAAAGCAGATAAAAAATATAATTACTTAACTAATTAATAATACCAAAGAAAAAAATCAAAAAATTAAAGATCTCAAAACGAAGCTCAAAGAAACTAAAAAAGTTCGGAAAAAATATAAGAATTATATTACCTAACTCAATAATTAGGTTAGAGTAGCGATACTTAAAAATATAATCGGAAAAATAAAATTACTAAAAACCAAGTCTTTTAATAGAATTCACTCTAAATTATAGATATTCCTGACATAAATAAATATACATATTTATACAAATAGAAGGAATTTTATCAATAAAGTAGATAAGATTATCTTCATATCTACTCACTTATATAAAATAGTATAGAACTAGTTTAAATTATATATCTAAAAATATTACAAAATTACACCAAACAAGTAATCAAACACTATATAAAAATTATTCACCGACTCAAGAAATCTATACAAATATCTCGAATAAACCTTTGGAAATATTAATATTAAAACTATAACCAAACGCAAACTAAAGCAACTATATCAATAAAATAATATATTAATCTACGCAACGGAATTCTAATAGATTATATTTAAAATAAACTGGAACAAAAAAGTCTATATATCAACCTTTATTAGTAGTCTCAAAGAATATATAAAAAATAAATTCGTATAAATTAATAGATTAACTATATTTAATAAAGCAATCGACTTTGCT